TTTACCCCTAAAAGCGTTCAAAGAAAAAAAAATCTAAATCTAAATTTCCTTGTGAAAACTCCTAAGGATTAAGTAGTACTCATACAACAAAGGATCTTCGTCTTCCCCCACCGAAAGGATATGACAAATAATCTCGCTATATATATAATACAATCTTTTGAGCCGTAGGCCCGGGGGATACTTCTTATGTAAGCCATATGGGTATGTGCCGCCCCAAAGGGTAGGTTTTTTGTGCCGTTTTGGTCTGAAAACGAGTAAAGACTTTGTCCACTTTGGTCTGGAATCGGCTATGGTTTTCGAGGGAACTACGGTAGGGGAGTATGAAAGAGTAATATGCCAATTTAAAAGTGAATTTAAGAATCTTTTTTGTTGGCGTTCTGATCTAAGTAAATATGACATAATTTCTTAGAGGCTAGGTCCGGAGAACAGGGCTACATACTCACACCAAGAATTCCCAGGGGCACCCCCCCGGAACCATTGGCGTGCATTTTTCCGCAATAACAGTGTGTGGGTTGGTTAAACCCTAAAAAATTCGCACAAGGTCTTAAGTGGATCTATATTGATTATTAACCTAACTAAACAGACTTAACTGTAAGGCGGCCAGAGATGATGCTCGTCTAATTTGACTTAAGAGTTAACTTGTTACAATAACAAGTCTGTTCCCGTATTAACCTTAAGATGCTTTTTCCTGCTCACAGATTACGAACAGATTACGAACATTAAAGTGCTTCCGTTTTTTGCGATTGTTAGCGCGAGCAAAGGTTTGGCAGAATGCAGAAAATGGGGAGAAAATGCCTTGAATTTTAAAGCCGCGCGAATGGCGGCAAACCTTTCACTCACGCAAAAACAATTCCGCCAGCTACTCAGGCTGTTTCTAAACCAAGTTTGAAGATAAGGGTGCTGAGGATTTGAAACCATGGCCATGTTTTTGGACTCACAAAATATCCTGGCCTAAAATACTTTAAAATCTGTATAGGACCACGACCTCTGGCTACGACAAACCCCGGGGGGGGGTACTCGATATATCCTTGGGTGGGGAGGTGCAGCTCGGCCCCTCATACCCTGACCCTTTTTAAGACAAAAATCGCTGATTTTCCTACCCTGTTTAAGACAGAATTCCGATTTTTGATACCCAGTTTAAGACATTCGTAGAACGTAAACGCAGGCTGTTTATCGTCTAAGAACAGATAAGAAAAGATACCCTGTTTAAGACAAAAATCCCGAAAAACATACCCTGGCTGGCCGCACGTCCCCATTAATATAAGCCCTTATAAGGGAGTATCCCCCCGGGCGACAAACTCGTATTAAACGTATCCCCTTTTCAGGGTAGAAAGGCCAAAAAGCCATGTCTTGAACATAAAGTAGGAATATCCGTACAGTAGGCTAAATAAGGAGATTCCCTCGACTAATGTGTACAGTGGAAGCCCGTTAACGCGACCACCGTTGGGCCACAAAATCCTGGTCGTAATAATGAGGTGGTCGCATTAACGAGGTCTTTAAGACAATAGAATAACTCAGTGAGTTTTACGTTTGGGTCGAAAGAATATGGTCGGAAAAAGAGGCGGTTGGGTGGTCTTAACGCGGGGTTTTACCGTAACTGCCATATTTTATCATGGTGGTAGCTTTTGGATCTACAGTTTTGCAATCATATTCTTGAACTGATCAGTTGCTGATTATCCGGGATTAAAAACCAAAGAAAACAGAACTATGGCTATCTAGTGAACGTTATATAACCTGGGAGAACACACTGATCGCAAATTACGGAAGGCAGAAAAAAAAATAATCAAATGTATCTTCGCAATCTTCGCTGTGGCATAGAAAAGTGCGCGCTAGGTTTTTACGCTGCAGCCAGCAACGTACCATTGGGTAGCCTGTGTTTTCTTTATGAATACGCGCGCCTTGATTTCCCCTCCTCCCTCCTGTTTCTTGCCTTTCCCTTTAATGGCCTGCCACGCGGGCTAGCCATTGGTGGTTTTGTATTTTCTGGTCTTGAATAAAGTATATGAATCAACCACTTTGTCACACGGGAAAGGTTGTGTATGAATGTGCCCGCAACGAATTCTTGGAAAAAGGTAGACCATAGTATTAAGGAAACAGCGATATAACATTTTAAAAGGCCCCATTCAGAAGGACCAGAGACGCCCCTAGAGGTCCTATAGAGTTATTTCCTTGATGACGTACGAGAAAAAATAATGATTTCCGTTACCGACGAGAAAGCGAAAGTCATGGCATGCTCAAACTTTATTTTCTTTCTTTTCGTCATCTGGTTTAGATATGTATATTTCTCATAATTTGGTCACTCCGTATTCTCTATCTTGCAGATATGCAAACAGATTCTTCCCTTTTAGCGCACAATACTTGATATGGTTTCACTTGCGGCGCCAAAATAATTTCAAGGATAATTGCTCAATTAAGATGACTCGACATATTACCGACAACGCAAACTAACTGTTTTAATAGTCCCTAAAAGTTAGCATGTATACAGGTCAAATTACCTCACACAGTAGGGTACGCGAACGGCACATTTCGACTGAAATAAGACGCGACTTAACTAAGACTCTTCTAATGGAAGGACAGGTGTTAATGGCTCTTCTTAGATAACACGCGTCTTACTTCAGATGAAATGTGCCGTTTATACGGGACAGTTTGCATCTTATTTAGGAGGAAATTTTTCCTCAAATAAATGGCCCTAATGTCGCCTAGCCTGTGTATGGCCGTCCCTCGCCTCAAACAAAATCAGGGAGAGAGACACCTGTGTCGTCTGTGCTCTGGTTTCCTCGGAATGTCAGTGAAAGCCTCCTATTGGTTGTGATTAATACCGTGACATATATAATTTCCGGTGTTATGATTGGTAAATGATCTCGCCAATTTTTGTCAAAAATTACAAGCGGGATGTAGGGTTAAAATTCCGGAAGGACGATTGTTTTGCTTATTCCTAGTATATTTAAGACATCCGGGCAGATGAACGGATGTGACAAGTGTTGAAGTGGAATAGGAAATGAGATAATGCGTGTAGACTAAACAAATGTTGCATAACCTCGTCACCCTCATATCACGCGATTTGAAACTTGAAAATACTTGTGCGATTTGAGCTCTTCATATCTACTGAGAGATCACTAAGGACAATAAGGCAGTTAACGAATTTTAGGCTTTACGAGCTAACCAATGTTTGCGAGGGAGTTACAGGTGACCAAGCCGAGAGCGTGAGGAAACATTTCGCGACGCCGGCCGGCTTTTTACACCGAAGATGATTATGTAATACGCCCGAGTCAAGAACTGGGACGATTGGTGGAAATACTTAAAGACGTTCACTTGAATATCCTTATTACAGTTCGACCTCTCTACATCGGCCGCCTTGGCCTTAGGGACAGAAATAAGTGGCCGTTGTCAAGAGGTCGCCGTTGTAGTCAATGTATGGATGTTTTGTCTGCCGAAAGGAAAAAAGTGGCCGTTGTAGAGAGGTGGCCGTTACGTTAAACTATATTATTTTCGTTAGGACTCTTAAGAAACCGAGTAACACGAAATGGCTACAAAAAAAGGGGTCGTCGAAGTCGTTGCGTGGGGTAATCTGTCTTGTATTTTCCCAATTTAGCCTAAAGATATCCTTACATAAGGTGATTACTTGCACAAATTTCGGCTTAAATACGTTCTAATTTTCTGAAGGAAAAAAAATTCTGGCTAAGAGCATCTAGTGGTATTGAGCTTACTCCTTTTATGTAAAAACCGCAAACCAAATACATTGCAGTTGGAGTGATAAGACACCTATGTCTCCAAACAGGATCCTAAATCTTGGCTTATCCATGTGTACAGATTTTTTTGTTAAGATTTAGAAAATAAGAACCTGTTTCAAATTGTAGGCCTACCAGGTTCTTGTACAGAGGGGGCCTAACTGTTCAAATTTTAGCCCCTGTAAAACCAGGTTCTTATTGAATTCCAAATAGATCTCTGGCCCTTGTAAATCAGACGTTGCATACGGTTCTATCTGTCAGAAAAACTAGCCCCTGAAATGCCCATGTCAATTTTTTCAAGTAGGTCTATTACGGAAAACTGACTAAACTGATTACTTAACTGGTTACTCTCCTTTTGTTGACATGAGCAACTGTATCTTCACTTCCCGAAAGTTAGCTACAGTTAAAAGGATTCGACGTTACACGGGTATAAAAGTGGGACATTCACGTCAAACTTCCCTCCTCCCCACTGACGCTGTCTTGTAGTGTACCCTGCACATGGAAGGAACAACCGGGGGAGTACTCCCTATAATGGCCAATACGGGAAGGCTCCGCCCGAAAGGGTTAATTTTTTCAGGCTTCGGGTATATGAAAGGGTAGGGATTTCACAAGGCAGGGAAATCCATCCATTATAAATTTTTATTTCTTGTATATTATGGGGTGAAATAAAGTGTTGTTGTTGTTGTTGTTGTTGTTCGGTTCATAAAAAGTCCCAAGAGGGCTTACGGACACATTTTATGGCGGTGAAAAATGCGCGAAATTTTAACGTTCTGGTTTTATGATTTATTCATACTGTATGTTTAAGACAATGCATTTTCAGTAGTTAAAAGGAATGAAAAGTTCTAAAGTAGGATTGTGAAAGGGATACCATTTGTCAATGGAAGGCATACGGGGTACCACTTTCGTGAAAAATAAAAATATATATTAAATAAAAGGGAAAAAAATAAAAGGAAAAATGGGTTGGACCTCGGAGCGGGGTACCCCCACCCTCCCTTCCCACGCAAACAAAAAAACTTTGTTGACCGTTCTAAAAATGTACGGGGGCAATTTCTAGGAACTCAGGAACAACGCTTTAAATGGCTTTAAAAGGTAAAATTAGAACCTTACAAGGGATGTGCGATATTATAGAAATGGAGTGGAGCCCTTGCAATAGCAACATCTCATCGCCGCGTAAAGGCTGGGTCAGTGTTGTGTCTAATTGCATCTAAAAAGTGTTGCACGGGCATATTTTCACGCAGTTTCCCGCGCAACTTCGAAATTAATTGTCGACAGATCTCCAAAACCACTTCGTAGGGCAATTCGACACGACACTGGCCAGTCTTGTCTCACGCACGAACTTGAAATGGTCGATAGCAACACAGATAGCAACAACAGGACAATTGTACGACGATGTAAATGTATACAGAGACGCATCTCTTTCTCTTTTAAACCACAATTTACATCATAGCAGTTAACGAAAAGGTCAACGTTTTGTCATAAACACCTCTGAAAATTACACTGCCCTTAAATTACGGGGATGGGAGAGGGAAAGCTTCATTTTCCTCTTGGAAAGTCGACAAAACGTTAGATAGGCTCTTAATTAAAGGTGGAGTGTCTCAACTTTTGTCGCCGATTGAAGCTCAATGCCTTTAAATTCAAGACGAAGAAACCGCTTTAACAGAGTCGCTACTGTGATCAGTTTTCAAAACGGTCTCCTTCTTTTCTTGCGATTGGGCGGTGACAGGCGCCTGCTTCACAGTCCCCGCTTCTGCCAATGAAACCAACTGCGTGGCACTCCTTACTGCAGAGCTCGTAGGGACAGTGGTGTTAACAGAACCACTAGTCGCTCTTATCGCTCCTCCTACTGTTGACCCAAGTGGTGATGGTACCACTTTGGTCGCTGAAACTGTCGTGCTGGACAAAACATAGGTGGGTTGTGCCGTTTTACGTGCACCCTGTGCATACGCCACAGGATTACCAACCGCTTTAGCGGCTACAGTTGTTGTTCCATGCTGACTACTGGCAACGAGAACAGGAGAAGATATTATCTTGCCTGACTGATTGGTTCCTGTTCTGGCGACCGTAACCGCAGTTTGAAGACTCGCTAATGAGCCAGACGCAAGGTTCGTAACCCTGTTTGCCGTGGGTCTCTGTACGGAGGTGACCATTTGGCTCGGAATGGTAGCCGCCCGAGTGCTCTGCACGAGAGTGACTCGACCACCGGACTGTGACACAGTGGTGTTACCAGGCAGTTTTCCAGCTAATGCAGCAAGGCTTACAGGCAGCGAGGTGACAATGCTGCCGGGGACACTGGAGCCTTTGTGAGTGACCTGCACCTGCGAGCCACTGGAGGACGGTCGGACAGGATGGCTAAGAACGACTTGAGCGGATTGACCACCAGTCATTGCAGTGTTGGTTCCAGCCGGTACAGCAGTCTGCAAAGCCGAACCACTGACAAGCTTGTAAGATCCCTTTAGACCAGCTGACGATAGCGCCTGAGAAACCATCAGCTTATTACCGTCCTTGGTTAGAACACTGATGGTTGACGGCTGTGTTGCTTCGCCCGCCACTCGAGTAAATGTTTGTCGGCCGGAAGTCAGGACAGCCGATGACGCAGGAAATTTCCCAAAGGAGGAAGATGTAGTTAGAGAAGCAGCAGCAGCCGACGCTGGAACGATACTAGACGCAAAGGACGGTGCCTGCGTTGTTACAGCAGTACCTTTGAGGCTCATTACGGAAGTAAACGACGAACTAGCGGATTGGGATAGAGGTGTTTGCCTAACTGGCGCCGATACGATGGTCCTCACGGGTATCTGGGCACCAGAGGGCACAACAGCCCCTTGTGCTGACAAAGAGGCACTGACAGCACTCAGGGACACAGGGGCGTGTCGCTGACTCTGAGGTTTAATTATGTATTGCACAGTCTGCCCACCCGCGGTATTTGACGACAAAACGGAGGGAGAGCTCCCACGCGGGATGGTGATCAGGGTCTGTGTGACCCTGGCTCCGGGGTCCGAACTCTTCGGGGTTAGCGAAATAAAGGTCTGTCCTCGGCCAGCGGACGCAAGCGCGGCGGCAGAGGCACCTTGTAGGGGTACTTGACGTGCCACAGTAGCACCATGAAGCGGAAAACCGGGCAAGGTCCCCGGATGCACGGGAATTCCTTGAGGTACACTGCTGACAACACTTGCAGGTGCAGCTCCAGTCACGTGAATTATTCCCGGAGGCGGGTTTGCCGTTTTTGTCTTCGACTTGGACGTCCTTGGTCTTTTGGCAGGACTAGGCTGGCTAAGCGCAAGCCCTCCCCGACTTAACGCCCCCATACTGTTGCCGAGCGGAAGTTTCAACATCGTTTTGCCCTGTTCTTGAACCGAGCTCTTTTGAGGAGTCGACTTCTTCGCCGATGGTTGTGACGTTAGCGCATGCTTACCCACAGAGCGCTCCATTTCCGAGCTCAAATCGCGAGACACGGACCGCTTTCTTTTCTTTTTGCGTACGTCGGCTTCATCCACATCCGAGGAATCGTTTCTGTTGTGTACACTGCTGCTGTTCATGCAGGTTAACACATTGCCTAAAAAGTCACCAATTTCATCCTAAAGACAAAAAAAGCAGACAAAATAACTTAATGGTCTGTTAAACAAACGAAAACAAATCTTCTCTACACCAAAAACGAAACATATTCATACCATGATCAACCGATCGACCATACTCTGAGTCAGGCCTTCTTGTTTCTTCTTAGCACGAGTCAAACGTAGCTAAAATGTAAAAGAATGAGATCCATTTAATCTCCAATCCTTGAACAGCTAACTATACCTATTTATCGTGTACCAGGAATAAACATTGTCAAGAGCAATAAAGGAAAATATGTTTATCTGTCAACATTGTTAAGTACTATATTAACACGCACGTAATAATTGACGACACTGTTCTTGCGTCTGTTGGTGAATTGGCGTTCTGCGGGGACGCCCCTTTAGGTTACAGGGCTCTCTACACATTACCTCAGTTTTGTCTTCCTCGCAGAGCACTTAGTTGCCGATCTATGGTTCGTTTTTTCTGTGCCTCTTTGCAGATTCCTCTTGCCCTACCTACCCATCCCCCAAGGTTGGTCTGTTCGTGCAGGTGAGTATCCGATCAGTTGACTCTACTTCACTAGATCAGGTTCGCGTGTGCCTGTTAGTGGGAAGCTTAAGCAACAACGACGGCCACGGCTACGAAAACGTCCCCCAAAAAATGAAATCGTGTTGCATCAAACTTTATCGCGCTTATTCCACCTCGTTCAATTCATCAAATGTTGGCAATCTCTTCTGAAGTTGAAATTTCTGAAAGACTGTATCGAAGTGCAGGAAAGTAGAAAGAAAGTCGTTGTGTTTACGTTCTCCACAAAACGTGAAATCGGATTAGGCATTTTCGCGTCGTAGTCGTGCGGTGACGGCACAAAAATGTACAATAAAGCGCGACGCACGTGCAGATTGTTGTTGTTTTGCTAATCTAAACCTATCGCTTTTTTTGCCGTTCTCGTTGACGTCGCCGTCGTCGTTGCTTAAGCTTCCTAGTGGCTGTAACAGGGGTGGTTCCTGCTTGCAGGGTTGCTATGGATACCTCTCTGCATTGTGATGCCTGGGTTATTGTAGGCCCCACACCGCTAACTTTGGATCATTATAAGTTTCTGAGAAACTGCCCACCTACCCCTCCCCAAAGTCAATATTTTCCCTTAGTGAGAAGTAAGTGTTGGCTTAGGGGAGGGGTAGGTATAATGATCCCTAACTCTTAAGGCACCGGCTCCCAAGCTGATTGATTGGCAATGACTTTAATTTTAATCTAGGAACTTTCGAAGAACAAGCCACTAGAAAGATTCATCCAGAACTGACCTGTTCATCGGCTCCACCCACCACCAACAAACTTGTGTCAGTCTTCATCTTCTCACGCATCTCCTGCATAGAAGTAAAGAACACAGATAAGGAAAGTCCACTAAACTACTTTTAAAATCAAGGAGATGTGTACAGAAACAGTGGTGAAGAAAAGAAACAGAAACAGTTCACCGAAGTGGACTTCGATTGAAGGCCAAAAAGTCAAAGCTGAATCTCTGCGGAGGCCTAAGATGTAAGCGCCACAACAGCAAAATATGTTGGCTTCACACTAATGTTTGTAAGCATAATTTAAATACTCTTGGAAACTACTGAGTGTGAAGGGGTCAAACTGTACATACTTGAACTTGACTTGAGAACTGGTTTAAAACATTGGGAGTTAAAAAAAATATAGACTGTTCACAGTCCCCTATTTTTCGTGAGATCGTTGAGATATAGCGCGTGTTACCGTTAATGATGGCTGCCTTAAATTTCAAATGTATATGAACCGATGTAGTTTTGACTCTCAAGCAAGATGAAAGCCCGTGACGCAAAGCGCTCGATCTCGACGATCTTACGGGAAAATAGAGGACTGTGAACAGTCTAAAAAATAAGGGGCTAGCTATGGGGTTTACAAGTAGACGTACCTCAACTTCCTCCTGAGAGGTCAGGGTTGAGTGTGAGCCGATGACAAACAAGGTTGGAGTTTTAAGCTCTAAAAGAGGATCTTCCACTCCCTGTAAAAAATGAATAATGTTAATGTGGTCAATTTCTAATTTTTCTAGTATAAAGCAAGCAGACAGTGGGAAGTTTAAGATGCCACGACAGCAACGGTGGTGAAAACTGAGCGTTCTTTGAACCTTGGTGTGATTATCCCAACACGCTTTATTTGTCTAATGTAAGCGAGCTCTCCTGGAGTTGAAGTCTTGAGAAAAATATCCAAGTTCAAAAAGAGAACGAGAAAATCGTCTTTCTTTGTTCACGATCTCAATACAACGTGAAACTAGGCATTTTCACGTACTAGTCGCACAGTGACGGCAACGAAATGTACAAAAAAACGTGATTCACGTGCAGACTTGTTATTTTGCTGATCTAAGGCTATGCTCCATATCGAATAGCTTTCTCGCCGCCACGAAAATCATACCGGATATTGTTTCTGTTCACACACAAGAACGGTCGTGGCGGCCCGATTTCTGTGACGAAGCGAAGCCGCCCCACGCCGATCTCGAAAGAAGAGCATCACATGTCGGATAGGTTTTGTGCCACACTATGGCGCAGTGTGAACAACTATTCGGCCCGTCGCGAAAATAAATAAGTAGGAGCGAGGAGTGGAACCCACTGAGACGAAAGTAAGTATTCTGGAATGAGGACTGGAGTTCAGTGCACCGAACCCTCTTGGCCAACCGCGCCGACGCGATGTTTCGATGTGTGTGAACGATTTGTGCCGCGCCGGACCAATACTGTTCATACTATAATGTGAGCATAGCCTTAACCTGTTGCTTTTTTGACATTGCCGTTGTTGGGCCAATACTGTTCATACTATAATGTGAGCATAGCCTTAACCTATTGCTTTTTTGACGTTGTCGTTGTTGGGCCAATACTGTTCATACTATAATGTGAGCATAGCCTTAACCTATTGCTTTTTTGACGTTGTCGTTGTTGGGCCAATACTGTTCATACTATAATGTGAGCATAGCCTTAACCTATTGCTTTTTTGACGTTGTCGTTGTTGGGCCAATACTGTTCATACTATAATGTGAGCATAGCCTTAACCTGTTGATTTTTTGACGTTATCGTTGTTGTCGTCGTCGTGACATCTTGAACTCCCTAAAGAGAGTAAAAAAGTAAACAACTAACCACTCTGACTCCACTAAGACCAGTGATAGGAAATCCAAGACAGACAACAGCACAGACAGACTCCATCAGTGCAACCTGTATGGATTTGATGACATCGAATTAAGCAAAGTTGCATAAAAACACCCTTTATTCATGACAGAAGCACACAGAGCTGAAACTCTCCTTACAGACACTTGATTACGGATAGTCAAATCACTTGGTCTCAGAGATGTGAACTTCATACAATTCTTACATCATTTGATGAGACTGAATTAAGCAAAGTTGCATAAAAACACCGTTCATTCATGAGAGAAGCACACAGAGCCAAACTCTCGTTACGGGCTCTTCTATATTAAGGGCAATTCACTTAGTCTCAGAGATGTGAACTTCATACAATTCTTTCATCTTTACTATGGAGACCCCTACGGTAAGGACACTTAAATCCGTCCTTTGGGTGCCACTATCAATGCGGTGTCACTGCATTAGTTTGAAAGGAAAAAGGAGGCATGCCCCAGGGGTCAAAATACTAGATGTGCAAGCAGCAGGTCCCAAATAAAGTCAAAGTCTGACTGCTAAGGGCATCGCGCGCCTTTTTTCAGTACAATATCTGTTTGAAGAAATAAATATCATTGCCTAGAACTTTTGGGGCTCTTAAGGGATCAATTGTGTTTTGTCAACCACAAGAGACAACTCAACAATAACCTTTGTTCTAAACTTTTTGTTTGGTTCTCTCCTGCTCTCCGAGAGGTTTTTCTCCGGGTACTCCAGTTTTCCCTTCTTCTCAAAAACCAACACTTGCAAATTCCAAATCGATCTGGAACGCACAGACACGTTTAAACAAGTTCTTAAGAACTCCTAAATGCTTCGACGATAAACAAATTACATTTTGTAATGTTTTCACTCTAATTCCACCAGGAATACAAGGGTTTACATAGATTCTGAACAAAAATAACATCTACACATGCACATCCATCACTGACAAAGAGTTTACCTGGCAAGATACCAAAGCACCAACCGACCAGCCGAGCAAAATAATGGGACGATTGGGAAAATGACTTCTTAACTGAAAAAAAAGGCAACATAAGAATGAAAGAAGATAATGCACAGTTCAAATTGACCTGTTACCACCCCCCAGGGTAACCGCCCGGAAAAGTCCAACCCTTCGGGCTAAGGGGTGGGGAACTGTTTGGAGCGGTCCTGTACTGGGGGTAGGACAGGACACTGTCATACATGCATTATTCTTCTCTCAATAAACTATAGAAAGCGCTTACAAAAGTTCTGAAAAAGTCTCGTTTTGCTATTGTATGGAAATTACTTCACTGTTCTCAAAAAGATGTACCCCACAAAAAACGTATATGAGGTCGATCTGGAGCTAGGGGGTAGGGAAATGTCTCCTTGTGCGTTCCCGGGGGAGGGGAATTAACCACCAGGAGAGAAAAAAATTGCAACTCCCCAGAAGGGGGGGGGGGGCATGGTATTAGGTCAAATTGAACCATGCATAATTTTGATATGCAATTCCAGTTTTGAGACAACGTTTTGAGTTCCGCTTCATTCTAATTACAACAGAAAAGAAAAGCACAGTGAGAGCCTTTCAGGGCTTCCTCCACTGAAAACTGCTATGTGCATAGGGCACCCAAATGCTGTATTAGCTATCTCATAAGCAGTTCCTGAGTCTTCATGAGTTTTGAAGGGATTTGAATTAGATCGAAGATGGTTTACGCTGCTGGTTTCAAATGTTCAATCTTGTCTGGCACATGACAGTCACGTCTCAAGTTTCCATTACTATTAACTATCCTTGGGAGACACTCTTGTGTCTCAATTGAATGGTCAAGAGAAGAGAAGAGAACAGAGTACTCTTTTGTCTCTTCTCTTCTTTTCCAAGAAGAGTTTCAAAAACTTGAGATGTAACTGTCGCATCCTATGCATGACGCACCAGACGAAAAACAATTGAAACCAGCATGGCAAACCGTCTTTGATCTGATTGGAATCCCTTCCCAAAACGACTCACACACAGACTCATAAGCACAGGTAAATAATACAGCATTCAGGTTCCCTGTGCTATGTGGTAGCTTATTAAAATGTACACATTATACCTCCAGCACTTTAATCCTGACAGCACCAATGATGTGATCAAGGCACTGATTGATGGATACACCACTTCCCCCATTGCTGGTGTGCATCGTGACGGGAACAACTTTGCCGAGGACAGAAAGTTGGTTATGCCAGAAGCGAGTTCGTTTGGATGATGTACCAGCACTTACACTTGTTGTGGGACCACTTGGTACAATCAGTAACAATGGAGTGCCGGGGAGTTTGCGCTTTGGATAAAGAGATTAGGCCTGTAATTAAGGACTGAGGGCTGATGATTTTTCTTGGATATAAGAAGTCTGCGCTTTGGCTACTTTGATAGAAAGATAGTACACTAAACTAACTTGGAATGTTCAAATCTGGAGCTATAAAATTATAATTTATACTTTCTTCAATTTCTTGCCTACATGTAGTTCCAAGTAATTGACAACAAATTTGTGATGAAGTACAAGCTGTAACAGTACTTTGTACTGTTCTCAAGTAAAATAGATCACACAATTCAACTGTTTGCAAAATTGAAGGCTGTGAGTGATTTTAAGCCATTCAACGTAATAAACATTTTCTCTTCCGCATGTTTAAAAACTCAAGTGTTAATGAAATCATGTCATGGCTTTTGTGATGCTGCCGTCACTGCTGTTTTAAACGACTTGAGAAATAAACAGAGTATTTTACAATGCCATGAGAATTAGGGAAATCCTGCATGCTTAGTTATAAGGGAAAGATCTATACTTCAGGCCCTGTTTGTGCAAATGATGGAAAATTATGGAACAACTGGGCCCAGTGTATCTTGTGATATCTGAAAGTGACTGTACATGTAGGTGTTGGTAGGTGGATCTATTTTCTTGAGTGAGGGAAGGGGAGTGTGGGGTGTTACCTGTTTATGCTGAGTCACCAGGCCATGTGCAGGGTCCCATGGTCTCTTTAATAGTAAGCTTAAGGCCTCTGAACTGGCTGCAAGTCCACGGCGCTGACTAGATGGCTGTATAAGCATGCGATCAACAAGGGTTGGAATCTGCAAATAAGCAACCATGTTTGAGCAAACTCTACACCTACATGTAATTTACAGGGCTAAGAGTTAACTTGAGTGCTTGGTCACCACTAAGGTCAGTATCCCTGAATTCTAAGTTCAAAATAGCTCAAGTCAAAATTAAGTTGGCTTAGAATTTCCTCTAAGCTGAGTCACGGCTTAATTTAAAATTACGCCCCCCCAAAAATGGATCATTCATTTATATAATAAATTTATAACTGGTGGCTTGCACCTCAAGAGGAAGCCCTCCATTCTTAATTTCAAAAAATAAGTCTATTACTGAGTTGCGTTGTCAGAGTGATTTAAGTCAATAAAACCATAATGGTGTTTAGATGTATCCTGAGTGACTGGGGCAATCTAAAAAATCATAAACAGCTTTGCATTTTGCACATTAATCAGAACTGAAATTTTACTAAATTAATGACGAAAGAAAGGACAAAAGGGAATTACTCCAAGGAAAGACATTGTATTTTTGACACTTTCTTTGTACACTTCTGAAATCAGACACCAATCACTGGTTCAGGCAACCAAACCATGGCTTTAGTGGCTTGGGTCACTTTTAAATCTAGCAACCACAAGAACCACCTAGTTTTACTCCCTGAATTTTCTGTCTTGTCAATATTATCATGGCGAAGACTTGTGTTTTAAGGTATTGTGTTACAGCCCCTGGAAAACTCCAAATCTCACAGTTTCCAAGAAAAATATTACCATTATTGACTTAAAATTAGATCAGTTCTAGCTTATTTCAATCAGTAGCACTATAGGAAAGAGCAGGGAAAATAGTCAAGTGAAATTTAACTCAAGACATCTGACCACCTTTGTATTTATCTGAATATTAATGTGTCACGCACGAAAAGTTAATCAGCTGTGAAACAGTCACAGAGACCTGTTCCTCCAAAGATCCACTACCTGGTTGGGCCCAGAAAGCTGTTTTATGTTTGCCGTGTTTTCATTCAAGATCAAAGTTTCAATAATTTTGAAGCTGAAACAATAAAACTATAAGTTGACAAAGCAAAATTGCCCACTTTGTGTCCTACTATTCACCTGGTCTGAAACGTTTGCGGGCCTTTCAAGAAACAGGCCCCTGATTTTTACAGTGATATCATAATGAACAATTTCAATATTTTCACCAAATTAGTTTGGCCTCAAGGAAGAAATAAATTTTAGGATCAGTTGGTATTGGTTCAGGCTCTAGGAAACAGACCAGGACAATAATAATAATTGATTTCCACTCACTTTGGCTCGCAGAGTCTGTAGGACATCAAGATAGCAAGCCAACAAGGGAATACTTAAACCATCTAGCAATGTACTGTGGAGCCATTTCATCAAGTTTGTCTCCTACAGAGGGAAGAAAGAAATGTTGGTCACATAGCAGTACATTAACCCTTTAGGCCCCAATATCCACATACAAATTCTCCAAACTGATCTCCATACATTTCCTTCATGAATGAGTTGGGGCAATTTGATAACAGATCAAGGCATTTTCCCTTAGGTGATCATTTTATTAATTCTCATAACCTAATCTCTTGACATTGTATGGATATCGTAAGGAGAAAATCGATGTTAGTCACTATTAAGACTTAAAGGGTTAAACAGAGGATCACACTGTACACACTGTGTAATACCAACTCGGAAATTAGGCTTCTTTGGTCCTTCGCAATAATATCTATATCTGGCACAACATGCACCTGAGCCTCATCTTGCAGAATTTTATAGATCTACAGCTGCTTTCCGACTATTAGAATGCCTGGAAAATAGGTTTGCATAAATTCTGCTGGTAAAATGGCTCATTCTGCCTGCCGGCAGTGCTCATAAAAATAGCTTATTCTGCTCAAAATTCTGCTCAGACACCCTTATTCAGCTTGAATTCTTCTTGGTATCCAAAATATTTCGGCCCTTTGGGCTGTACATTTGTATTTATTTTTCGCAAGTATAGAAGGGAGCCTGACCTCTAAAAACTAATTAGACATTCATTATGGGTACCAAAAATTGTCTTTCATCTTACTTTTAATGTGAGTGCGTAGTAGCTATTAAAAAATCAAATTAATAACAAGGTATTTTCCATTTTGTTTTTTTATTTAGTTTTAAACTTTTCTTACAACTGTTATGCATATCATTAGTGCCGCTGATTTCCTATTCTGCTCAGATTCTGCTTGAAAATGCCTTATTCTGCCGGCAGAATGCGGGCCTCAAAAATCATTTATTCTGTTTGAAATTCTGCCCCCAGAATTTATCCAAGTCTACTGGAAAAGGCTGAATCTATTTTCAATAATTGTTCTATAAACCTAATTTGTTTATTGGGTGAAGTTTATAGTAAAAATGTACAGTGTGAGACAGGAAGGGATGGGTATTAACCAAAACAGTAGTGAGCTTAAGCAACAACGACAGCAACGGCAGTGAAAACTTAACCGAAAAAGTGAATTCACGCTGTTTCAAACTTCATCACTCTCATTCAAACTCTTTTAATTTGTCAAATGATTTTTTCAGGAGTTGAACTCTAAAGGTCTGTATCTAAGTTCACAAAAAGAAAGAGGAAATGGATTGTTGCCTTATGTTCACATCCACCATAAAATGTGAAATTAGGCATTTTCACATCATAGTCGTGCAATGACGGCAAGGAAATGTACAACAAAGCGTGATGCACATGCAAAGTTGTTGTTTTGCCTATTGCTTTTTGTCATTCTCATTGCCGTCGTCATTGTTTGAGCTCCCTAGTAACATTATGAACATGTACTCACCCATTCTGAGTCACTTAAAATTTGCCTCATTCTTTTTGTTGCCTTATCAGTTGTAATACGTCTCATGACTGGTTCATTTGGAAGCTGCGGAACAATAATAATGTACATGTCTTAGTACTTATTACAAATTGCCAATGAATCTAGGAAAGAGCAGGAGTTAACTTCTCAAGGAGCATTGTGTGGCATGATACAAGCATTATACGTGTACAACAACCACTCTCAACAAAACAAGTGGCAAGAAATTAATGATCAGATTTACAGTTCTTGGACAACATGAACATCTTAAAAATAAATAATATTTTCCTTACTCTCATTTCACTTCATTCATGGACAGTTCAGTCACATTCTTTCACAGTAAGTTGTGAAGGTATTAGATCTGCTACAAACCCTTCAATTTGAAAAATTTAGTTCTCAAATAATTAAGAAATTTTGCAAAATAAAAAATACACAGTCTCTCAAGTGAGAGCTGAGCTTTCAGAAAATTGATATCCGAGGTGTCAATTTTCACATCTAAAGGTGTGATTTTGAGTTATATTGCAAGCTAAAAAAATCAAGAATTGCATATTTCTGTCAACACTGGGAAGTATTGCAAAGGATTTCTGCCCTGTGATTGATAATATTTGCAAACTAGCACTCTTAGATACCAACTGTGGCCTTCATTTTGGAATTTGAGTTCAGGGTAAGAGTGCATTTCAAATAAGCAATCTTATAAGCATGATCAATATTTTTGACTTTATAGCAGTTCTAATAACCTTAAAGCAATGTTTTTGTTATAAGCGAAGTTTTTCATAGCAATGAGGCAATCAGAAGAATGTGGCACGTATTCAAAGGTTATTAGAAAAACCTTGTAGGTCTCCAAATAACAGTTGGTCAATGGACAATGTCCGGCCAAAATGGTGACTTGACCGGCCAAAAAATTTACTCGCTAGTCCTGCTGACCAGTCATGCACACAAGAACTTTCTCTCTCTCTTGAAAAAACAGCATGATCCACACCTGTAAAACTTAGATTTTGTGTCCTTGTAAAAGTAATATCACGCTCAAAAATGAGAAAGTACACAATCATCAGTTAACTTGTTTATCAAATATTTTCAGCTGGTCAGAAACGAGACTTGACTGAGCAAAATTTTCTTTGGCTGGTCGTCGTGTCCAGTCACCATCCGAAAATATTTCGAGCCCTGAACTTCAAACAACTTTGTAATCTACAACATCCAGACAAGTACCATTCTATCTCAGACAAAAGGGAGACACTGAAAGTTTTGTCAGTGATTTAAGAAATGTGATTTTAAAATCAATAGCGCCCTCAAATAAATGTTGCCCATGAATAATCACCACACTGGAAAACTAAAAACATAATGAATGTTGCAGTGAATACAGTTATTGTCCCCCCAAGCCTTGACCTAGTTTTGTTGTGTGTGCTTACTTATACTAGCGCAGAATGCAGGAATGATCTCTTTGGATCAAGAGTTAAGGTGTAAAGAGCAAGTGCAATGTACATGTACCAAGGCTTACCCCTTCATATGTTAACCTTGACAGTCTAAGATTTGAAAGGACCTTTATGACTTTGTCGAACAGCACATTTTGTTTACTTCCCCATCCATTCCTACAAAAGATAATCATTTACTGGTAATCAGTTACAGCGTAAGTAATTAATCCTAAGCTATATGTTCTATGGTAAGACAACTTTCATTGTTTGCTTTAAAAAATAAGCCAAACCTGCCCACACATGTAATAAATTTCTTGTTCTTTGTATTTGCTGTCAAGTGGCTAAAGTCTATTATACATAAACTACGGCATTTGGTCCCAAGACTGTCAAATTTAAAGGGCAAACTGGCAGAGGCCAAATTTACTACCAAGTGGGGGAAATACAACAATGAAGCATTGAAGCATAGGCCAACTGTGTGACACCAAAACTTCTTTCAGCTTCTTTATATGTTGAGGTTCAATTTTATTCTTGGTTTAGATTTAATTTTCTTTTGTTTTGGGTATGTTAACGTGTGATAATGAGTTTGAAACAAAAGAAAATAAAATTTTAACCCAGGATAAAATTGAAGCATAACATATACAAGATACACATGTGCAGAGCTCATGATTCTTTAATTCCTTGTTACAAATTTCTCAAAGATAAAACGCAAAAACTTGAACAGACTGATGGATACCTCGGGTTAAGCAGTACTTCAATTTTCCTTCTGTCACTAGTTGTCAAGTCACACGTGTTGTAACGTAAACTCAATTTAAACTTAAGCTTATTTCAGCAGTCAATAAATATATATAATCCAGAAACTTACCTTGAAATTTGCTCTTCCCAAGTATCCGGGGTCTTTTTACTCGATACAGTACTTACATACTTCTCGCACTCAGCCATCACTGCTTTCGCCTTCGCAGTATCGTACATAATACTTGCATTACACGAAGATGCAGCCGGTTCGCACACATCAATATCATCTTCTGCCCTAGGTTGAGTCACTGACAACTTTTCAACGCCTTCTCGGGGAAGAAATAATGTTTTGACAGGGCGTACTTTAGATGCATCCGGATGTGCAGACCAGGGTTTAGCGTATGAATGATCAAGGAGAATGATATCGGCAAGATATTGAAGATCTCGTTTGATTCCTCTCTCGCTGAAGTGCGAAATGGACGACATCTTGTTCGCATGTGGATTATATTCCCAAAGGGAATAGTGGGTAATTTTTTTGCAAAACATTTCGCTTACCTTACACTCAATCAGTTCGCCTTTCTGATATAACCGCTGATCAGAAATTCCCAAATTTATATTTGGTGAGGCGACAGTTAAAAATTTCATCAATTCAATGAAGATCAATGATTATTTCAATGAAATCTATAATCTCTGGAACTTCTAAAGGTCTATCTTAATACCTTGATGTTTGTTGGACTGCTTTCATGCAATCATGACCTGGACTTTCATCTCAATGGTTTTATGCACGCGGGACATAATCGCAACACACGGAATATAAACCCCTATAAAGTTTCGCACTTTGGACAAACTTTGCGTGACGTAACGTGGAATTTCACGTGGCGTGTTCATAAAAGAGGAGAGTTTGGGTATTGGAAAGATATACTGCGGTAGTACAGACCAGACAAACTTTCTCATCTCTGCTTGAAAGATCTGGAATGAATAAAGGTTAGTACGGCCGGGCATGTGTGCTTCCAAATATATTAGCGTATAAAAGTGTATTCTGGAAAATGCCGGGTGAGGGGAGGCCATGGGTAGCTCTTCTTATGCGTCAAGTTATTTTTGAACGTATTTTACGTATGTCTCAATGATAAATGTGAAAATGAGACGGAGTCTTTCCCTAAGGGCGATCTTAAACAGGTTAATGAAAAGGTTTTGAAGGTATTCCAATATAGTATTACCACAGGCAGCCCAGGGTCGATGTGACACATGCACAGACACATGAACGATCATGAGTGGTATGGTTGAGAGGACTGTTTATTTCCAGTGATGGTGCGGATCAGCCAAAGAGTATATTTTACATCCTCATATTTTACAGTGGAAATTTTTGCAACACACTGTCTTAAAATGTGATAATGGCCTCCATGTTTGACAATGAAATGAGATATTTTGCTGCCACTCCTATACATTGTATGCATTTAGCTGGTCATGCAAATTTTGTTATTTGCCCCATCTGATTGATTAAATATTTAGTAAGCCATTGTTCTTTACACCTTTAATTTTTCATAATTTTTTTTGAGCAAAAGAGGGCAAATTATTATTTGGCAAACTGTTTTGTTATTCTATTAACTTCCTGTAGACAAGACTTCAATATTTCTCACAAACTACTGGCTGAGTGCTAGTTGGTATTCTTGCAAAGTACAGAGTTTAAGTAAAAAAGGCGACATTTTGGTAAATTTACGATTTGCAATGAGAATATTCAGTAAGTACTGGATCTTTCTTTAAGTTGGGCTCTTTTACTGGTAACCACACCCAAGATATGAAGGAATCCTTTCAACTCCTTTTGTTATTTTAGCTAAACTGCTTGAAATGTAGTAGGGAGTCTGTTTCGATGATTAGAAATAGACGACCACCATTTAAACTAAAAATAATTATTAAGATGTATTATCAAATTAAACTAATCCATAGTAAAATTAATAAAATTCACTGCAAAAGGGAAGATATTTAAAATCCCAAATAACAAAACCCTGTTCCTCCCTTATGTTAGTGAGGCATCCTTTTCAAAATAAAACTATTTAAAGCTGATCTCTGGTGTATTCTTTAGTTAATGTGAAATAATTATTGGAATAGAACCTCGATGATGCCAGTTTCGATGCTTTATGTGCAGATAATTATAATTTTTGTACAGTACATATAATCAACTGCCAAGTGATGAAATCCATCAAACCTGAAATGATTATTAGTCTTACTATTCTTTAAAAACTAGCTTTCCTTCACCATTCATTAAGAATCATTTACAATTGTATAGACCATGATACGTGTATAAAATTTAAATACACAAGTTTTTGTCTTTTTTAGCATGTCTTCCCTGGTTCGGATTGGATATTGGGGGTACTTTGGTGAAACTGGTCTATTTTGAACCATGCAATTCTCAACTAAACTGCGAAGGACAAGAAAAGGTTGGCCTAGAGGCCATGCAAGATTTTATAAAGTCTAATATACACTATGGTGAAAATGGAACAAGAGATGAAGTTTTAGCCATAAAAAATGTGGTATTGGGTGGAAGAGAAGGGCATCTTCATTTTATTCGCTTTCCGACAGATGTGATAGAGAACTTTCTTGTAATTGCTAAGGAGTTGCATGCATCAGTATTAAATAACAAAGTGTGTGCAACTGGAGGGGGAGCCTTCAAGTTTGAAAAAGACTTCAGAGAGGTAGGAGAAATAAAAAATACAGCAGGGCTAGAAAAAAATCCTGTCCGGTAGTCCGAGACAAGGAGACTGTCTTGCTGGGCAAGGGTCCAGTCCACAAGTTATCCTCCAAAAAAAACATTAACTAAGTTGAGCAAGAAGTTGCTATGGGCATGCAGAATGTGAGAGCTACTTGCCCAAAGGACTAGCTGGAATTCATTTTTTGAGCCCTGATACAATTTTTTGGATCATCACCATTTCACTGTTTTTCATATTCTCTTGAAAAACACAGTGGAACCCTACAAATGTACCTTAAACATTAACCTGACTTTGATCTAGGGGTAACTAAATTGATTGGCAGTGATCAGGCAGTGATGCAACTTTAGCTCCCATAGATATAGCCGTAGCAGTGCTGCTTTGTATTAAAGCTCCCTCACCAGACTACCCTGAGTAATATACCATAATTTAAACTCATCACAAATAGATGAGCTTGGGCACTGGTGCCTAAAAAGTTGGTGGAGCCGGGCAATGCTCTAACTTGAAAAAAGAGGAATCCATGGCAACCCTGTGAATGCCCTCCCCCCCGGCCACCAGGCACCATCACACTGAACTGTTCAGTGGAATACTACACACTGAACTGTTGAGTGGAATACTAATCACTAACCAATACTTACATGTACCTGGACCTGAAGTAAAGAGGGAGGGAGGGCTGGGAAAAACACAGCACAAAAATGGCAAGCAAGAAATAAGTCCATAGCGAAGACACTTTGTGAAAAACTGCAAGCCAGCAACTGGGTATACAAGTCATGAGGTACAGCCGCTAGGGGCATCGGGCCACTCCTACTCCACCCCCAGCATAGTTAGGAAAACTGCTGACCAGCATTGCTTCAAGGTTAACTTTGCCTAAATTACATTTAGCCACTTTAAACTTCCGCTTAATAAGCCCTGGGGTCATATAACTTTATAAGGCATTTCAGGAAGCCTTATAAACATGGCTTACTTGATATCCAGGGGAACCAGACTGAAAAACGCATTTCAAAACAAACCAGGTAGAAAAAATTGATTTGGGGGAATTTGGTGGTGGGGGGGAGGGCATATAACCAGATGGATATTTTTGGTTTACTGGCCCACGTGTGCTTATAAGTCCCTGTAGCTTGGTGGTAGAGCATTTGGACGTAGTAACTAAAAGTTCATAGGTTCGATTCCTATTGAGAGTATGTGGATTTTTTCACTGTCACTGACTGAAAAACCACCTTTCTCATGTATTCACCAGGCTCAATATTCACCATCACTTCTCTATCCTTTTTTTCCCTTTCACTTATGGCAGGTCCTAGGTGTACAGCTGGTAAAGTACGATGAGCTGGAGTGTCTCATTCATGGTATACACTTCATTAATTCCTGTTGTGTTCATGAGTTTTACTACTGGAACAATCTGCACTGTTTAGAGAAATCTGAAAAGGTTCCTTATGACTTTACCAATGATTCTTATCCCTATATTGTCGTAAACATTGGATCTGGAGTCAGTATTTTGTCAGTGGAATCTGCTGAGAAGTTCTCAAGAATAAGTGGCACAAGGTAAGAGCAACTGTGTAATAATAATAATAATAATAATGATGATGATGATGATGATAATTTAATAATAATGATATTGACATGACAATGAGAATGATGATGATGGTGATGATGATGATGATGACGGTGATAACAGGAGCTCACTTCACAAGGAGTGATTTTCAATGAGGTTCTGTAAAGCAAAAGAAAAATAAATAGATAAATGAGTATGTAATAGTAATAACTAAAAAAAGTTGAGACCTAAAAACTTCACTAATAGATTTAGCCAGGGCTAAAAGCGAAGCTCCCATTAATAAATTTATATTTTAAATCAAACAATAAACTTGTAATCCACAAATCAGTTAACTTAAGAGCACATTCATGTGACTTTTGAGGGAAAGGATAAGTTATTTTAGAGTGAAACATCTTACATCGAGTTGATAGCCTAAATATATGTACACCCAAAAAATACCAAACATCTTCTATCACATTCAAGAGCCATAATGGCTCTTGATCACAGTAGATTAGGCCTCGAAAACAAATTCTTGGAAAACAAATCAGGCCGCATTTTTTTGCGTTCGACAGGTTTACTTTACAAATTCTTGCCAACAAATCTGAGGGTGTGTAAACCAGCTTTTTGTACTTTTTATACATCACATCTGAGGTGAAACAGTACTTTTTATCATACAGACCTCGGACAGAATACGGCATTTCACAATTTTTCAATATTCAGGGCTTTCAGCGAAACCGTTCAAAAAATTTCTAAAATCACCCATACGGCCAGCCGGTTCTCATTTTTAGTGCGAGCTGTCAGTGTGATCGAGTGTTTGAATGAACTTTAATGGACATACGCTTCAACATAATAACGAATTTATTATCATTAGTTTTTGTTATTTAATGGTTCCAGTTATAACGATGTGTAATCTTCTTATAAAGCGTTTGATACGCGCGACATTTCTAAGTACTCTGCAAGCGATGTTCATGAACGATGAAAACAAACACCACGGACAAGCGATTAAAATTGCAAGAGAGACTACTAACAATCAATAAAAGAAATATAATTCGGTAAAACATTTACAGAGACAACAATTTTCATTCACGAAGACAAGTATTAAAGTGTCTCTAAAAATCCTGAGTCTTCAAGCTTAAAGCTTGAGCTTAAGTTTATTTTGGTTTACTTTCAGCCGGCCTCCCGGTGTTTGTTTTTTTTTCAAAGATGAACTCCTGGAAACAAGAAAATCACTCAAAGTTTTCTTTCTACAGACAAATTTATAACTAAATATTCTTCAGAACGTTTTTTTTCTATTTGCCTTGAGAAAATATATCTGAAGGCCTTTTAAAGTTCTGTAAGCTTATATCAAACCTGATACTAGATCAGATCATTGACTCAAATCTCAACAAACGTGCAAAAACTTGCCGCATAAACTGTGCTCAACTTCATGAAATTAGATATAACAAAAACTAACATTAAATATAATAATTACTCAGGCTTACCATTCGAGATTCAGTTCCTGAAAGATATCAAGGAAGGCCATAGTTGCTTGAGACTTTTAAACCCTCTTACGCATTGAGCAAAGTGAAAGACGAAAACGATGCCATCCGAAATCGGATTACCCAATTTTGACAAGCAACGCATTTCTCAACCAAAAACCCAATAAACAAACCAGCCATGGATAACAGAAGACTCTTGATAGCAGCTGTATTTCATTTTGTACATCCGGTGGAAAAAGACAGTTAAAAACATCACAAGTTGACACAAAACTCTGTCAGCTTTTGCTGTCAAAGTAAACAACTTTCAAGATGCTGCATAAGTTTTCCGCATGAACTCACCTGTGAAATTTTGACCAATCAGAGTACAAAAAATTGGACGTGAGCGTGACCAACGCGTGACCATGGTAAGAAACGTCTTCCCCGCCATTATTATTAAAAAAGTGGCTGCATTTTCGCGTCCGAGGTCAGTTTGAAATCAAAATCTGGACAGTGCGGGGCCATAGTGACATAAACACAACATATTTCATATGAATCATTGGAAAAAATAGACTTGAGCCTGCGATCATTTGAAACTGGTAATTTGTCAGCGGATAACTTCAAAAAAGTACTCGACCTCGATGGGTCGACACTTGAGCCCGCAGTACGGTCAGGTGATACTGGTCAGCGGATATCCTGTTTTGACAGCTGTCAATTGATCACAACATTGATGTGCAGTTAGTTTTCTATTGGGCTCCCAAACTAGCTAGAAAGTGTGAGAGAAAACATCTCGGAAGGGTAGATTACCACATTTCCTTAGCTATGGGGCTCTGTCCACGCGCGCGCCTCGCGCGCGCATGGAGCTCCGCTAATATAAGCTACAGGTTAAGATAGATTAAAATATTAAAAGCTGTAAAATATCTAAAATACATACATGTAGCTTTTAATACTCTGCTTAAAAAGAAGAAGAGACTGTGCGCAACATATCACCCTCAAGAAAATCGTAAATTGAGAGATTTTTTTGTGACAGCTATAAATCTAGTGCCTCCACCTTCCTACACAAAATCGTAACTAACCCCATCCCCTTTCATGATCAACCATCTTCCCACCCTTGGGAAAGTCATGAGAGGCTAAGAGCATCTTCAATTGAAAATATTCCAGAATAAGTATCAATGGAATACACTCTAGAAATCACTTATTTTGGGGTTCATTGCCTTGCAATAATTATCTAGAAATCTCCATAAAAAAAATTTCCTGCTATATGTAGTGTTTCAAGTGGTCCAAAAATTATGACACAAGAGATTTGCAACAAAACTTTTGCGTATTCTTATTCTGGAATATGACAAGTTGAATGCACCTTGTGTAGAACAAAGTTTTCTTTCTAACAAAACAACACAGTGGACCTACACATCCAAAGTCCCATGTATGCAGGAGACAGTACCCTGAGTGGCATTGACAGGTATTTTGGGTAGAGGTGTGTTCTGCCAAGGCTTTCAAACCCTGATCTTGTTTAAGACAAAGGTTGCTCATTTCACTGCCTTGTTTAAGACAACAGACCTTACTTAATGACCCTGATTTATTTCACTTTGCATACAGAATTAAGTAATTTTTCAAACTAACATCATCCGCTTAAAAAGACACCCTGTTCTTGACGCTACATGTAAATAGTGAAATCTTTAGTTAATACATCCTGTTGACGATTCGAGAACCCAAAAAGACCATACTCTGTTCGGTTGCACACACCTGTATAGGCCAAATAATTCCCCTCCCCCTCCCCCCCTCTCGACCCTGACTTCTAATTCTACTGGCCATTTTTATCACTATGTCAAAGATGTAATATTAATATAAATACTTCTTTAAAAATATTTTATTTTCAAAATGTTTTTAGTCTGGGAGGTGGAACCTTTCTTGGCTTGTGCTGTTTGCTGACTGGATGTGAGTCATTTGAAGAAGCTCTTTCCATGGCAGAGGACGGAGACAGCACAAAGGTTGATAAACTAGTGCGGGATATTTATGGAGGCGATTACACCAAGTTTGGTTTACCAGGAGATTTGGTGGCAAGCAGGTTAGTTGACAGTTTTCTTATAAAATTAATGGCCTGGGGCCAGTGCTTCAGCCATACTAGAATCTTTAATGGTTAGAAAATGTTAAAGTTCCTGATCTTCAAGGACTTTAGTAACAAATTGTATGAAAACAAAGCCTTATATGCTCTGGCTCAGATGGCCCACATGTACTTGATCGTAACCTTTCACTTTTTTTTTATAAGTGGAAAATTAAAGCTGTTTGATCAGTCAGCAATGTATTTGGGACAAGGTAGAATTATGTCAGCTTTAACGATAATTATTAATGTTATAACACAATGTATTAATTTTACAGTCAGACCACATTAATATGGACAGCAAAGGGACAGAAATAGAAGTCTACATTTTTTAACTTTATAGACTGTGTCACATGCATTGATGTTTGGCATATTAAGGACCAAACAATTGTTTGATAATAGAGAGGTGTTTGTAAAGATAGGGAAAGATAAGGTTCCTCTTTACAATGTACTTGTCTTTCAGTTCAACACAAAAGTTAAAAGTTTCTTGACTGGTTAATCAAAACTAATGATTTTAGACAGTCTTTACCTTCTCATTTCCACAATTTGAGAAATAATAATAATAATAATAATAATAATAATAATGATAATAATAATAGTAATAATAATAGTTTAATGGTAATTCCACAAAGTGGTTCTCATATCACCATACCTATGCTAAAAAGTAAGTATAAAGGAGAAATTAACAACTTGACATTGGCCATTTGCCATATTCGTGATTCTACATCTCTCTGATGTAATGAACCTGGTGTTCTGTTTTAGCCAGCCATATATTTGGATCACATTTTTATTTTATTGGCTCAAAAGCACAGACGTTTGGCCTTTTAAATAATCTTTCCTCCTTGTCAACTACCTCAGTCAATATGTTTTTTTTTTCTACATTTAGCTTTGGAAAGATGAATTGTGAGGAGAATCGATCATTGGTTAGTAACAAAGATTTAGCAAGAGCCATGTTAGTTACCATAACAAACAATATTGGTTCAATAGCGAGGATGTGTGCTGTAAACCAAGTGAGTGCTGTGATTTCAAATTATACGAGACAATGATCCCTTCAGGGCTGTTGTACTGGCTCCAGTTATTCAAAAGGTGGATAGCGGTATCCACTGGATACCGCAATTGGATTTCCTAACACTTACCTGCGATAGCGATTTATCTGGTGGGTAGCGCTATCCAATGTTTGAATAACCGGGGCCAGGACTTTTGTCATGCCCTGGTGCTTGCAGGCTTATGACAAGTAGTCACGTTTGTTAGAATGCATCCTAATGTTGGTGGTCCTGTGGCACAAAGCCACAAATGTTTGAGGTATTGGGAGTGACTGCCGATTAGCCGCCCGTACTGATTGAAACTGGACTCCTTTTGACTCAGTTATCATTTCCGTAAGTGACGAATGCGGATCTGTAATCAATGATTACCCCTGGTAATAACTAAGGTTAGGAAGTGCATGCTAGATCGTTTGATCAGTGCTTAAACACCCTTGCTCCAACACTGTGCTCTGCTTAAGGCCCTGTTTATTTGAGGTGAGTAAGCCTGGTTAGCTGGCCTAGCTCGGTTCATGCCTTGTTTCCTCATAAATTTGTCGTTTTGGTTTATTTGAGAAGGAAGGCTGTTGCGCTTGCCAAGATCCAGTTGTTTGAGCTGGGATCTCGACACGTGGGCCAGCCCACCTTCTCATATAAAGTTTTCTAGAGTCAAATAAAGGGAGTAAAGAAAGGCAGGGAACACTCTAGGTGTCCATTTTACTAACTAAAGGTGTCCATCTTTATAAGAGAGCTGTCTGTTAAGAGAGAGTCAACATTAAATCTTGGGGGACTACTCAACAAAGTTTTATGCTGTGTTCGAGGAGGCTTTGCCCCAAGGTCCAACCCCTTACCCTTTTACATACCATTTTAGCCAGAAATGATACCCCTTCATGTACCGTACATTGAAAAATGGTACCCCTGTAACACACCTACCTAATAAGAATAAATCGCTGAAACGGAAAGTGGCCTTGCCATTTTCGCGTAAAATTTATTAAATTAAAATGGTAACCCATAAGGCGCGTGTTTTTTAAACATATCAATTAACGTCTTTTAAATATTTATCTGAGGGATTTTCCGGATCGTTATCCGTTTTTGGGAAACTGTCCACCTACCACTCCCCAAGGCAACATTTTGCTCTACGTGAGGAGTACGTGCTAATTTTGGCTTAGGGGAGGGGTAGGTGGGCAGAATTCCCTACCCTTGGATATACCTGAAGCCTGAGAAAGGTACCCCTTCGGGCGGAGCCATTATAGGGAGTAACCCCTTCCCCCCCGGGTGAATGGTATGTTAAAATCCTAATTCTCAGCAGTCTGTTTAAACCATTGGCGTACAATTAATAACAGTTTTTATCCACCCTTCCTAATGTTACAGTTAGTTTCATAGATTTTCTCTTATCATTTTTTTTGGCAGAAAATTGGTCGTGTGGTATTTGTGGGCAACTTCCTCCGTAAGAACACCATAGCTATGAAGTTGCTCTCATATGCAATGGATTATTGGTCTAAAGGAACCTTAAAAGCTCTGTTTTTAAAACATGAGGTATTAAGAAATAATAAATGTCTCTAAGAGAGAGAAATGCCAATGGAATACTGTTAGGCTGCCATCAAAGTGTTTATAATAATTCCCTTTTTTATTCTTCATATTAAGGAGCTTAAGCAACGACGACTGCGACGGCAACGAGAATGGCAACATCTTTGCACGAGCATCACGCTTTTTTGTACATTACTTTACTGTTGCACGAGACTAGGACGTGAAGATTCTTACTTATTTTCACGTTTTATGGACGTCGACGGAAGACAAAAACTTTTCTTTTTCTTTTTCTGAACTTAAGCCCTGTGCAAAAGGACGCAACATTGTTGGATGGTACATGTTACGTTCGTTTGCACACGCTGTTGCGTGTTGTTTGGGGGTTGCTGCGCAAAGTTTGAAACCGGTCAAACTTTTGAGCAAACAACTCCCAACATTTCTTTTGATCCTTGATCGCCGACACGCACGCATGCACGTGCATCACGCTTTTTGGTACATTTCCGTTCCGTCACCGCACGACAATGACGTGAAAATGCCGAATTTCACGGTTTATGGAGAAAGTAAACAAGGGACGACGAATTTTTCTTTCTGGCTCTTTCTCAACTTAAGTGCGGCCCCCAAGAAATAAACTCTAAGGGAAATTCGTCTACATTTGACATTCTCAGCGAATTGAATAAACGCGACAAAGTTTGAAAATATACGAATTCACTTGCGGTCGTCGTCGTCGATGCTGAAGCTCCCTTTTTGCACTCTCACGTACACTGCGAGCAGTCTCTCGCTCGAAAATCTGTAAGCCAGATTATTTGAGCAGCGAAGTCGCGCGAGTTGCGGGGGCGCGAATTCGCAACTCACGCGAAAGACAGAAAAAACGCTAGTATTACCATCTTGCACGGTCTTGTGTTTACAATTTTGCATCCCCTTAATTTTAGGTTAATTCCATTATTATTTGGAAGTGTGAGGTTTGTCAACAGTTATCATTTTCTTTTTCATGCCAGGGTTATTTTGGTGCATGTGGAGCCTTGCTGGAACTGATGACAAGAATGAAGGCGCATGAAGATGGGAGAAGCTAGTTAGCATTTCTTACTATTACAGTTCTAAGGGGTTATATTTTGATATATTTATTAGTCAATTTTTGTATCTAATTCGTAAGAAAGGCGTGTCCTACAGGTGGGAGCTAGTGGATTCTCCTATTAGACTAGTGAATTCTGTGATGCTCTTAGAGGAATTCAAATTACAGAAGAACTGTAAACAATCCTGCTCATCAAAAAAAATTTGGGGGATAGTTAAAAAGACTCTAGGGCTAGTGCGTGGTAGCTACAGCTTGCCTGAATGGCAAGCTCTAAAACTGACTTTCTTTGCACCCTGCTTATTAGCCTTTTAAACTCAGTTCAAGATCAGGGTATTGTACCAGTTCAGTCATAGAAAACCTGGAAAGTCAAGGAATTAATTTTAAGACTTTCTTCCTCCACACCTGGAATTCCATGGAATTGAATTATTGATGATGAAAAGTAATGGCAAATTTAGGTTACGTTTGATAGATTAATCACTGCAGATGCAAAGCAAGGACAAAGCAGGGGTCAATTTAATAAAACTATTACAAACTTTAGCCATTGTTGCCATTGTTTTTAGACACCAAAACAATGGGCACACTGGTAAATTACACTTGGAAAAGTTTTATTAAATTGGCCCCAGTGCCAACGGTGGGCATTTTGGCAGGCGTAGAAGTTGCGTGAAGAGGTAAAAAAGGCAACCAATTATCGTGTAAGGATTTTGGTCAGGAGAAAACCCTGAGCAGCTAAAATATGCTGACAGTATTTTGACCAAATATCCCAACAACTGTAAAGCATACAATGATCTTGAAACTGGTACATTCAGATGTTTTAACAATGACCTTTCATCATTTTATTGAAAAAAAGAGCTGTAATTATCTGAATTCAAATATCAGTTATTGAAACAATGTAAATTGACAGAATCAATTTAAAAAAATTGTTATTATTTTTGACAATATTTTTAGGTTTTGTACTTACATTTTCAATACACTCTGTACTGTCTAATGTACTTGAAACTAAGAATGTCCAGAAAAATAATAATAAAATAAACTGATTTAAATACTGTGATAGTATAATGTAATAATTATATTATCCAACAAAACAGGACTACATACCATGTACAAGTTGTATTGTCACTATTACAATCAAACCGACAGAACACCAGAAATATGATTGGAATGTTTTGTTCCCAGAAAATGGCCAATCAGGAGTGAGGAAACTAACTCAGAAGCAACAGTGAACAGCATTAAATGTGGTTTTGTGGATAGTGCGCATGTCCTGATATTTTGCTGTGATTGGACATAACACAATCACACAATCCTGAAATATTTCAAGTGTTCACAGTTTTGTCGGTTTGACTGTGATACAGTCCAGCTGTGAATATTAATACTATTAATTTTTTACTTGCAGGGGTGAAATAAGGTGCATGCATGTCCTGATATTTTGTAGCCTTTTGAGGAAGGCCTGACACAAAACCATTCAGCTCTCTCCCTTTTTCGCTTCCATCTTTCCCCTTTTCCCCAGAAACGCCTGATACTCAGGCTAGATATTTTGCTGTGATTGGACATGAAACAATAACACTATCCTGAAATAATTCAAGTGTTCACAGTTTTGTCGGTTTGACTGTAATACAATGCACTCGTGAATATTAAATACTATTAATGTCTTACTTGTGGAGGTGAAATAAGGTGCACTAATAATAATAACAAAATAATTTATTTGGATGCATTTATGTGCTTAAAATCTTTCCTATCATTATTATTATATAAATAGAAATTTTGGTTATTTAAACACCTACTGGTATTCACAAATTGTTATTTACTGCCAGTTGTTTTAGATATGGAAATAAATTAGTTAACAGAGGCAATACCATTCAAAATGTCTATCCAGTCATGTTGCTGGTCAAAATTATCTTGTTCAATTTCAGCCAATCAGAAAAACTACCCAGATCTGGGTGGTGATGCATCATCAGTATGGAATTTCTGCACTCATTTGTTAGACTTCATTATTCACAGGGAAACTAGTGGTGACATTAATATCAGCTATTTTCTCAGGCAACTTTTTAACTAACAAAAATCTTTTGCTAACCGGCAAAAGGTGAATAAGTGTTTTACGTAAATTGACAGTTGAAAGTTAGAAAGTTGGTGCATCTTAATACAGGCATAGATCCATCAGACTGCACCAATGGATGAAGATGATTGTACTACTTTATGTTATAAGTGAAGAGATCTTGGACTTCCTGGGTAAAATCCTCCTGCTGATGCACTGAAGAGTTGAAATTCATGATCAAGTGGTAGTTCTACAACAAAGTAAGACAAAGATTCATCAGTAACAGATTCATCAGTAAATGCAGTACCAGCTTACAAAATGTTTTTATAATATTTGGTAATAATAATATGACAACTTGTTAGCAAGATGGATACTGTATTTTACTTGAATAAGCACTGCAGCGCTCATTAAATTTTTTAACCCCTCAAAGTGGCCCTTATTCAAAAGGGGGTGCTTATAATTTTATTATCATTATTTTTCTGCATTACTTAAACTGACAGAATTGACGTCTTTTGATTTTGATTATATCAGGACCATGGCAGCTAATCCAGGGCAGCACTCTTTAGCTTCTTTCTCCCAAAATATGCTGCCCTTATTCACTACAGTAAATATGCTAATACAATACCCACTAGTAAACATACAAATTTGTATATTCAACAACGAATTTCCACTGAGTTTGACCTAAGGTAACACAATACATCAACACTGGTTTCATGAAACCAACTGAAACTACAACAAACCCTACTGTGCATATACATGTAAGAAGGTATGTTTTTAGAATTTTTAAAAGTCAGCTTGAAAAGGTTCAGTTAAGGTTCTTTTATGTTTAAAAACATAACGCAGGTCCTGGTTGTTCAAACATTCGATAGTGCTATCCACTGGTTAAATCAATATCCAGGGGATAAGTATTACGGAAACTGCGTTATCCACTCATCTTTGCTTAAAAAGCAAACAGTTGCAGTTTTAACTTGTGTATGTGTGTAAGTGTTAATAATCTCCTTTCCCCAATCCTCTGGAGTGGTTCCCAGTGGAGTAAATAACAATGTCCCAATTCCAGCACTATATACTGCCATCTCTCACACTTGGGTGCCCCAAGGAGGAGTGGAGTGAGAAAACAGTCGACATTTCTTTCAGGGCATGTGTCACTCCACCTTAATTCAATATACAGTAGAACCCTGTCAATACAGTCACCAATGGGTCCAAAAAATTTGGCTGTATCAATGGCGTGGTACCGGGGCAGGACCAAATTTCATGACTTTATAATGGTTGTAATGAAAAGTACACCATACATCATATTTGCACCTCTTGAACATATTGTCCTCTCTAATAAGCAACCAGAATGTAGATATTGTGTACAGTTATTGTAAAAACTACTCTAAACTTTTTTTTCCATCCTTAGAAATTGGTTATTACCCCGCCAAAAACAAATATAAGTGTATTGTAGTTTAAAAACAATAAAAGAACAGGCTTAGCTTACTAGGTCAATGAAATTGACATGACACAGGCATTTTATTTTTCTAATTTCAAATGAGTGGCTGTATTAACAGGGTGAAATTATAAAAGATTCTACTGCTAGGGATTTTAAAATGTGGCCATTGACTGTATCAATGGGTGACAGCATTAATGAGGGATTTTTCTAAGGCAATGTATGGCCGTTTTGCCGGACCAAGAAAAAGTGACTGTAAAAATGAGGTGGCTGTGGCATGTAAGGTGAGATTCCACTGCAGTGTCCTGCAACCATGTCCTACTATAATAATATTGTACATTTGAAAACATGATAGCTCCTGTGTTACATTAATAATACTCATAATCCACACTGGAGGAAAATTACCTGTGATAAAATCAATCCGTGGAATGGTAATAGTACTGTATTTCTGTATCACATCTCCCCAAAAAGTGTTCATTTCTCTTCTTTCTTTGGCTTTGTTAGAAACAAAGAAACCATCCAATACATTGTTAAAGCAGTGGTCATAATCTTTGCTGGGTCCATCTTGAGCAGTGCCAGCATCAGTGAAAAATGAGCCCCACTGGTTTGACAAGAGTACCTCTTCCTTGTGCCTTTCAATCTCTATGTGATCCTAGTGAAGGAAATGAAATATAATCTTGATTAAATTGCTAGGTAATAATAATAATAATAATAATAATATTAATAATAAGACAGAGACTGTGCCAATCATAGTTGGTGTGCTGGGACTTCTTAAAAAGGGAGTGGACCAGAATTTAGGAAAGATCACTGGAACCATTAACATCAACGAACTGCAAAAGATGATCCTCTTGGGATCAGTGTGCATGATAATATAAAAGATTTCTGTCCATCCAACACCTCAGGACCAAGGAATGGGCCCTGGTCTAAGAGTATACAAGAAGCAATTTATAGCACTAGGAACAACAACAACAACAATAATAATGGCAAAAATAATAATAATAAGTAATAAACTTCTTAACATGAGGGTCACATAATTGCCTTTTCCAGGCTACCCTTACCCACTACAACTGTAAGTGGCAAACCAGGCCTGGCCAGGCTTTGCCATGCTTTTGACCACACCCCTTATGCAAGGTCTCTTACAGTAATACTTAAGTTATTAGAAGAGGAGGTAAAGAAAACCATCTGGCAGAAGGATAACCAGTAAGTGTGGCCAAGGGGTTGTACCTCGTGGATAACAAGAAACAAAATCCCGTGAGTCATCAGGGAGGGACGAACCTGGGACTGCAGGATTATGAGGCAATTGGTACATTGGCCCCAGCTAGCCTGAGATCATGCCCTCTCCCTATTATCTCTAAATTTCAAAAAATGCCTGATCACACATGGGATGAAATTATCAGAGGTTAAGCGTTTCTGATGCTATTTAGCTCTGACTCAAGACAGCACAAGATAATCTAGCAATCTTACATGGAGATACTTGGCAGGTTTCTTGGGACTGGGACCATCTTCAAGTGATTCCTATTTTGAAAATGATAATAAAATAATCATAAATTGTGGAGTAAATGGTCTTGAACATTCATTGCCACTCAGAGTTTCATGCTTCTTGTGAAGCAATCATTGGGCAACTGCCAAAAGTAACAGTTACATTATCAAATAATATATAGAGAAAATAGAACAATAAATACTAGGGTGGCGCATCACATCACTAATTAAGTGATGCCTACAAAGGTCATGTCACATTTGCAACAGACTCTAATAATCAAATTAAGGCACTTTTCAATAGAAATTTCCTAGAATGTTTGCTGAAAACAATATCTACATTAACTAAAGTGACAAGGTGCTGCAATAAATGCATTGTTCAATCAGTGTTAAAATCCTTGCGTGATCTGTCACACAACAGAAATTTATTTTATAACTCACGTCCCTGATAGAAGATGGACTAAAGCAGCTTAACATTATTAGAATAATGACAGAAGACCTTTAATTGACCACTCCAGAAATACCGTAACATACCATAATGCTCTTTGTTTGTCACCTCAAAATTTTGCATAAGCATTGTGTTCAGTTTCTCTTGCGAGTTAAAATGGCCCCAAGAGAAACTGAAAGAGTCTTATGGTATGTTATGGTATTTTCTGGAGTGGTCAATTCACTCTTCCAACCCATGAAAAAAATCAGTTGATCACTAAAAACACAACCATTTTAAATACCTTTTTATCTTCATGTGTTACAAGGTGTTCTATTACTAGGCCTTCTGATTCCATTTCCTCCAGTATTGTGACAACATCCCAGCCACCATGTACCACTGATGGGAACAAGTCTGACCTCATACTATCTCCAAAATACAAAACCTACAGAGGCATTAATGAACATAAGGGTTAGCAAAATAAAATGTGTTGAACTGGAAAATATCAATTAAGCATATATTGAACTCTGGGTCAAATAAAAATTTTTTCCTGACTTAAGGCCATCCCCTTTTTTGCATTTAGCGTCAAATGCATTTCCTGATATTGGGTTGGTCGGTTGGATTAAAAAAAACCTAAAAAAAACAAATCACAAGAAGTCTCGGAATTGGAGGCCCTGGTACCCCAGGACAACATTAAAAGTTAACATTTACATATTTGGATTAACAAAATAATTATAGTGTAAAAATTAATGTTCCATTTTGTCCCTGTTTTTCTCTACGTTGTTACTATGCTCATTTTTCAGATTAAAAGAATTATTTCAAGTGAAAAATAGTGTAACTACGTTGTTACTTCTTTTTTGGTTTGAAAATGCCAAAAATACGAGGTGGCTGGACGACGCTATGGAGAAAAAAAGAGGATGGCCTAACGGGCCAGTCAAAATTATCTTAACCCTTAACTCCTCCAGACTGATCACCAACATTTCCTTAAGGAATTAGTTGAAAGAATTTAATTTAAAAAATCAAAGCAATTTGCATGTACCTTAGATAATCATTAATATTGTTTTATTCTCATGACCTGTTCTCTTGATAATGTATAGATATTGTTTGGAGAAAATTGACAATGGTCACACCTGGTAATTAAAAGATTACATACCTTAAGGTTTTCTTTGTTGGTTTGTTTTTGAAGAAATGCAGTGAAGTCCCTGTGATTCCCTCTGCTATAAATTCTATTTTGCTGAAGCTGTTTTACAGGATCACCTTCTCTTTCACCATCTGTTAAAAGTTTAAATAAAAATTTTATTGAGAAATGATGTGATTGATTAACATGTCACGGGCATGGGGCATGTCAAGACGCATGTCATACATGAACTGTGTGTATGGCACAGCTAGCCACGAGTCCTTCGTAGCTCAGTGGTTAGAGCATCTGACTGGTCTACGGAAGGTCATAGGTTCAATTACTGTCGCGGACTCAGATTTTTTCTTTGTCACATGCTCATGACTTGTTGATCACATCATTTCTCATTTCTTCATCACGCTTAAAATTTACCATCAATAATTTTATCACCTTTGCACCTCTACAAAATTAACATGTACTGTACACTAAACTGAAACCATTTTTGTACAGTCACATGAAAAAATAATCATTCAGAATTTTTGACTTGTAATGACATTTTCAATAAATTAGGTTCTCTTGCTCATCTTCAATGCCCTTTTTGATGTTTGCATCCATGAATCAAGTACCAAGAATTGAGACTTGATTCTTGATGATTGCTTCTCAAATCTCAATCCTCAGTTACTGAAAGAATTATCAAACCAGAAATGCTTTTGTCAAAGTTTTCAGTAATTGGCACCTCTCTTTTCTTGAAACTAGTTAGATGCAACTATCAACAGCCTTTATGCAATTGTCAATTAACCAACTTACATCTTGAGGAAACAACTTGAAATGATCATTCAAGCATTACAGTTTCTCAAGCACAATGAATTTATAGCTAGGCCACCCAGACAAAACAATACCCAAAACCTGACAGCCAAAACCAGTAAATAAAATGAAAATGTAAAACAAAACACAGGAGCATTATTCAATATTTTTACCAATCTCATAAAACTGGGTTAGTTGTTCTTCGGACTTGAAAAAACCTGCAAAAATTATTAATAAAAAAATAAATAACATTTTAAATATAAATTAATCACTAGGTTATAATTTGTACTTTGCTCATCATCACATTTAAAATGTATCCTTCCTGGCTGACTGCTAGCTATGGCATGATGTCCGATGTGTGTGAATGATTTTATAGCTTTCCATGTATACAAAATGTAGCTATCCATGCATGTGGCCAGTATAGTGTAGAAAAAGCCTAAATCTTTCTGATTACTAGTCTTAAAATTATTATTGATCATCATCACATCTGGTAATTTTAAAGGCCTCCTGGTAAGAGGTTGCTTATGAAAAGTATAAAAAGTGACTGACAAATTCAGGTAAAAGTCATTAAGCATTATGATAACTTAGGAGAAATTTGATGTTGATCTTTACCGGACTAAAACAGCTTTATACAATGCATAAGCACCTTCAATCTTAAGTGTGGGCACTTTCAGTACATAAACTGTATTATTATAAATTATGCATTAAAAATAATTATCAACAGTTGGTATGACCAGAAAAAACATGAGTTTGAAAGAAACCTGGTTTTCCAGCCATGCAAACAACAACATCAAACATTTCTGGCCAGTGTTCCCTAAAACAAAATAAACCAATCAGACGTGTAATAGAGACAAAAGTAAAGTTAGCACCTTTTTGCATTTCAACATATGCTAATTGCATTTGGTTCTTTCCTTCTCTTCTGGACCATTACTTAATCAAAAAGCACATATTAAGTAAAATGCTAAGAGGTTAGGTACAACCAAATTCAAGCACATCATCATCAACATATGAAATCATCACCATTAACATTACCAATAACACCACCATTATTACCACTACCAACATCATCATCAGCCGCGGCCGCATGAACATCATCATCATCATCATCATCATCATCATCATCATCATTATCATCATCATCATCATCATCATCATTAAAATCATCATTATCATCAACATCATCATCATCATCACCATGATTATCATTGCAACCATCATAAAGGTCATACAATATCATCTTCCTCATCATCAATATTATGATGTGGGACCTCAAATGGGGGAGCAATGGTTCCACAGTACCAAAAATCTTAATCATTATGCTAAAACTAATAAGTATTCAGCCTTACCCAACAGCAAAATTCATAAGAAGATTTGTGTAGTCAATGTATGAGTTGGTGAGGAGGAAGACTTTTTGCTTTCCATCTCGTAAAGATTTAATCCAGTCAAGGATTTTCTTGCTACATGGCTTTATAAATTTAGACGTATTTTTTGTTATGACAGGAAAGAAGTACCCATTTTGATCTGAAAAGAAAATAAAGAAAGAATTTCAAAAGTAGGTTGAGTTTGATGGTCCGGGTGAACAGATTCCTGAATAGGACTGTTGTTTTTGACAGTGACTGATGTTTCGACAACCTGTGCGTCAGTTGATGGTATTATACTCTGGTTATTGATCCGATTGGTCAATTACGTCGCGATGTTATTGGTCGTCTGTCAGTTAAGCCGTGATGTTATTGGCTATGAGGACTCGTAATCAGTAATTGGTGCATTTTGATCCGTTTATTGTCACAGTTAAACAGTCGTCTGTTAGTCACATTGTCATTCTCTTGTAGGCTTACAGACGACCCTGATACAAACACTATCAAACAAACAATAAATAAAAATAATTATGACTTACCAGAAAACTTTAGTGGATTAAAAACATGTCTTAACATATAAATTACATCTGGCCAAAAATTGTATTTTTCCAATCTTCCATTCTAGCAGAGGAAGAAAAACAGCAAAAATATCACATTTACATTTTTTGCACCAGCAAATTACAGATAACATTATTGTGATCAAACTTTGCTTACCGCTGATAATTGAAGGAAAAGTCATGTCCATTTACCTTTTCATCTATTATATCAATGAGACGTGCACATATTACCATCACAGGAAGGTCAAAGTAATTCTCAAACACTCTAAACATGGAAGCTGTACCAGAAAAAGAAATCATACATGTACCATCATATTAAAATAAAATAATTGTTTTATTTGCTTATGCTGGTTAAGGAAAATTGATATAGATAATAATTTTCTGAATTAAAATAATTTTCAGCAATAGATGAGCTTGGGTACTGGTGCCTACAAGGTTGGTGGAGATGGTAAAGCTCTAGCACCAGGAATGAGGTATCCATGGCAACCCTGTGAGCGACCTCAACCATGCACCGTCACACTGAACTGTTCAGTGGAATACTTACTGACCAATAGCTACCCAGTGCTGTCAACTCTCCCGGATAATCCAGGAGACTCCAGATTTTGAACCGTTTCTCCAGGTCTCCAGATTAGAGTCTGAAATCTCCCTAATAGTTGCCAACGTTCGCCATTTCTTGTAGATTCGACTTTTGTGTTGTTTGAGCTATTTTACTGTTAACACTGAATGTTTCCTCACAAACTCCGGTATGCCAATGTAATATAAGTAATAAAGTGATTGGTGGGAAGTAAACCAATCAGGTCAAATGTTACAATTCCAAAAACATCTTTTATGCCATTTTTTGCACAATTGACGTCATGTGTTGTGCATTACAACATCATCTATCATCCCTTCCCTATCAATTCTCAATATTTGAAGACGTAGGGGCTGGACAGCCCTGCCCACCTAGCCCTGAATTCAAAAAAGAAGGATACAGGGTTGGGAGAAACTCAGCATGAAAATGGCAAGAAAGAAACAAGGCTATAGTGAAGACACTTTGAGAACAACAGGTTAGCATTTTGTGGCTATCAAAAAGACAAGATAATTTTCTAGTTTAGTGATTTACACATATTTAAAAGACAGTAAATTTACAGCAGTCAAAAGGTATGTGAAAGGGGGTACCAGTAGTCAATAGAAGGTATAGGAAAGGCTAGTGCCATCCTTATATGAATATTATTTTGGAAAAACTGACTCTCCTCATACTTCCACCAGAGCACTGGAAATTTTTCACCACATTGTGGTCTGTCCTCTTAGCATGATAGGAAATTTATGCAACCACGATAACGACTGCAGTAAAAGCAGAAACTTTCAGATAACAATACACAGTCAAAAATGTACAAATTATTGTGTCTTACACTGTTGACTTGGATTTTCTTTCAGGCTGTTAATCTCAGGCCATATGCTCTTTTCTCCATACCAATCTGTAATTTCTTCTCTTGTCATCCGTTTTGTACCATGTGTTGCCCTAATAAAAATTAATGGTAAAAAGCATGAAAAAATTATCTTTTGGTTAAAAGGCCTGTATTTCTAGACTATGGTGAAAATGGATGTCCAGGGATGTCCATTTTTGCACTCCTAATTTGTACATGCATGTATAACACTGTACACAAGGTTGTGTTTTTAAATGACCATGTTGATGAGTTGTTTGGCTACAGTTCAGATGTAATTAATTTTAATTAGTGGCCATTGTAATGAAGAGTTGGCTATTATAGTATAAATTTAATTAAGTGGAAAAGAGTCATTAAGTAGTCAATGAGTCATGAGTCAATAGTTTGCATCTCTCAGATTTGCTATCAGTAACTGCTTTACAGAAGATACTGTATAGTGACAAACCCAACCTAAATAAATGCTAACCACTTTGAGTGAGTCATTAACCCTACATCACTATTGTTACTTTTTTAAGATGTTATGAAAGGCTAAAATGTGAAAAAAGGACCAACCCTCATTATTCATCATACGAAAGATTAAACTCAGGGTTGTCAGAAAGTTTTGAAGTAGATGGCTGAGTTGTCAAAGAAAACAGCCAGTCTAGGGATATTTCATTTAAAAAACGCCATTGATAAAGAAATGCCAAGCAGAGTAGCCAGCCGATACTAACCAAGTAGGCGGCAATTTTCGCCGGCAGCCAGCTACATCTGACAACCCTGAAACTAAAACATTAGAATGTGCATTTGTGGGGAATCACTACAGTCAGTGCTTTATAGCCTTTATCAAAACTAAAATTACCAATTATTAACCCCATCACTATTTTCAGTACTTAACCCAAACCTGATTCAAGGCTTGACTCATGACTCATTGACTCGTTGAACTCATAAGACAAGCTTTCCCTGTTTTGAGAGGTGGATGACATTCGATTCCTGCAAAATCAGCTGCTCAAAATGGCCATTATGTATAAAGTATTAAGTAATATCTTGTTCTTGAGGAAACAATAAATGACAAAACACAGACGCCATTCCAGAAACTGCAAATGGCTTTGTAGCACAAAGTTTTAATACCAACCTCAATATAAACCCATCTTTGTCAATTTTCAGGATATTTCCTTTTTGTGTGTCCAAGACCAGTCCCCTAAGACTGGAGAAAAAATATGCCAGCTACAGTGTAAGTATACATGAAATTAAAAAGGCATAGTCAGCTTATAGTTTTAAGAGAAAAGCAATATTTATAATAAAACAATAGCAATAAGCATGCCATTAAGGTTTATTTATATGATTAGTATTATGCAATAATACTGATCATGACTTGGCCACTGGTAGGCTGGTGTAAGGTTTAATAAATGAATGTTTATTTTGTTACTTTTTTGAATGTCTTGAACAACCTATGATGTATCTGGTGTACAGCCATGATCTCTATATAAATATTTGAAAAAGGATGAGAATGGATAAGGCTTTGCAAGCTGAAAATATGGTCATTCATACCAAAAGTCCTTAAGGTCTTCAAAGTTGTCTTCCAGTAAGCTGGAATCATAGCCTTTGTCTTTAACCAAGGCTTCTGTGAATATTTTGTAAATAAACTGGAAAAAAAGAAAAGAACTTTATAAGGTATATCATCATGATTGAAAATGCCACTTACTAAATACACTAAAACACTATAGATGCATTCCTTTGAGATGATCCGGATCAGGATCAGTGATCCGAGATCACTCGGATCATGGTAGATCAAATGAGCCGATGAATCCACTCTGGACAAGGATTCATCAGTTCATTTGATCTACCATGATCCAAGTGATCTCGGATCAGTGATCCTGATGTGGATCATCCCAAAGGAACGCACCCTATGATATTGAACAAACATCCCCATGATGTGACCCCACAGGGATATGGGGGTGCTCAGGACCCAAAGCAGTGTTTATTTTAGGAGTTGGCCAATGAGGGCCTCATGATCACATACATGAGCCATTTCTGAAATTATAAAGGGTTCTGTTTCAAGAAGGGAATTTTAAAAGGCCTTAGGAATTTAATCCTTTTTGTACCAGCTGGTTTGAAATTAACTTTCTTTTGATCAACACTCTTTTTCTTCTCTTCCTCAGTTTTTTTTCTTTTTTTGTCTTCATATTATTTTCAACCTTGCCGCAATTTAATTTCTCAATGAGTTCTGATCCTTTGGTTAACTGCATCAAGTTACATTATTTTCAACAAAAGTAATGGATAATTTGCTTAAAAAGCTTGTCATTTCAGATTTCAGTTACAGAACTTTTTATCACAACTTGAAATACATCAGCACTTCTGTGTTCAACTCTATTCACTGCTCGCAATTATGTGTTACCCGTTGAGTATCTTTGAGCCTCCCACAAGACAGTCTAGCATATAACACAGACCAAAAATGCACTTGATGTATTTATTATTTCTTTCATGATGCACATGGCCTAGTCCACAGGTAGGGTAGTTCACTGCAAAAGATGTTCAAAGCCTGTTTAACTTTAATCCTGGGTTACCATGGGTTATAGGAGGCAGGGTGGCCGAGTGGTTAGAGAGCTGGTCTCGCAATTCGAAGGCAGCGAGTTCAAGTCCTGCTCTGACCGCTAGCTGGATTTGTTCACGGTAGTCCTGAGTTCACATCCTCGGCTATGTTGGTAAATAGCCAGCTGGTTTGCCTTCCGCCAGTTGGGATTCTTAACCCTCTTAGGTTTGATTTGAATTATTTGTTTCAGACATTTGCCCGGCCCCACTAGCATCAGTGCTATAAACACTGCCGAGGGTAAATAACAAATTTCGTGAGCTTGTTTCAAGGATCCCCCCCCGGCCCAATTTAAAAGCCCGCCATCCTTGGGGGGGGGAGGGGGTCGTCGCTGAGGAGAAATAAATGGAATGTCCCATACAAGTAGTATGATTTTGCTGCATGCATTTGAGTGGGGCTGTGCAGAAATCTATCCTTAAATTATCGTCCTCGGCACTCTTTGCATCCTTAAGCTATAAAGTGATTAGCAATGCAAACAAAAACACCCTAATAATCTAAGAAGCACAATTTCCACGTGGATATATAAAGCTTACTTAACTTGAGTATGAAATTTAAGATGAAAGCAGGGAAACCTATATATTAGGACCACACATCCCAAAAAAGCAGTCATAAAAGCTAGATCATGCGTTGAACTGAACATTTTTTGTGTGTTGTATCAAATAAACGCCTCTATTCTTAACGGGATCGGGAGGAAGTTAACATCGGTTTATTTTTCCGCGCGCTTTTTCAGGCTCAGACACCGCCATTTTACAAACTCACCGGGTAAAGATAATCCAGCTTATACTGAATCAATGTATGATCTAGATCAAACCCAATCCAGTCGTAGTCATTTAAACTTGTCATTTTAACCGCAGTCTTTCTTTCTGGCGTTTTGTGGAGACTTGTAAAACCGGTGGAGATCGCACGAGAGACCGCACGAGCGACGTTCCGTGAACGGAAATTAACAAAATCGAGACGAGAGTCCTGGAAACAACAACTGCGAGATTGTTCCCAGGCTACCCAAGGTCCAGGCGTAGCTAACAATGGACGACGACATCCGATCATTTGAGCAAGTTGTATATAGTTTCGTCGCATAACAGCTTCGATTTGTTGTTTATGTAGCGTATTCAGGTCCTGATTCTGCTCTGCCCTGCAAATGCAAATGTGCCCTGGTGCAGTGGGTGTAGGAACGCTGCGATGTCAGGTTGCCAAGCAACAGACGCAACGTTGCGTGACGGCCCGTGTAAGCTATCGCCGCCGGGGCAAACAGGTGCATCCTGATACGTCTACGATACTCTTTTTCTAAGCAGGCCGGGTGATATAGAGTAAGAAATACCTTTCCCTACATTTTTGGATCTACCTTAACGCGATACAAGTTTTTTCCTTTCCCTTTTCTTTCTTTCGATTCCAGGTATGTTTGCAGGATAGTTTCACTACTACACCCCCACCCACAGAAAATTTAAGTGTACATTGTTCGGGAGAACACAATATTTAGAAAATATCTTTGTAAATAGTAAAAAAAACATTTCTTTTATTACCTATGTACAGTTGTCCACAATAATATTATTGATTTTCATTCAATTACTATTAACAAGCTAATAAACACGTATAATATTTTCTTCAATACTACCAACTAAACAAACTAGCCTCTCACGCAAGCTCCCTGCGGCAGGAAGCTTATGTGACTCCAGCCCGAGCGGCTGCGAAAAAGACTAATAAGAAACACGACATGGGAAAAGATTAAACCCTACTTTAATTCACAGTACTTGGGCATCATAGTCATGTACACATCATTAAAAGTTAAAGAAATTAATATTGTCAGTAATATTATCATGGTACACTTTTCAATAAAACCATTTTCTGGCTAACCAGTTTTAAACCAGCCACAAAACACTTATTAACAATAACAATCATTTTAAAAAAGTACAAAAACTATTACACAGCTGTTATTTTATAACTTGTCTTTAGCTACACTGAAAATAATATTATATTTTCATACAAATACTATGTACACCTTTTCTCCATTCATCAAATTTTTTTTTCTACTTCCAATATTCTGAGTTTCCTTGATATTTTGCTCATCATTGGAAGTCTGCAGGTAGATACTTCATTTAGTTGCCGATAACTATGACCCGGAAAACAGCCAACAATTCACAAGGCTACTGCTGGTTTCCCTGCGAAATGGCTTCTGAGAAAAAAAAAACAGAAATTTTATGCTGATGACACGTCACAACTGAGATCTGGGTAGTGCTCTGATTGGTTGTAGCCAATTTCCCTCGCAGCATGACCAATAAGAAGCACTACCCAGATCTGGGTAAGTGACACATCATCAGTATGGAATTTCGGCACTCATTTCTCAGTAGCCTGTTCCAGGCGTTCAGATAGTGGGGAGCATTGCAAAGTACTTCATCACTTCATCACTTTCTCTACTTTGCACCACTCCGCACTATCTGAACGCCTGGAACAGGCTAATTTCTCAGACATTTCAGGGAGAAACCAGTGGTGGAGTCACGAAATGTCGGGTGTTTCCTCAGGGTATCATGACTTGTGGCTAACTGATCTTTTCCTTAAAAGATCTGAGAATTCAGCTCTGTATTGTCCAGAAACATATCTACAACTCAGTTCACAGTTCATGGCATGTGACATTCACTAGTGGTTGGTCTAACAGTCAAAACAATTTCAATGGCGTTCCATCATATAAAACTCTGATTACCAATGAGTTCATTTTCCTTGAGATTTTCATTACCTTTAATAAAAAATAATTATTTTAACAACTTCATTGGAAAAAATTCTATCGACATGCAATAATCCTCTTACTGTGGACAACTTTTTACTTGGAACAGCTTTGTTGGTTCTGAGGAGACCAAAATGCACAGAATGCAAACTCTATAAAGAGGACAAAATATTTTTTTCGAAACAGACAAATCGCTCAAGCCCTGTACTGCATATAAATTTATCACAGGTTTTCAGTATATCACTTACTGTTGAATCTGAAGAAGCATTCTTTGAAGGGCTGTGAACATAAAAGGACTCACACAATGATACTTCATGAATTTTACGGTGATATGAGACTTCGTATGTTGACTATCTGCTGGATTTGCAGTTTGGAAAATATGAAATTCGAATGAAGGACAAAGAAGTGGAAGGTGTTTGTTTAAGGGCAATTGAGATCGATACAGGGATCATGATCATAATCAAAGTCCTTCTTAAACATGAATTATTAAGGATTTGGAAATGATAATTGTGTATAGACATATTTTTAGTGTTTGGATGTTTGTTTTACTGTATAAAGTGATGGATGTTTGTGACTGCCTCAATATGTAAACCTTTTTTATAAAATCATTGTCTACCTACAAGCCTAATTTATTTGAAATTATTATTGATAACTTTGGGTGGGGCTAAGGGGTGGGGGTTTTCTCTACAGTAAGGAGCTTTAACAATGGCACTTTTGATCAACACAGGTCAACTGGAACTGTGGCTTTTTCCCTTCTAATATGCCTTGGCATTACCAAATTTGTACTGCTGGGCATCTTTACTCTAACTTATAGACACAAATTGCCTGATTATGTTTGCAAAAAGTCCACTTGCAGTTGACAAGCATCGCTTAAAATGCCTTTGGTTAAGCTCTCTATTGTCTATTGTGGGGGGAGGGGGTTAGTGCTTGATGATTTCTGGGACTCCAAAACCTTCAGTCTCTACCAGACTACATTAACTGTGCATGCTCAAGGTTACAAAAAAAATCTTATACTAGACAAAATCTAACTCTGCAGCTTTTTCAATGCACCCCAAGGCTGTACTCTAAGGAACTGTCTGCACTATACCAGAATAGCTCTTGTATCTGCAATGTTCAGTCTAGAAATTAGTCAAAGTGGGTCATATGTGCCACATGGCATTTTAATTTGGTCATTTCCAAAATGGTCTGGGTCAAACTATGATATTGAAACTTTGAACAACTGACATCATTGAACTGACTTCTCCAGCTTCACCGCCTTCCTTATTCAGCTGATCTTCATGTTTTTGAGGTTGAACTCCCATTCTCTTTTGCGCAAAAAATGAACTTAGCTTTTGTTGTTGTTTTATAATGAAATGAAAACAAAAGAACGCCAATAAATGAAGCGTAAATCGATCGGCAAAGCAATGTATGTGGAAAGTCCAAATGTACCCTCCAGTCTCTCCTGGAATTGTGTGGAATGGCGCTTGACATAAAAACTAATCGTAATCACATGATAGTGATTTTGCATGCTCATTCAGGCTAGTAAGCACCCTTATGTTTTACCTTTACTTTTAATAATAATTTCTATTGCCTACTGTTTTGGAAGAACTTACATATGAGTCAACTTTTTTTTGCATCAGTATGACTCCACAATGATTCTTTTTGCATCAGAATAGAATTTTTAAAAAAAATGTGGCCTAGATTGAACACTGTATCTGGCAGATTCTGTTCACACTTGAGAACAGTGATTTCTGCCTGATTTCTGTAACGGCATGAAGCTGCACTAAGCTGATCTTGAAACTGAATAGTTACCTATCAGTCAGATTTTTGTGCCACCCTTTGGTGCCACGTGAAAATATCAGTAAGCTATATAGTATAGTGTAGACACAGGCTAGCAAAAACAGGAGGGAGTGCAAGAAGCAAGGACCTAGAGACCCAGCATAAAGAAATTGCAGTTCAAAACTAAGATCTCTTTTTTGATTATAATTATACTAGTATATTAGGTAATTACATGATTTGTTCCCCTCATACTGGTTTTCAGGTTGGGCTGTTATGTCCTAGTAAAGTTTATTGAATGGAGTACCCTACCCCCACCTGCTCATTTAAGAACATTTTGCAAAAAAGGGCTCCAAACGTTGATGGATTGATTGATGAAGTGCTTTTCCTCTTTCAAGGAGAGTAGGCAGGAGGAGGAATGTCAGAAAAGCTGTCTGCAGGTAACATGGAATACATAAGCTCTAGTGAGAGCTCATCGTCAGAACGAGTTCTTTCCCTGCTTGCACGATGTAAGAAACAGTGCATGAGTAAGCTAAACCCAGTAGCCATTACAGATGATGCTCCAGCTGCCACCACAAGAAAAAAGCTGATATCAAATTTAATCTTGGATTTAATTCCAGTCTCTTTCTCTGATACTTCTTCCAGAATTCTTGTTACCCAATAAACAAGAAGAGTAGAGCCAACACACATGACAACTGCAGCGAAAAAAAGGAGTGTATGAACTTTAACAAGATGTATTACTGATAAAGCCATGTAATTCTTCACTCTTTACACACTGACTAATTATTGCGGAGCTTAAGCAGAGACATTTTTGAGTGAGGCAAGTCAACAGGAAGTAGATTTTTTGTATTCTTAAGCACTGGTTTTTCCCTAATTTGTAATGGTAACAGGACTGAGTGGAGTCCAGTTCTGTCTATAATCATACAAGTGACTAACAAAACCGGACAACCACATAGTGGGAGTCCGATTTTGTTTAATCACGAGTATGATTACAGACCAAATTAGACAACACGAAGTTCTGTTACCAATTAATCATAGCTTTAACAAAATTGTAATTCAATAGGCTATTTTTTAAATCAAAACACAAGAAATTCGAAATTTTGTTTTGCTGGCAGTGAAACAAAAGCCATTTAAGCAGGTGCGTGATGGCGCGTACTGTCCAATTACTTAGGCATGACGCGTACTGTCCTATTAAACTGTCCAAAAATCAGGGCAGTTGATAGCCAATCAGATTTGACAATTTTGTTATAGTTATGATTAAGGGGGCAATCGTCTCTATAATTAGAGTGGATGACACCGTACCAACCGCTAAAAATTCAGTAGTGCAAAGGCATTTTAGAATGGAAAAGGCCTCAGCACGGGCTGACATGCAGTGTTCAAAAACACCTCAACTTAAGCCGCTTATTATCAAGCCTAAATAGAAAACCAGCCTCACAAAAACAGGCACTCACGCAGGAAAACAAGTTACTTACTGCAGCATTACAGCAAATTTTGAGGAAATTTTTTTCTGGGGAAATTTTTCTAACCCTAACCCAAACCCACAGTAAGCCCAATTCAAGCTATTCCCCAAAGGGGAGCCCTTGGCAAAAGATATAGTGTGACCACAATTATTTGGTGCCGTGAAAGTCAACATAATGGAAAAAGCTTGAAAAATCCTAAGACGGGAGAATGGTACCATCACAGTGCAGATTTGTCTGAATCCTTTTTAAAGATTCAACTTTCCAAAAGCAAAAAAGAAACTTGCAAGAGAAAAAAACAAACAACTGTCCATTTTCCATACAATGAGTTTGTTCTGACAAGGGGGGGTTAAAAAATGTCATTGAGCTGTCAAAAATCTGTTTACAACTCCACCCTCTTTGCAAATTTGATACACCCGCCAAGAATCTTTCTCCAGAAGAGTTTGCTCGCCAAGCGGAACAAAGCTTAGAAACTGCGCTGCGATGCCTTAGCAAAAAATGTAATTATAGAAAAACTGTACATGGGCAACGGACGGTGAATTCATCACCGTAGGGAAACATCATGAATGACTTGTTGGAAACATAACTTGATGGCTTGTTAACAGCTTGCATCAAAATTTAGCCAGTAGGAATTGCCCATGGCTGGGAGAAGCGGGTAATTTAAATGAATATATATAATGTATTCAAAACAGACAGTCCGTTTCTAGCATCTCCCCCCAGTCTCATTCTCTGTTTTCAGCCTCACTCCAGAACTTTTGTTTGAGCATTTGCGCATACTTGAATATGCAAAAATACAAACTGTTTTGCAGTCAAAAGTAGCATAAGACTTAAGTCCAAGTTTTTGCCAAAACTTAACCGCAGAGTAATGAAATAATAAATTGGTAAATGTAATAAAGAACATCTCCCTCCCAAAACTGTCAGCCAACTGTCAGCTTAATTCGGCTGAGTGACTTTAATTTTGGTCAAATGTTGCTCACCAGTCAGCTAACAGTCAGAGAAAAGGTAATACCACTCATGTGTCAATGTATACAGCATTTTTAAAGGTAATGTTCACAAAAACAAGCTTACCTGTGATGACATTTCCAAAAGAATAATCCTTGACAACTTTGAGACATCTGTTCAGTGTACCACACAAATCCAGTAAACAAGCAAACATGCTTGCAACAATCCCTATACAACACACTGCCACAACCACACGCAAAAGAAGAACAATGTCTGTTGTGAAGCAATACAGTTCTGCCAGAAAACAAAGTACATTTCACATTACAAGAAACTCTTTGAATATACATGTAATATAAACCTGGTGTTAACATGTACATACTGCACTTAAGGTGGCTGAACACAGTTTTGTGGGCAGTCAGTGGTAACTCGCGTGACGGCACATGTTTTACGTTAGACAAACAAACATGGCAGGGTAAAAAGCAATGGTATACAGAGGACAATTTCTCAAAATCTACTCACCAAAATTTTGTGATATTTGGCAGAATTTTGACTTTTATTGTATTCTAAATAATGAGAACTTTAAAATGAAAGTTGAACAGACAAATTTTGTGAGACATTAAATAATTACAATACAATTATATTATTGATTATCTGAAAACCCGTCTGTTAAAATTCAGTCAAATAAGCTTCAAATGGTAATGATTAATCATAGTAAGCTGTGCGCAAGTTTATAGGAAAATCTAATGATAGAATTTTATGTAGACTGAGCAAAAGTGAAATTTTAAGGTTGTATTCAATCATTCATGTTACCATGGAAACAACAAAAACGTCACATTTTACCTGTCGATCAAAATCTTTCATCAGTATATTTTTCACTTGCCAGTTTCAGCTTGTAAGCTGCAACCTTTCTATTGCCATGATTTAACAAATGACATATACTCACAAACTGCCAACACTGTGTTCAGCCACCTTAACTCTCTGTGAGCTGGATTATGTTACAGCTGATCTTTATCATGCCGAGTGGCCAAATAAGCCCAGAATCATTTGACATTACAAAATAAACATGCTGTCATTTCCCTTCTTGCTCGTACACAAGTATACACTGTTTGTTTGCATTTGGAGCAAATATTTGAAGCTGTACTTGAGGAAATGAAGCTTGATACAGATATCCTTGAAGAAACATTCACTTTATAACTTGAATTGGTCTTGCTTTGAGCATACAGTCTCTTGCGCGAATAAACTATATCGTGTTGTGTTACAGTTGTATGTCTATGTAAAATTATCTAAAAATCAGTCATGGGTGAATCTTTTGTTTTCTGCCTCGCGAGACTTGATCCATGACTCGTTTCTTGATAGCTCATTCTCGATCTCAAATCGAGTCAAGAATCGAGACTTGCAATGGACGGTCAACTTACTTTTGAATAGAACTGTACACAAGTCTTACGTGAAGTACATGCTATCAAATTCATTTTCATCGTAATTTGTATAAATGACAAACTTATAATCTTTATCAGGGGCTAAATAAGTGCAAAAATGCCCAGAAACCTTACAATGGGGAAAAAAATGGGCTAAATCTCAAACTAAAGCACAGAAGACAGGGGCACCCAACGAGAATACAGTTCAAAACCACTTAAACATAGCATTGTTAAACGTATTTCAGTATTTTAACGGTAGATATAGGCATATTTTCATCCCCTAAAAATTTTTCCTCTGTTCGGATTTCCTAGCTGAAAGTCTAGTGATCCGAAAATTATAGGGATCAAAACTCACCTTTTCAAAAATTTCAGCCAGAAAAAAGGCTCCCGAAAATTCTAGGTGACCTTTTTAGGGTAAAAATCCGTTAAAAATAGGCAATTATACCATTTTTTAGATGTTCGAAAATCCTAGGAGAGGCAGGTAAGCAAGAAATTTTACAAGAAATGTTTCGAAAATTCTAGATCTCAAATCGTCTTCCGAACAAATATTTTTCCGAAAATTGTCGTTGGGTGCCCCTGAGAAGAGCTCAAAAGTCTATTTTATCCAGGACATTTGGTGACCTGTGCAGGAGAGCGGGAAATCAGTGTCACATCCTTGAAACTCCCAGATAATCCAGGAGAGTTGGCATAAATGACGTTTATAGTCCTACCAGTGACTTGTCATGATCTAAGTTCTTCATCTAGTATCCCTCTAACTCTATTTAGGCAAAGCCAAAGGCAGTGATCTATGGAGAAATTTGACCTTAGATACTCATGATCATGACATAGTGGAGAGCTTCTTTTGCAAGCCAATGCTTCAAGGCCAAATACCAGGTCGTTTCTGACATTCTTCTAGAGAGACTACCATGCCTAAACAGCCCTTAAGCTATGTTGACACAATTTCAAAACATACCAGGCTCACCTTTAGTAAGTTTGAAGAGGTGTCAATTAAATTCAAAGAATGAGAGAACGACTGGAGAACTGACAATTTGACTAACAATAGACAACTGTTTAACTGTGACAATAGACGGATCAAAACGCACCAATTACTGATTACGAGTCTTCATGGCCAATAACATCACGGCTTAACTGACAGACGACCAATAACATCGCGACATAATTGACCAATCACATCAATAGCCGGAGTATAATACCATCAACTGACGGGATACAACTCACTTTGACTCTGAAGATGACTACCGCACAGGTTGTCGAAACGTCAGTCACTGTCGACAACAACAGTCCTATTCAGGGCTACGTTCACCCAGACGATCACACTCAACCTACTTTTGAAATGTTTCTTTCATTACTGCAACAGTTACATGTATATTATTTGGGGAAAAATTAGATGACCTCTCTGAGTGAAGTAGACGATGCTTTTCATTGGCAATTGGTGCTTACTGAAAGAACCCACTCAGTGGTCAGGCAAAGTGGTATTGACATGGCAATAAAAAAGTATGATGGTTCTGAAGATGGTGATGATTTAGACAGATGTAACAGATTAGATGTGGCTAAATGCAATTTGGGCAAAGTTAACCTCGAAATAATGCTGGTCAGCAGTTTTTCCAGCTGTACTGGGGGTGGTCCAATGCCTCTAGCAGGGGCACCTCGTGACTTGTATATGCAGTTGCTTTCTTGCAGATCTTCACAAAGTGTTTTTGCAATAGCTTGCTGTTTGTGTGCCATTTTGTCGTTGGTTTTTTCCTATCCCTCCCTCCCTAGGCCTGTCAATATGATGTGAGCCAGCCTGCTTTATATTAGCTAAGCTAGCTCACTTTACCAGGCTGGACTGGATCATGCTTTCCCTCCTCATGAGCCAGCCCAGCTTAGCAGGCTGGCTCATCTCATATAAACAGGCTCTTAAAGAAATGATCACTGAAAATACACTTTCTTGCTACACTGAGACTTGATGCAACATTAGAGTGACTTTAACTACAAGCGGGGAATCCTGGGCTGAATCCTTGGCCATTGGCCCCTTGGCAAAAAGCCTTCAGTAGCAACAATTTTGTGAGCAGCTATTTCACTTGCTTAGTGTGTATTAAAACAATATTAGCTGCTCAAAGTAGAGCTTCCTCACTTGGTATCGATCAATCTGATATTGACCACAGTTTTGCTGAATAAAAATTATTGTTAACTACCGCATCACACTGTTGCCGAGTGAAGCCTAGGATAAAGACTTTACTGATCAGGCATGAAGGTACATGTACTACGTACCTATATTGATAAATTATCAAGATATTTGCATGTACCGCAGTTATGAAGAAATTAGCTTTACTCATGGAAACGAAAATCGTCCACGTACGCTATTACTGAAGATGAGGCAGAAACAACAAATCAGGGTAACAAACAAATTGAAACTAGTCTCAAATTACATCATAGTGCAATTTATATACTTAAAAACAGCATAGGATTTCCGGGAACACTAAATTTACGTTCTTAATTCTGTTTGCTGTACTTTAGTGCTGTTAGAATATATGTAAAAAATAAACAGAAAAAGTCTAAAAACTGTAGTTTATAAAGAAATGACGGTTGCAAGCTTTTGGAATGAGTTAAAGCAAATTAAGAATTCCCGTAATGATCTGCTGTCAGAAGTGATGCTGTTTCAAAAGACGTCACGTCTCGGTCAACTTATCCCTAATTAACAAGAAAAAACAAAACTTACTTAGGTCTTCAGGATGTTTATAAGCGATGACTTTGTACAATCCCATGTATTTTCCTTGGCATTTCCCCGAGACAATATGAAGCCATTTCGGTTCAGCCTCTGCAATGGCAAGAAGCACTGCAGAGGCGAGAGCGAAAAACGCGGAAACGATGTTTCGTTCATACTCGGGCTTCGGGCGACGCGAGCTTCTGCGATTTCTTGATCGTCGCCTTGAATAGCTGCTCGGGTGAGAGAAATACAAAGGTCTTGGTAGCATTCCAAGTGAGTCTCAATCTCTTCAAGTTTTACCGTACTTTGACTACCACTAAAAACAATATGGCAGCTCACTGTGGAATGTTACGACCGCACCACTCCAGGGGGGTCGGGAGGGAAATTTCTATCACGTGATCCTACCACTTCCCGGATCAAGGAGTTGATATCTGATCAGGCGTTCCTTTTTATCTTTTTTCCTGGAGGAAGTGCTTCAAGTAAAAGAAAGCTTCACACAAAACCTATCTTTTTTACTTAAGGTTTACTTAAGCCTGTTATCCCACGCATGATTGACATGCTTCGCCTTTCTTAAAGCTCGGAAACCGCAAGTTCAAAATAAAGTCGGTTTTAAGGATGGTTTTGAAGTCAGTTGAAACTTCCTTGAATCGTTTCAACTTTCGGACTTTAATGAGATGCAAAGTAAAGTTACTTTAGATTTTACTTAGGCCTTCACACACGCATTTTTGGTTAAGTAAAACTAAGCAGCTCTTAAGTCTAACCAAGCAGTGTAAAGACAGCAGGTAGCGTCTTGCAATGCTAGCAGGCCTGAACTGGCAGGCCCGCCTTTATTCATTGCGCGCCCAACCAAAACCGCCATGCTACGCAGGCTGTTTGACGATGTTCTATAAGATCAATTCCAATCTTGTGAATATCTCTTTCCCAACCGAAATTAGCCTAGGTTTTCAGGGGACTAGGAGGTCACACGATTGTAAATTTATACCCCGATCAGCTTCTACCCTACTGACTTTTTTCTCCTTAATATATATTTTTCGTGTAGCCATAACGAGTACAAAACACAAATAAAAAAAGGGGATCACGGTTCTCGTTTCATCCCAAAACGACAACAAAGGGACAATTTTGGTTTGAAATGATCGTTTTGCGCGACACCTTTTTAGCCGGGTAGAATTATCGAAATTGCTATTTAAGAGCATTTGGACATTAAAGGAGGCCTTAATTAACCCTTTTTAGGCGACCGGTGAAAATTGCCGCCATTTTATAAGTCGCAATGTTATGCGCACTAGATGATGCGCAGTGCAAAACAAGGGAATTACCTTGAGTAGCACAGTCAAGTCAGGACAAGTAAGGACAAGTAGGCTTCCGCAATGCGTATGCACAAAAAGAACTGAGCAACCACGAAACGAATCCTTAACGCATCCTTATTGGTCAGATTGTTGCGCGTGCGTTTTTCTTCCTTTGTTTTGTCATAAGTAGAACCCTACAGTTGCAAAAAACGTGTTTTAGTGAAGAGTGAAGTCATAACAAATAATTCGAGTTTGGAAGCGCTTACAGTTCTTAAAACGGAAAATCCAAAGGACAAAGAGAAGGCATGTTGCATTTTCGCCCCTCAAGTTTAAGGTATAATCTTGTTTGTTTGAAGGGTTTGAACCCAGGAGTCATTTCAAAAGTAGATTGAGTTTGATCGTCCGGGTGAACGTAGTCCTTAATAGGACTATTGTTGTTGACAGTGACTGACGTTTCGACAACCTGTGCGGTAGTCATCTTCAGAGTCAAAGTGAGTCAATCTTAATTGTTTGTGTTAGGGTACATATTCTTTTCTCTGCTCAGCTGTGATATTATCATTTTCGCGGTGCTACCCGCCTATAGCTATAATTTTATTCGGAGTAAGCTCGGCCCTAAGAGTTCAACCATGTACACACTATTTTTGATGGAAAAGATACACCTTTCATAAAGCTTCTAGCCTGTGTAGCAAGCGTTTCTGTGCGGTTTAGGAGCAAAGAATGAGGAAAAATAGTCAAAGACCGCGCGAAAAATGGCGCAAGTAAAAGAGCAGGGAGGGGGGTGGGGGGGAGAAAGGAAGGTTTTTCGCGCGGTTAAAACCGAAAATCCGCTTCCACGGTCTTTTTTTGCTCCCAAACCAAACGGAAACGCTTGCCACGCAGGCTATAAAGCTTCCACTTAAAAATTGTACTTCTAAAGAACATGTACTCCCTTTTCTAAATCCATATAGTGATGTGTTCGAAAGATTTTGCTAGGGAACAGTTAACAGCCTTGTCTTGCTTGATGGCACTCTTATTGCAATACTAGAAATTTTTGAATAAAGGTTGAATAAGCATCTTTTTGAAATACAGTCGAACCTCTCCTAATCGACCACCCCAAATCAAAAAAGTTAGCCATCACTCGTTACGTAAATGAGGTGCAATTGCAGGTAGTTAACATGGCGATATCTCAACGCATTGAATGAATCAGCTCAGTCTTAGTAAATTGTTTTCAGCGTCCTTTTGCGCAAGTATTCGCTGATCTGAGATAGAGGTCGTATTTCGATTTTGACAGGAGTCGTGAATTTCATGATTGTCAGTTTTTAATGTCTGAGCTTCTAGTTTCAAATGATATTCACCAATCATGGAAATCTCTTGTGGAAATCAAGGAAAACACGCGTCATGCGTTGTGAAAATGGTAAATCAAGCACCCGCGCCCTACCATGCCCAATCCGCCTCACGCGGCTATGATCACGCATCACGCTGATAATTTGGGACCCTTCTCGCGTCACGGAAAACCTTCCTGATCAGTGACAATAGTGAGGTACTGGTCACGGGGCTGTGCAAAGCCTGTGCCAGGCTCTCGGTCGGTGTAGACGAGCCAAAAAAGCTAAAAAAACGCGCAAGCTCTTGAAGCTTGGAACAAGCTAGGTTTGTGCAAGGTGACCGTTGCAGTCAGATTATGGTTTCTTACCCTAGGTACCATGCCTCAGACTTGGTGTGGTGGTCTTTGTACATGTGTGTCCATCTGCCTGGGAAAATTGTTTTGTTCTATCTTAAACCAACGACTCCTCGAACATGTCATGTCTTTAAATACACTTCACAAATCTCAAAACTGGTTTTTTACCAAATAACCGCACAGCAGACCACGTCTTTACACTCCGAGCCTTGATAGATAAGTACGTTCATGATCACAAGGAAAAGATTTATGCTTGCTTTGTGGATCATGACTCGGTCTGGCGTGTTGGGCTCCTGCATAAGTTACTGCAAACTAATGTTGGCGGCTGTAATAACAACTTGATTAAAAGCTTTTATTTCAACTCTACATGCACAATCAAAATTGCCCAAAAGCAAACACGACCCTTCCGTTATGTGAGAGGTGTGAGGCAAGGTTGTATCGTACATGTAAGTCCAATGCTTTTTAATCTTTAGATAAACGACCTACCTTCCGCATGTGAAAATATGTTATCTGGTCCTTTTGTTTTGCCAAACCTTACAAAATTAAATTTTCTTTTTTATGCAGATGATTTAATCATATTATCAAGATTCAAAACAGGATTACAAAATTGCCTTGTCTTCCTACTGTGCTTCGTGGATGATGAAAATCAATCTCATGCAAGAAAACTAAGATTATGTTCTTTCAGAAACGTTCCAGGGAAAACTGTTGAACCTCGCTTTCTCATAGATGGTCAAATTATTAATGTACAAGAATACAATGATGATGAAGAAATGATCGTCTCAGTGAACGCAAGAAGCCTGAAAAAAATTCAATGGGGTTTGAACCCGTGATCTCGCGATACCGGTGCGATGTTCTACCATGCAACTGAGCTATGAAGCCACTGACGTTGGGAGCAGGTCAATTGTGGATTCATATGTTCCCGTGAAAGAGATGTGTGTTAATGATATATGAAATAAATCATATATGAACTGTGGAAATGAAATAAAAACGAAGAAATGATCGTCGCAGTGAAAGCAATTTATGAAATTGCGTAAAGAAGCCTAAAACAAATTCAGCACTTCAACGGGGTTTGAACCGATTTTTTTTCAGTCTTCTTTACGCAATTGCATAAATTGCGTTCACTGCGACGATCATTTCTTCGATTCGTCTTCATTTCATTTCCGCAGTTCATATATGATTTATTTCATATATCATTAACTTACAAGAATACACTTATTTGGGAACTCGAATCTCCTCATGAAGAGATTTCTCAGTGTCAGGTGAGTCTCAAAGAAAAAGCTCTTCATGCCCTATTTAACTAGCATGAGACGACATAAGAATCTCAGCAAAATAGAAACATCTCTTGCTTGTAAATTATTTGACACGGTGATCTTCCCTATTCTTATGTATAATAATGAAATTTGGGGTGTGTATGCCGAACCAGATTTTAAGACCCGGGACAGCTCACTAACTTCGAAAAGACACGCCTCCAGTTTTGCAAACGGTAAGCAACAAGGCGTCTAATGTTGCTTGTAGAGCTGAACTTGGTCGCTTACCTTTAAATATCACTATAAGTAAAAAAAATCCTCAACTACATTTTATATATTAAGTCATTTGATTTAAACTGCAGTGGTAAGAGTAGCTTGCAATCTCACTTGATGGAGATGTCAGAATATTTTAACCTACCTGACTTCATCACTGATTTGTTAGATACCGCTATATAGTAAAAAACATCGTAGGTTGAATGAAACAAGAATACACGATCGGATCTAGGATAAATACTGACCATTTTCCTAAACGAGCGACGAAGGGATAAGCTTTTAGGAGGATCCGGGGGCATGCACCCCCGAGAAATTTTTCGGATTTTTACTCGCTAAAGTCACCTCTCCTGGGGTTCTGAGTCATTCAGTCGGGATTTTGGTCAGATTTTAACTTGGAAAGTTGTTTTTTCATGAAAAATTTAGTTATTAACGAAAACTTTGACCGATTTTCGTAAAACGGTGGAAACTGGTGTGGATCCGCGTCTGAAATATAGAATGAGGCAAAACACCCTTCACCACTCTCAAAAACTAGAGGTTTTTTTAGATCTTTTAAAAGCGATCGTACCACTTCTAATTACCTAGACTTAACGAGAGGGACAGCTGAGAGAAAGAAATTAGTAAAACTACAAATTAAATAAGTACCCACAAACTTATGATAGAACTTGGTATACAATCAAACTACCAGCCGATAATAGGAATTGCCCTTTTTGTGAAGGAAAAACTTGTGACGTCAAAACCACAACGACAAACCATTGAGGGTCCGCCGGATCTTTAGTAGACCTGGGATCAGTAAAATCTTGAGTACCAAATTTTAAATTTAAAACAGTAAAGTGATCCTTACGGTAGGAAGAGTGATAGAAAAAATAAATAAAGAAAACAAAAATAAAGTGGCGAATTATATATTTCACAACTTTATTTTTGTTTTCTTTCTTTATTTTTTTTATCACTCTTCCTGCCGTAAGGATCACTTTACTGTTTTAAATTTAAAATTTACGATGTACCTTTTCGTAAATCCCATCAAACCAGACGAAATTTACTTACTCTTTGATTTGGAATAATTTTTACAATAAAATTAAGATTCTGATTCCAAATATTATCCAGTTACCTGTGAACGTTTTGATCAATGAACTGATGAACACATCTAATTACTATATTAATTTACAATTCATGTAATCGGCTCCTGATGAAATATATCATTTCAGCTTGCTTTGTCTCTCGCGACGAATTATCAACAAAGGACTTTAACTGGCCAGTGATTAAATATTAGTTCTAAATTAATTTAAATTAATTTTCTAAATAGCTTTTGCAATTCTATACTGTACTTGTATGGTCATTCAAATAAAACCTGGTTGTTGCGGTTTTTGTTTGTTTATTGTCCATTATATACCTCAGTCTTTTGCTATATCCTCGCCTGCGTCACAGATACTTAACACCTTTTAATTTGTATACACTTATTCGAATAAGGGCCCAACATCGAATTAGCGCCCACCTCGAACAAGCGCCCATCCTAAAGGCAGAAAAAGTTAATAAGCGCCCAGCCTCGAATAAGCGCCCACCCCCTCCTCCTCCCAATCAAACTCAAATAAGCGCTCACCCCACCCCACCCACTTGAGTGAATAAATTCTAATAAGAGACTTCCCCGATGACCGAGTTTTCTTCAGAGTATTTTACAGAAACCTTGCTTTGTTACTTCTTCGCGTTTTGTTATAAGCATTTTTTGTTTTGTTGAAAACTAAACATACTCCACTTGCTGAAAATGGTGAAAATTTAATAAGCGCCCAGCCTCGAATAAGCGCCCACCTCGAATAAGCGCCCACTCTCAAGGTCCAACAATTTAATAAGCGCTCAGGGCGGTAAATCGAATAAATACGGTACATATGGTTTAGACAATGCGTGGGCCAGCTGCAAGGCAGGCTTGTTTATATATGTGTTCGAATATCTGGAATTTTTTAGCTGTAAAATATAGCGCGAAACTGATCGGTTCAGTATTTGGGGGCGGGGAGAGGGCTGGGAAATGTCACTCAAGTTCAGCCACTGCTGTGTTTATGTTTACCGCGGGCTCACATCCTATGAAACGATTGAAAACTCGTGACAGGGCATTTACAAAGAAAGACAAGGCTCTTATCCACGCAGGCGGTGGTAATAATTTAGAGCAATTTTCTTTCCATTTCGTCATTAGATTAACAAACAGAACAGTCCTACTACGCTTAATCTATTTGCTTTGCACGAATCTCACAGGAATTGGTCCGTTCAGTCCTCGAAAATGTACGGTTGTTTATATATCATGTTCATTTCTTTCGATATGTGTGTTTGTTTCATCTAGTAAACCGATTCAAGCTTTACATGGATATTCGAATCGCTTTGCCCATTGTAAACGTACTATGTGCCCTGTAATTAAGCTTTCGTACATTTTTGTTCGTTAAATCTTGGACGAAATTTAATAGCTGAGAAACGAAACGACCCAATGCTACATTTACGAACCGCGTTTTGAGAAAGGTTGTCGTGTGGTAATATAAATTCATTCCTTTCTTTAACTTTGTTTTGTAGAGAAATACAAGTTTACATAACTTGAAAAAGATGCGGAAGTGTTTGTTGGAGACCAAGGGATCGATTGTCGTTGCCATTCCTTGTTGCATTTGTTCTGCGCGAGTTGTTGACGGTAAGCAATTGATGATGTAAGCTTTAATACTTCGAGCTAGTTTGTCGGTCATTTATCCATACTTTCGTGCCTCATATTTTATACCTTTATTTAGGGAAAATTGATTGATTGATAAAAGTAAGAAATATTTCCTTTTTTGAACGAATATTACGGGGGATTTCTTTACTCTTGCTTCCTTTTCTGTGTCACGAGTTTCCTGTTAAAAAGTTGATCTTTGAGAATCGAAACCGGTTGTTATCAAGGTAAGAACAGGCAACGTGGGTGTCCCAGGGGGTATATCTCACATACATAAGTGATTGCTTTATCAATGCACTGGTTCGCGTCTTTTACTTCATCATTTAGAGGTACTATTTATCAAATCAGCGTCTCGGAGAATCGAGCAGACGATATGGTTACTATATAAAGGTAAACACATGGGTTCGGCTCATAAATTCTCTTACGGCCAAGAGCAAATCCATTGATCTGCCACCCTGAAATTATCATATTATTATTCAGTTCCCCAACTACGTTAATTACTTGTTTTAAGATATCAAGTTAATTTGAGAAACCTTAAGTTTTTAAGGCTGGTTTTAACACGCTTCACATTTACATGTTTTGTAGCAAAAAATAAACCCTTTCAATATTAGAAAGTGCAAACGCTATTATTATTTAATTATTAATTATTCCAGTAACTTTACATTTGTAATATTGTCCATCTCTTGATCTCTAACAGTAGTAAATTTGTTGTGAGTTTTCCCTGCCATAAGTAAGCCCCTTTGAAAGAAAAGAGGGGTTAATACTGATGATATACAGTATAAATATTACTTTCAGAAGCTTTCTCTGTTGCTTGTTCAGCTAACTTCCTGTTAAAAAGGGATGGATCGATAAACATTATGTGACTTTGTCTTTTTTGAATTGTAATTAGTCTGTTATATTATTTTATTTTTTAAAAGATAATATCTATTTGAAATAATCTAGTGTCTGCACTTGGCCGTTTATTATATTGTTGAATCAAGTACAAAAATGTAGTGCAATTCAATACAAATTTAGCTCCTAAATATCTAAAGGATTAAGAACAAAGGCTTCAATTCCCCTTTGTATTTAACGAACAACAATATTCTAACATATTTTTTTTATTACAGATAGTAAATCTTATAAACATGTGAGCTGGTAACGCCACTGTAAATATTTGTTGTGTGAAAATCTACAACTTTAAAACTAATAACCAATTATGACTACTACACATATATTATACGATAAATGAACTTAAATCAGTGTTTCATGAGAGATCAACCATTTTTTGTCTTCTGTAAGATCTCAGTTGTTAATTAAAAACAAAAACTGGATGAAGTGTTGTCATTTGACTCATTGATCAATATGAAAGTAAAAATTAAAGCGAATGATGAGATGGTTGTCATAGTTACCATTATAAAAATTAAAGGAACCAGCCTTCTAATGATGGGCACAATTTTGTGCAGCGCAGATATAAATACCAGTAACAAAATTGTAAAAGAGTGGAAATCCACAAGTTATTGCGAGGTATGTTTAGGAAGTCTATTTATGCAGCCTTGGTAATCTGTAATCTACCTGATATTTTACCATCATTACTGATTGAAGGTTTACAAAAAGTTTAGATTTTGTTAGGAACACCATTGCCTTCTCAAAATCAACAGATTGCTGGTTCTATCAGCCAATCCCCTCAGGCTATGAATTCCTCTTCCTAGCTTGTGTACTATTTTCCACAGTCTAGCAATCCTCTGAGCGCTGTACTTTTAGAATATTTTGAGAAGCCTTTTGTTTTATATAAGACCAGTTTCAGTTTAAAAATGCAATCTTGTTAACGACATTTAGTTGTCTGGGTGCTCTCGCCTCGGAGATGGGTGCTAACCAGGCTGGAACTCAAATAAAATATTGGCATAATTTAGCTGCCGTGGCATCAAATGCAAATGATTAACAAGTCTTTTACGATATCAGTACCTTTTCATTCTTTTTGTCTGTTTTAACGTTGTACCGTGGCTTTATGATGACACTGAATATCATTTTTATTTTTCTCGATATGCCTTTTTACTTGTTTAATCTATACAGAAATCTAATTCTAATTGTGTAATCTTCAAAGGGTATATCCCATTTCGGCAGACGTTCAGATGTGCATGTACTTATGTTAAAAATAGTTATAGTGCCAGTATTAAGTTAAAAAAAAAAAAGAAAAAGCGTCACCATTTTTCAAGGTGGCACCTGACGGCCTTTTTGAAAACGTCTACTGACTGCATTATTTGGTGAGGAGCTCCAGTCTCTGATTGTAGGAGTGTCTGTGATGAATCAGTTTGAAGCTCAAATACACTGAAAAATCTTTGACTTGGAGACCATGTTAGACTGAGAGCACTACAGAACAGTCTCTCTTTTTCTTCAGATTTAATGAGGGGAAAGCACGAGCACGCAACAAAATAGTCTTAGACAACATAGCCTAAGACCATATGCCAAGAGGGAACAAGCCCCTTGTACCTTTTTTTAATATACCTAGAGAAAGGAACTTGCTGATCTTTTTTCTGGTCTACATGCATGTGTAGGAAGCAAATAAACTTCTCCTCGCCTTTTACCGTTTGCATTTTCTCCTTCTCGCTTGTTTTGCTTTTCTGCCCCCGATTTTTTTTGTTGTTGGGCGTTTAGTAGGCCTCATTCGGTGGGAAAAGCTTCCGCGAACTAACCGAGGGTCGTGAACGAAATTATTGGAAAGGAATTTAGCCCAGGCGGGTAGTGGAACAAGATTTTTAGAGGAAAGTTTTGGTCAATTTTACATGGCTTATAGCGTTTTTCTCTGACAGTTTTGGCTGAATCATGCTCGTTTTTGGTATGGTTGGAAAAAATGAGATCTCTTCTCTCCTGCACAAGTTGGTGTCAAAGTTGTCCAAGACCATTAGAACTGATGACATCAGAAGTGATGCATGCAAGGCTGTGCTCTAAGGAAAATTGAAGGGAGTCCAGTGCTCTGAAACTGTAAATATGATTTGTATGAAAAAAGTAAGATTTTCTTTTCGCGCAAGAGGAAAAGTTGGGCGCCAGGGGCCAGTTGGCTCTGCTAGAGTACACCCTTGGGTGCAAATTATCCGCCCTGGGTGCAAAGGAAAAGGATCCGCTCGGGCGGTTACAAGTTATACGTCATTTTTGAATACGTCGTTTTCCAGTCCGATCCAGGGGCCCGAACCTCCAAATTCCTGGTTACTTTTCGGTCCCGGAGACGAACGTTTTCGAGTTTCAATCTCTGTCCATTCTTGCCATCCGTAGCAACGGACGATATCAAACAGTTTCAATGCCTAATTATAGTCTTCAATAACAAAACTGGACCATTATTTTTTTGAATTCATCTGATTCGAAGACACATTTTAGCTTTTCAAAAAAGATTTAAAATAGCGTGACATCAGACCCAAGTCGTAGGCATGTTTGGATTCACAAGCTGTGGGAACAGAAAGCTATTATGATACTCAACTCATGGGACCAAAACACACCTACGCAATTACATAAACAAGCAACAAATGTTCAAGGCTAGGAAAGACCCCAAGTATGTCTAAGAATAAATTACGATCAAGCTTATAAGACATCCGCTTGCAGATGCTGTTACTTTAGAACTTATAAAGTACATGCGTGGTCTTATCCAAACGTCGAAATGACTCTTGACTACAAGTTTAACAAGAGAGCTGTACAAGTACAAACTACAATACACCTAGATCAACAATTATTAAAAAATGGTTTTCAGGTACATGGCATATTGAATAGTGAATACGAAGGCGCTGTAACAGCAAACGAAATAAAAGAATGGTGCTAAAGTTAGGGACATGATGGCACCTCTGTAAGAAACCGGCTCATAGAATTGACCACCCCTCCCCTACGAATACGTTTTTTCTATTGTGGGGTTGAGATAATATCACGAGTGATATATACAGACAGTGTTGTTTAAAGCGTGTAGAGCGAGAAAGTGCTGGCCAAGAAAGAAAAAAGAATAAGTCGCAAGTTATCGCACACAGCGAAAACCACAGCAGTTGCTTGCGGACCCAACTTTATGTGAAATATGAGAAATATGACTTAAAGTAATGTACGAGTTTTTGTTAATATTTATAGTGGATATTAGAGATTGTTTTGATAAAACTCGTTGTGGGCAGCTTGCCATCCGAACGGTCCTTCTTTTCTACGTTTTATGTCAGTTTAGCCGCTGAATTATTTCATACTAAAGGTAAGAAGAAATTTGGGAGAATTCTGCAACAGATTCTCCGGAAGTGATATTAAAGGATTGTGTCTTTTCTTGTTGAAGAAAAATAAGCCGAGGAATTTTTTGTTTTATAAAGGTAACCATTTGTAGGAGGAGAAAGCTAACAAAATGACCAATTGTTATGAAAAATAGTCTGGATGTTTGCAAAGATAATATAATTATGTCTATAATCTTAGAAGACAAGTCTTGGACCTTCTACATTCTGTCAAATACCTTGGTGTCTACCTATCCCTATCTGACGACCTCCGCTGAAACGAACATATTAAAACCATCTCCAATAAAGCTAACAAAACTCTTGGCTTTCCAAAGCGGAACTTAATACATTGCCCTCCCAGGACTAAGGAAACAGCATACAAGGCCCTAGTACGCTCAACTCTGGAATACTGTTCATCTGTGTGGGATCCACCTACAGCTAAAAACACAAACATGGCTGTGCACGCTGGGTTCTAAATCGCTGCGACCGCAAAGTTAGTGTAACTGAAATGCTTTCAACCCTGAAGTGAAAGACACTAGCAAGTAGGCGAACCATAGCACGCCTATCTATGCTGTATAAAATGCGATACAGGCTAGTCTCTCACGAAGATGTCAAACTACAATCCGCAATCGTACTCAACTCGCTCCATAGAGTACTCTTACACACAGCCGACAGCCATTAGAGATTACTACAAGACAGTATTCCTTCTACCCAACGACTATTACTTAATGGAATAAACTCCCAAGGGATATAGCATTGTCCAACCCACTGGCGGCTTTTAAAAATGCAATTTCAAACATTAAGGCCCGGTTCAGACGCCGCTCCACTCATGTGCCGAACCTAACTGATGAATTAAGTACGGCAAAAGAGCGGCGTCTGAGTCAATTTGGTACGGCAGTTTTAGTTTGGTGCGGCAAAAGCGTTAAGTTCGACAGAGTCTGTCGAACTTATTCAGTTAGGTTCGGCACATGAAAAGTACGGCGTCTGAACCAGGCCTAATATTAACACTTTTATTACTCTGCGCTCATAAGCGCCATTTCATTTACTTTTGTTGTCCTTTTTTTTTTTTTTTTTTTTTACAGCGGTCAAAAACGCTCAGAATTGAGTGACAGACCTAAATGGTAAATGTAAATGTAAATGTAGTTGAGGTTTTTGCATTACAAAAATACATATGTAGGCGTCTTAAATAGGTCGAAACATCGTGGAAAGTTATTTTTATACTGATCCCTGAAAGTGTAGTTATTTATCTGTTGTCGTAGAACTACACTGAGAAAAATGGAATTTAATTTGCCCGCCTTTGTGGTTTTATCGCGGCTTTGCCCTTTTTAGTGAAATGTTCGTGTTGAATAATTCATGTACCTGTTGAAAATGTGAAAGGAGACATGTTTTGAATTTGCTGTGTTAGAATGCGTATATTGTCAGCTGTCGAAGAATTAAACGAGAAGTGGTGTAAGAGGCGATCACCGTGTAAAAGCGTGGACTGTAGACAACTTTCCAGTCAACCCACAAGCCAGAGCGACAAATAATTGAACCAAAAAATAATTCGAGTCGTGTTGCGAGGAAATTCACAGCAGTTAAATAGAGGGAAGAGCTAAATTGACAGGTAATCAACTGTGTTCGCTTCAATTCATTGAGGTTTATCGGAACTGCAGTGCTCTTGATCATTTTTTTTCAGTCTTGAAATCGTATAGGGCATTAGTTCGTTGTCTAAGCTCGACGAAGAAAGACCGGATATAAATTAGAGTGTAGAATTTTTTGTACAAAAAATGGTGTCATTCATCTGCTAGTTCATGTGAAACGATATATTTGTTTAAATAATCAAGTCCTCGTCATTGTCGTCAGTTCAAGAGCACCAGATTTATAAAATAATCTTCTTCATGTAAAACTTGAAGCAGTTGTAGTAGTTTAGGGTTAGAATTTTTCTTTGCATCCTTCATGGGATATTTGCCGCACCTTTCGCGTTTGTTTCACTTGACGTCGTAATTGACGGATGGTTGCTATGGAAACTAATGACATCTGCCGATTCAGCGTTTATATTTGCGGCTTTATAAAATTCTCAGAGAGATAAATAGATAAATCGTTATTGAAAAGTACATTTCGCAGTAGTCGACTAAATTACGAGCTTTTTACAGTGAATAATGATCTATATATCAATGTAGTCAACGTACGTTATCAAGTAATAGTAAGTCTGACAAATAGAAAGAGAAACACTATTTTTTAGAGAAAATAGCCGTGTATACATAAAAATTAATAAAACGCGATGGCTAATGATAATGGAGTTCTTAAACCGATCTGTTGTACGATAGGAGCCGGTATATAAAGAGTCTTTCCTTGCATTTCTTTCTTTGTACCAAACGGAGTGGAAGGGGCAGCCGGAATTACGTTTGCTTGCAGTTGACTTTGTAGCCATGTTAAAGAGAATTTGATCTGTACCTTTTAAACGGGTTTTTCGCATACCATTTTGGTCAGAGCTCCGTGTGAAAGGAAGTAATTTGGCCTGTTCCAAGAAAAAAGAAAGAATACGGTTCAAAACCTATGCCGCTTACACGAGCGCCTAATAAACAAACTACGCTATGTACTTGTTAGTTGTAGTACACATGAACGCAAAACTTTCGTAGACGAGAATAATTCTCGTTTTCTCGTATTTCACTTCTGTCTGTACTTTTTTTGTTCATTGTGGTTTTGGAAACAGAAGGAACAACAGAAAAGAAACAAGTGGTGGCAATGTTTTACAGCAATGTAGTTTCCTCGCAGGATAATGGGCTTGGAGACGCGAGAAACGCTTTCGTTTCTTACATTTCGCGGCGTCGTCACTTGTCACCCCATTAACTTTGACAGATGCACACATTCTACGGGAAATTTGGCTTTAAAGTTCCATGGGTAACAGAGGTGGCGGTTTTTTCTGCGCGCGGAGGGATATTTCGTGGTCGTCCAAAGGCCAAAGCCACGAACGGCGCGTGGGTGACTATGAAGACCCTACTGAAAACGGAAGCCGCCCATGAAACAATGGCAGATCCAGACCTTCAGATATTTTGGTCGAAACATAGGGGGGAGGGGCCGCCCCCCCCCTCCGGGCCCCTCCCCTGGATCCACCACTGTGAAAAGTCTATTGCACTCAGGCGATCTCAGGGGCTGATCTAGGGGGAGGGTGCAGGGGGTGCCCCCCCCCCCCCTCCCCGAGATGACCTGCGGTTTTCTAATACAACTGTATTCTGCCAAAAAAAAAACTATGTGGTTTATTGGTTTTGAAGTAGAGCAAGAGACGAGTGCACCCCCTCCTTAAAAAAAATCCTGGATCCGCCCCTGGAACTATGGGGGAAATTAACTCACAGACGTTGTGTGAGAACTGAAACACTCATCGTGGATGTCATTGTTAGGTTTGTCCTAGAGACCGGTTAAATAAATGATCCAGGAAAGTTAACATAATTGAAGTACAAGAGAGAAATCGTATTTAAGACAAAGGCTGTACGTATTAAACTCGAAAATTGCCATTGTAATCTCCATTGTGTACTTTTGTAATTTCTAAATCGGTCCTTTTAATTGTCAGGTTTCTAAATTGATCAAGCCAAGTCCTGGTTTGCACCGGCTGTGTCTTACTGAAGCCTTCAAGTTTGTGACAGTGTTAAAGCCTGCCCTTTATACGTATCAACCGTGATTAAAGGTATGTCTATCTGACTGCTAGTTGTGATAGGAAGTTATGTTTTTTTGCAGGGCCGAAAACGTCACTACCATGTTAAAAGACTTCGCGTGTTTTCAAATTTCTTCGCGATTATTCCAACTCGCTTAAAATGTCGCATTTCCCTGGAATTGAATTCTTGGGGACCGAAACCAAGTTTGGAAGGCGAAAGAAAGATTCTTCGTCATATAAATGAGACGTTGCGCGAGAGAATTTCACCGTTTAGAAGACTGCGAACAGGCTTCTAAGTGGAGTGGGTCGAAAAAGAAAATAGACGAGCGTGGCCTGGGAGAGAAAAAAAAAGGCGGGGGAGCCTGTAGACTTTGTTTTGATGCCGCCCATTCATGATAAGCAGATTCTGGTATCATGATCTGATTGGTCAGATCGCTGACTGTGGACAAGTGAGTGATGAATTTAATACCCACGTGCTCGCGAATGCCATTGGAAGTCGGTTACAGCCGCAACGGGCAGAGGCCCCTCGCTCGCGCGTTCTCGCGCGGCTTGCTTCGCTCGTCCAAAGAGGAGAGCTTTCTCGCAGGTTACGGGTAGCTCGGGTGGACGGGTTACCCTGGACAATAGGTCATTTCCGATTTTCCCCGGACCTCTGTTTCAAAACGAGGCTAGGTGCTCAGCCTTTGATATGGAAATCATTTTTCATTCTCATGCAAATAAAACTCATTTTCACAACAAAGGTTGTGCACCTAGCCTCATTTTGAAAGTGAAGGTTTTTGGAACTCGGAAGTGGCCTATTTACCTCCATATCCACGGGGTCTCCGACCTAAAGAATGGAAGAGGGTCCTGGGGTGAGGAACAGGTCAGATCAAGTTGTTTTTCTTACTTTACTCCTACGTAGCAGGCACCAGTTTTGTAGGGCGAAGGAGTAAATCTCCCCTTCGCGTGTTCCCCTCGCGCGGCCAGTAATAAAATAATTACGGGCGCCTGCTACGCGGGCTGTTCTTACTTTTGATGCAACGTGGAACTGATTCTAATTATTCTGGAATACTCTCCTGAAACCGAACCGAGATTTTCTCAAATAAATGCTTCGACCTCAGCAGGTTTAATAGACTTAATATCCAAACAAGTCTGAAACCAGAATCAGAGACGTAGCGGAACTTTCCATGTTCGACTCAGATAAAAAATGAAAGTTTTCGCGTGGAAAATCGAACCGCCGATCACATATTCCGAATTTATTGCTGACAGTAAAGGGAATGCTGCGTTTATGAGGTCACGTGAACGTTAGCCAAGTGGATTAATTTGCATTAGAGTTCCGCGTTTATTCTTGTGATAACTAACTGTGAAAACTGCGCATCAGTGTCCGACTAGTTTGAGGTAGGTTCTTGCAGTGGGTTATAATTCCTAACTGTTTTTGAAATGTGTTTGCACAAGAACTGGGTTGTGTTTATATCACAACTCTTGCGTGTTGTTTTGGTTGATGGTGAGTTTCAGTAGTCGACCAATATTTAATTTTGTACTTTGTGAAAACATTTTCTGATGTTTTCTATAAACAACTCACTCTCCTCTCTTCCCTTCAATTATTAAAATACAGTACATACATTAGGACTTAGAAGAGTATTCTTTCAAGCAATGAACTTCGTGAGTTGGGTTTAGAAAGTGTTTATTAATTACCAGACTGTAGTCACGATCCGTTAACTCATTGTAAAACACAAATATTTTTCACTACATTTTCCGTTTTCCCTCAGGGTTTTGTTTTCAAGAGAAACAAAAAGGAACAAAATAAACATCTTCAGAGTTATTCAAACCACCAGGAACCATTCAAATTATCGACAATTTTAGAGTGTATTTATGAGAATTGTCATCTCGTCTGTTTCTATTGTTTATGACCGTTGCCACATTTAAATATCACAGATCCGAAAAACTAATGAACTGAGGCGAACACAAGGAAGCTTAACATCTATGGCTTTTGTCACGTTTTTTCCCCCTCATGTCGAGTTTAACAATTGTTATAAATGAACTCGACATTTGTGCTGTAAGATCGTATTAGTTAGTGTACAAATAGGCTTACAGTCGTTTAAATGCGAGGGAGGAGGCAAACATTTGTTTCGGTTTAATACGAATACAACAGTGCGTAGTCTCTAGAATTTTGCCTGTGGTGTAAATTAAATTGGAACATGAACAGAGAGAGAAAGAGAAATTAAGAAGGAAACTTTTCAAAATTTTCGGTTTGCTCAGAAATACAAGAATTGTACTTAAAAACAGCCAAACAAACAGCCCTTAAAGCGTCGGTTTTACTAAGAAAAACGTCTATAAGTTCTTTTCATGGTTTCAGTCCCATGTCTATCTGTAAAGACTTTAAGGCAGATCAGCAATTTATCAAACAGCATGTCATGCTGGGATAATCATCTTGAGAGTTCAGGATATACTTGTTCACCTGGTGTTTTACTTATAATATTGGTTTGTCGAAGAGATGTGATAAGTTCAACTACCTTTGTTTTTTTTCCTTCTTAGTTAAAAGCATAGTCCTGAAAATGTACCATTCAAAGGCGGCTGCGTTTTTTAAGGCAATATTGAGGTCTACTCAGGTCACCAGGTTAATCGTATTTTTCTCCCTTTATTCAAAGGGCTTTTGCCGTAGGAAAAACATTGAGTTTATATCAATATTTTACATGTGTTGTAGGGGTACCGGTCATACAACAGGTGTAAAGCTTGATTTCCCTTTTGAGCATAGTCTCATTCAAAAAAAAATGAAAAGAAAAAAGAAAGAAAGACAGAAAAAGTTTCTCCTACATCACCATGCAAGGTCATTTTACTCGCGTTTCTGGTATAAATCGCGTTCGGTGAGTAAAACTGTGGCTATATTTTATTATTTCATCCTGGTTAATATCGGGGTTTTTGTTTGCACTTTATTTAAATGCAACACGCCTTTTAGCATTTAAATATGTAAAGTTGGTAGCTTGAATATGAACAAATCTCCAGCAACTAAAATTTGTTTTTTTATATATATCTATTGGGCGTGTTACGGTTTTGTCATTAGCCGGAGTATTTTGATAAATTGCGAATGAATATATGAATGAATCAATATTACTAAATGAACAAACGAAACATCTGCTTTAAAACTTCAAGCACGTTGTATTCTTGTCGACTAATAGGTTTTTCCTTCGAGCAGATGTAAATTCGTTTCCTCCTGTCCGGCCACCCTGCACTATTTCCTTTTTGCTGATATTTTTGTCAGCCAGGGAACGTACTTTTTGTTAAAAAGAAGAGATTTTTAACAAATGTCACAGCTTTGAAGGAGAAGTTTGCAAACAGGCAACGAGGAGTTGGCAAGACATAACTAAACTTCCAAATTCGGCGTTGAGAAATTAAAATTATCTCGTACAAGAGAGAATGAGCTCATTTTCTCTTTTCTCATATGATTCTACGGAACAGATTTGTTTTATCATCTAAAGCGTAAAAATCTTTGCTGACGTTTCGAACGCTATCGATTTAACTTAACTGAAGAAAGAACAGCGAACTCATCGATCTTGGCGATGACTAGAAACAAGCTTTAAGAGATATGTAGGCCTTCTCAGCGTTTCGTTGTTGTAACACTCACTGTTGTTTTTCCTTATCGTCCCTCTGGTCGTTAAACGTTTTTTGTTTTTTCACTGTCGATAGCGATCATATCCTCGTATACCGCTGCCATATTGGAAGGGAACTTTAGCATCTAATATGGCAACGGCAGCGAAGGCGTCAGTCAAAAAATGAATTCGCGCTGCTTCAAACTTATTTATTCTTACTCCATCTTGTTCAATTTGTCAAACGAGTAGAATTTTTATGCAGTTGATTCTAAAGAACTGTATCTAAGTCAATGCAGCAAAAAGAAAAATTAAATCGTTTTCTCGGGTTCACGTCCCTCATAAACGCGAAATTAGAAAGTTTCACATCGTAGTCGTGCAACAACTGCCAAGAAATGTACAGAAAAGTGCGAAGTTGTTGTTTTGTTAATCTAAACCTGGTGGTTTTTTTTACCGTTCTCGTTGCCGTCACCTTAGTCTTTGCTAAAGCTCCCTAATGACGTGAAGACCCCGGGGACGAGGTTGTTTTACTCAATACAGCGTTCAAATTGATGAAACCAATCTTCCAGCCTCGTCTCCAAGCCAGTTCGCGCTATCGGAGTTAGCGAAGGAGGCTTGGAACTGAGCGCAAGTCCTGAATACGCCCAATAAGAATACGCCCTATGTAGCTAGTCATTCACGTGGTCCGTCCCCCACCCCCCTCCCCAAGCCGGCGACTGCGGTTGGCGTTTGTGAATACGGCAAGATCTTGTTTGTGATTGGCTAAAATTGATGGAAAGTTTATCAAGACATTCGGCACTGAAATGTGTTCGGCAGATGTAGTTTGAAAATGCCAACGTTTAAACGTAGTTTGCAAGGGAGAGTGCAGAACAATAAAAACTAGCCTCAAGTAAAGGGAATGGCAGTTTTTTATCATATGAGACATGAATAGTCACATTGAAAACTGTGATGTCGTAAAAAGTTTGAAATATTTCGATCTTTCAACCGCAAATTGTAAGAATGAAAATCGTACAGTTTATAACATGTTCTCTGGAAAAGCAAACATTTTCGTGAACGGTGAACTTAAATTATTTTTGTAATCTGCATTTTCAAGATCTTTGTAATCTAAAGATGTTGTTTTTGCTTATCTATCTAATTCTAGAAAAGAACTTTGTGGTGATGCAATCAGTGTGTGATAATGATATTGTGGCTCTGCGCAAAGTATAAATTAATTCTAACGGGTAAAACTCAGCGGCTAACGTTATGAAAACTCTAAAATGGCGAGCAATCTTTTCAAAAGACAGTATTGTTTTTAAGTTTCGCTCCTACTTTGTTATTCAGACATGACTGTGAATCAGCTTCGTTAATGGTCAGTGTGTTGTTATCGTTACTGCGGCTTACCCACTGTTTTTAATTCTTTCCCGCACTTCGGGAAAGCAGTTTTGGTTGCCACAGCTTCTATTGTTCAGGACTGTTGTTAAATCTGCTGTAGTTTGTCAGCTTTCTATTATAAATTCGCTTGCTGTGGTGACAACATGGTCCAGGTATGCGAATTGCACTCGAGAAGTTAAAAGACTGAATGTTCGCGAAGGTAAGAGGAAACATTTCTCTTAAGATCTGCGAAGTTAGGTTAACGTCTGAAGCAGAGATATATTTAGTAGAATAGCTTGAAATGAAGCCAAAATTTCAGCAAAACGCGCGTGATAATCGCCGCAGCTGTTTGTTATGGCGATAAACTGCTAAAAATAATAATTCAGTTTATTTTTCTGTCATTCAAATCCTAATATTTTTTATTAAAGAAAGATACTGAAATAAATGTATATGGGCCAAAAAACTGTATCGGGTCATAGATCGCATATTTCCAAGGTTTTTTTTTTCCTTGATGTCTCTTTCATGTTTCCCGTTATCCAAATCATCAGCACTTATTTCTTTTGCCGTAAAACAAATCAAAATTAAGCGTGCTAATTTACGGCCTTTTTTGGTTGACAGACCGGTCAGACTAGCGGTTGTTTTTCAAATCTCTTCCTTAGTTTTCATTACGTAAATGTATATTTCATAGTTTATTTCATTCCTTCGTTATTGTTTGTTTTATACCGGTCAATCGGGCATGTACCATCATATTATTATTCTTTATTTCTCAGATATCCTTTAGCTCCAGAAAAATGTACGTTGTGATGATTCTTAAAAATGCTAGGTAATTAAAAGAAAGAAGTGTAAGTTTGCGCTAGGGCTTGCAGCGGCCATTAAAACTGATCAAACGTATTATCTTCAGAACTGAAGCTTCTCCGAAGGAAAATATACAGAAAGAAAAATGTTGGGAAATTCATTCTGTGTATGAAGTCTTGATGTGTCATAAGTTCTCTTGTCTTCATGCGAGGTTGACTGGTAAAATCTTTTACAAATTGTGGTCAGGCTTACAGAGCTCTGAACTTAGCTCATTCCATTCCTCGTGGAACTACTGTAGTTATCATGAAAACTTTGCCACATAAACGCTTTTTTTTTTGTTGGGCCAGAGCATTGGTGTAGCGTATTATTATTATTTTTATTTTTGCTAGTAATTAATTCTCGAATATGCAACTGAACTATTGAACTACCGTTATGGCTTCGTGTTGTTGGACAGTTTACTCTCTCTCTGTTTTTCTTTTTCTATTTTTTTTTCAAAACTAGTCCGCTAGTGACCCTGCTGGAAGACGGGATTTCTCGTAATGATACTTCAACTCCACTAGTTTTGGATCGTCGAACAGGAATTATAAAATTATAAATCAAATTACTCAAAACGTTATCATTTATTGGCACTTCCGTTATTCCCCAGTGGCCTCTGATCTAGCGAATGCAATTTCTTGAGTGGCAGACGTCAGTTTCCTTTTTTTTTTCTGTATTTTTTTTCACTCTCACCTTTTTAATAGAGAGGATAACGCTAATTGTGACTCATCCAGAAATCTGTGATTTGTTCTGTTTTTGTTGTATTAAGCATCGCCTGGTGAGTTCGTCAGTGTGCGAAAAGAAAGTTCATTACCTACTGAACTTCTTAATTAGCGGTAATTATATTCCAGTACAGTCACCTCTTTGACCTTTGGTGTTCTTATACACTACAGTAATTTTCAAGGAGTTATAATAACTCCTCTAGTGGGGTTAAGTTAACGTCTTACAGTGAAGTTATTTTTTGGGGGAGTTATTTTAACTCCAAAAAGGAGTTTAAAGAACTCTTTTTCAGGAGTACAAATCACCCCAGATATTGAGGAGTTAAAATGACCCCCAAAAAGGAGTTATCCTGTACCTAAAATTTTTACTCCACTTTCAGAGTTAAAGGTACCCAAAAAGAGTAAAAACAACCCATTTAAGGAGTAAAAATAACCCCTTTTTCGGAATTATTTTCACTCCAGAATGGGAGTTAAAAGAACTCTCTTTCAGGAGTAAGAACGACCCTAAATTTGGAGTTAAATTAAGAGTTAAAGTAACCCCATAAAAGGGTTTATCCTGTACCTATAATGTTTGCTCCATTTTTGGAGTGAAAATAACTCCCTAAAAATCACTGTGTAACACGCAAACGGATTATACGGTAACAGTTCTCAAAAGACCGCTTATGTCATCTTCAGTTCTATTTTTAGCTGGTTTCCATGAAATCGCTTTGATCGTTCAGATTCTAGCGTTCTCATGGAGGCTTAGCAGGATGTAATGAGGGTACATATGATGTACTTTTGAGGTAATCTTGTTCCCAGAACCCTCCCTAGATCAGTCGCTCAGCTTCATCGGTGATGAGAAGAGACGACATCATAGTTACGTATTGACATTTTATACTTTTACTTTCATTTGTGTTCCCTACAGGGTCATGCTTTCTTTCATTATCTGGAAATCTAAACCGTAGTTTTTCAATCTACTTAATATGGAAGCGGAAGACGAGAAGCCAAACGAAAGAGATCTTTTGTGTGGCTGGAGGTCGTTTCGACCGAAAGTCCTTCAGAAACTCAACACGCCGAAATGGTTTCTGGTGTTTCTTACAATCTATTCCTTCATGCAAGGTAAGAACAAACGGTAACAACCTGTTTCGCTTGTTGTCAAACTCGCTACCTTCTAGTTCGCATCACGGTCACTACAAATTACTACCTGTAAACCATTGAAAATAATTATTTTCTTTATCCAGTCTTTTGATATATTTCTCGTTCTTTTAAGCTTGCCCCCTGAAAGTGAAAATTCTCGACTTTGTCAATAGGGAGTGAGCCCAGTATGTAGGTAGCGAACTCGAAAGAAGTGGATTTGACAAGTAGCGAAACCGGTGTGAAGCGAACAAACTGCTGCTACATTAATCTGAGTTTACTTACATCTAATTTGTCACAGAAATAATACTGCTCAAAATAGGTGTTTAATTGAAAATTTTGTTTAACTATAAATATCTGCTTAACAAGTGGCGAATAAAGTTCATTCATTCATTAAGAAGGTTGCTAAAAGTTAACGTTCGAGTACATTTTCGAGTCATATAATAATGAGGGATCTTTTAAAGAACACTTTCCGCTTTTTCTTAGAAATTCCCGAATGCTTTTATAATCTGACAGCGCTCGAAAGATCACTGTTTTTGTTTTGATATGTGTTTTTTTCCCTTGTTATCCCGTGACATGCGTGCGCTCGCCCTATGACTTATATAAGTAATCAACGCGCAAGGTAGCCTGCTTTAGGAAATAATATATAGATTTAGCCAGGGCTAAAAGCGAAGCTCTCGTCAATATATATGGTTTACTAAACAAAATATAAAATCGTGTAACCCCAAGGGGCGACGGCAACGAAAACAGCCCAGAAAATCAGTAGGTCTAACTAGCAAAAAAAACTTTGCACGTGCAGCACACTTTTTTTCTAATTAGCAAAAAACAACTTTTTTGTACATTTCTTTACCTCGCCTTCGTCTCATTCTATAAAAATGCAGAAAAGAATTTGGCCAATATCCAGCCATCTCGACTTTTAAAAAAAGAAGACAAGCAAACGAACGAACAAAGAAAGTGATTAAATAATAGGTTCACTTTAAGATGCCGAAAAATCGCCCACCTACCCCTCCCCTAACCCCAATTTTTTTCTCTAAGTGAGCAACCTTGTCCCCAGGACCTTTCGCTTAGAAAATTAGAGGAACGGGAAAGCCCTGGGAACGAGTTTGCTGAGTAAGAAATTTTGGGTTAGGCGAGTGGCAGGTGGACAGTTTGTTAGATAAGCGATCTGGGCCCAGTTGCTCGAAGCATGGTTAGCGTTAACCAGCGTTTAATACATTGACAACGTATTGGTTAAAGCTAACCATGCTTTGAGCAACTCAGCCCTGAAATACAACAGAATCTAGACTTTCTGTTGTGTTAACGGTAGTTTCTCTTCTACAGGAATGATTGCAACTGGGCTGACAGCCGCGGGGCTCACCTCACTCGAAAAGAGATTTAAACTTAGCAGCAAACAATCCGGAATGATAATAGCAGCCAACGATGTATCGGCCCTTCTTCTCATTATTTTCATTAGCTACTTCGGAGGTCACAGAAACAAAGCCCGCTGGCTTGGTATAGGAGCCCTTGTAACTAGTCTCGGATGTCTTCTCTTCGCGCTTCCGCATCTCCTTGTAGGAAAATACACTCCTCTTGAGATTCAAAGAACTGGACTCGGGGACACCTGTTTGTTTAACACCACTGGAACTCCGAGCGGTGTCGAGAAATGTACCGAAGCGAAAGGGTACACGGCGTGGAAGTACATGTTAGTGTTTGTAGGTGCCAAGCTTCTTTTAGGTGCGGGGACCACGCCCTTGTTTACACTTGGTCCAGCCTACATTGACGAGAATGTGAGTCCCAAGGTGGCGCCCATGTACCTTGGGGTGTGGTTCACGGCCACGTTTTTTGGTCCTGGCATTGGTTATGTGGCTGGAGGATCGCTTCTTAACGTTTGGGTTGACCTTATACAGGTATGGCTATTACAGAACTTAAAGTTCAATACTCTCATTTTCCGTTTGCATCTAAATTCAGTGAACTAGGCCGGGTTGTTGAAAGCGGGATAAAGATAACCCTGGATTTAGCGCGAAATTTGGATTCAAGTCTGACCGCTTACGAAGCAGACTCCAGTAAATTCTTTTTGCCTACAATTTGACTTGTGGGTGCTGTGAATGTCTAAGTGACAAGGAAAATAAAGTTTTACCCCAGGTTATCGATAATCGGCCCTCCACTAACGGAGTCCCTCTGGCATTTCCACAATCCAATTCATCAAAATACCACAGAAAAATACTGATCGAGAGTGTTTTTAGGTATTCCTTTTATAGCATAAAAAACGGCACCGCAGTAAAGATCTACCCATTAGTTTTGTTTTGAACGATCACACGTTGTGGATGTAATCTATAGACTCAAAAGTTAGGACACCAATATAATAAACAACCCCACCGAACGGTGTAGCTTTTTGACGTTAAAACCGGTTCTACTTAGGCCATGTCCACACGAATCCGGATATTTTTGAGATTGCATATTTTTTTTCGGCGTAAACCAATCTGAAGGTGCGGTTTAGTGAGCGGATTCACTGGTTTCGTGTGGACAGGAGGTCAATTCGTGTTTAAAAAGCCATGCGGTTTTAAAATATCTAGATTTGTGTGGACAGGCCCTAATGAACGGGAGAGATGGATCAGTATTGAATCACTAATACCCCTCCCCTGACCAAAATTTTGTCCTACGAGAGGGGTAGTTTGACAGTCACCTAGGGTCTTACACTGATCTGGAAAGATAATGACATTCAAATGATTGATGTTTTTATCAAAAAAGTGGTAAAGACAAGAGATTTTCTCAACGGTATGTTTACTAAAACTTTATCTTTAAACCTCATCAATTTTGTTTTGGTTTCCAGCCCCCTGGAGTTGACTTAACGCCCGATGATCCCCGCTGGATCGGGGCCTGGTGGCTAGGATACTTTTTCGGGGGTCTGCTGTTGTTGTGTACGTCTATAGCCCTGCTTGGTTACCCTAAAGAGATGCCGGGAGCCAGAGAACGAAGAATGAATGCAATCAGAGAGGGTCTTCTACCTGCTCGCGATGAACACATTCAAGGTCGACTGAAGGACATTTTACCCGCTACAAAGGCTATTCTAACTAACAGGACTTTCATGTTTAACACCTGTGCATTTTGCTGTACTACACTCATCGCCACCGGTCTCGGACCTTTCGTCTCCAAGTTCATACAGTCACAATTCGGCAAGTCATCTTCAACGGCCGGTATGTATGAGCAATTACAGTGTTTTAGAATTTTAGGTTTGGACTAAGGAGCTGTGTCACTATTCTTAGGTATTTCCTACAACCCTAAAAACTTATATAGATCAAAGAAAATCCTGAAATGATGGTTCAGTTTTATTCAAAATTACTCTGCTGCTATACATAAACTCTTAGGGTGTGTTTTTTGCACTCTACGGCCAGGATGGAAACAGATTGCAACTTGAAAAAACTGGCCCAACTTTTTGAAGTTAAACTACTGTGTTGACCAAAACAAAAACCGATCATGCTTTGTTTTCCCTTTAACGAGATCATGTGATATCTTTCTTTTGGAGTTCCAAGTATGAAAAATGATGACCGAGAATTGCTAGCATCTCAGCTTTGACTTTGACTTAATGTGGAACTCTTCATGACTTAGCTCCTTTAAGTAGAGTTGTAGTCGAAAACATGTATCCCATTCGAAACCTTGGGCCTGACATGTTTTCCCTTTGTGTGTTTCCGCAGGAATTCTTTCCGGTATCGTAATTATCCCAGGGACTGCGGGTGGTATTTTCCTGGGGAGTTATCTTATCAAGAGAGTGGATGTGAGAAAGTCCTGTAAGATAGCCGCCAAGTATTGCTTCATTTTTCAATTCATCGGCACCTGGGCCGTGTTAACTTTCCTCATTCCCGGATGTAAGACCACGTTGCTCGCTGGAATCAGTCATCCGTATCCGTTCAACAACAGGTACAGTAATATCATTTAAGCATAAAAGCTGATGATCGCATAATTCTCTTGCTTAAGATCAGAGGCAGGCATGATTACTGTTGCAGAATAGATTTCGATTGTGGCGATAATGATGATGATGGTGATGATGATAACGATGATTATGATGATGTTGATAAGCTCAATTATAGTACAGTCGATTTATCATAAGCTGTTGCTTATGACAAATCATTATGATGGCCACGATTGCTGTGATGATGGTGGTGGTGGTGGTGCTGATGATGGTGATGACGATGTTGATGGTGATGATGATGATGTTGATAAGTAATGGTAACAGGACTGAGTGGAGTCCAATTCGGTCTGTAATCATACGAGTGATTAACAAAATCGGACGACCGCGTAGCGGGAGTCCGATTTGTTTAATCACGAGTATGATTACAGACTGAATTGGACGACACGAAGTTCTGTTACCAATTAATCATAACTTTGACAAAATTTGTGATACAATAGGCTATTTTTTAAACCAAAACACAAGAAATTCGAAATTTTGTTTTGCTAGCAGTGAAAAAAAAAAGCCATTTAAGCGCGCGCGTGATGGCGCGTACTGTCCAATTACTTAGGCATGACGCGTACTGTCCTATCAAACTGTCCAATTAAGGCTGAAATCAGGGCAGTTGAGAGCCAATCAGATTTGACAATTTTGTTATAGTTATGATTAGCTCAATTATAGTACAGTCGAACCCCGCTTAATACGGACACCTTATTATTACGGACAGTTTGCTTTGTTCCTGTGGAAAGCCACACATTTTCTCCAAATTCAACCCGCTCAATACGAACACGCGTTAATGTGGATAACGGATAAATGTTTCGTTAACAGCATATCAATGTTCCCAGTGTTACAGTAAACCGGATTGAATGATATTTTCAAGCATCAAACTAGTTATGCGGAGAACGGTTTTGTTTAAGTAATACACAGATGAGCCATTTTAGAGTGTTTTCGTGGATTTAGTCCGCAAAATGACGGAATTGTGAAAGTTGGTGATGTTTACTTTGACGATGCGAATGTCCTCTTTTATTTCTTTCGTGTTTTGTTCTAATAAAAAGTGTGTTCTGACTCGAATAACATGACCCGCTTTATACGGACATCCCGTTAATACGGACACTTTCTTTGGCTCGTTCAGGTTTCGTATTAACGTAGTTTGACTGTATCAAACATTGGGCACTGTTAGTTATGGAAAAGACACTTCTAACCTACTTACAGAGCAACGTAGTGCGATTAGGGGGTCAGATAGTCGACCACTCGTCGCTAGAGCACGATTTTATTTAGAATCAACTAAGCAACTTGAATATTTAGAAAATCTCGCAACACACACAAAAAACTTTAGGACGTCCTATCCTGTCCTGCGTCGTACAAGTCCTGTTAGCTACTAAGAGTTACCGAGAACTTCGGTTAATAATGGTTTATGTAATATTTGAGGAGAGTTGTAGTTTACAATGTGCAAATTTCGTATAGAGCTGTTGTTTTGGTCGTGACACGGAGCTTTTAAAGTAAAGATTGCGTGACCATGAAGCAAGGTGGACACGATGTGGTGACTCTTGTTTCTATTTACAGGACCCTATCTGAAATAGACATTTCAGCGCCGTGTAATTCTCTTTGTCACTGCAGTGGTCGTGATTACGATCCCGTTTGTGGAGTAGATAAAGTGTCGTATTTTTCTCCGTGTCACGCTGGATGCACGGTACAAGTCAAGGACAAAGAGAAGATGAAGAAGACCAACTTACTCTCTATTGAAAAGGTAGGCACAGAAGATGAAGCAGAGTCAACGACATCGGGGAAAGAACCAAGGCTTAAGCCGTCATTTTTGTAGGTTAAGTGTAATACACCTTTCAAATGTGACTTACTGTAACCACATACGACGTTTCGAGCGCTTCCATTTCCACAGAACGCACAGTCTCAGAGTTTATCGCAGTTAACTCACGAAATCATGTGCACCAACACTGGAAGGGCAAGAAGACAAAAAGTGTCCTACAATTTTGACTGAGACTTGCAGCAAGGTCTTCTTGAATATATCCAGACCCCTTCGCAGTCTAATTGTTCCTTGTTATCTACAACCGATAAAAGCCTAAGGAAATGAAATAGGTTCCCAGGATGCAACACGTTCTCTTCAAATTTGCCTCAGGAGAGACTGAGAACGAGTCAGGGTTATCGTATCATTGCGTGTAGTGGGAAATTAACTGTTGGTCAGTGGACACAGGTCTCTTAACAACATTCTGTTGCTAGTTATCTTTGTCGGCGCTAGCGGCATGTACTGATGATCGAAAAGTAGCCTCCATGCTGTACTACCCGCAATGAGAAGAAATCCTGTTTAGATTATGCAGTTTTTCTTAAGCCGACCATATTTCCCAACGGGCCTTAAGCAAGTTAGAAACCAGTCTTCCATCTACGGTCGCGAAAAACTTAAACATCGTAAAAAAAAGCTGTGAAACTTTGCGCGCTCAACCAGCAAATAGTCTTAAATTGCGATTCTAAGGGGTTGCGAAAACCTGTACGGTAAATATTACCGTATTATCTGACCTCAACATCATTCTTCTTTCGTTTAGTTTTAATATTTTAATTCAGTTGTCTTCTTTGCACAGAATTATGTCAACTGTCGCTGCATCCCGTCCCCAGAGACAAGCGTTCCATATGGCTCTGCTAAACAGGGAACATGTGACCGAGATTGTAAGAATCTCATCCCCTTTCTTTTCGGTGCTGTGGTGCTGCTCATCTTCAACTTTATGAATGCCACACCCAACAAGACTGTCGTGTTAAGGTGGGTTTTTTTCTGGCCACTTCAGAAACGAGGAGGGGGACTGGGCCGAGTCAAAGTTCACAAAGACTTCTGGGACTGTTCCCGGGGACAGGGAGAAAAATTGGCCAATAGCTGACCGCCGCGTCCTTAGTAACCATCCCGGAAGTTCGTTTCTGCGGCAAAGGGGGCTTTCCATTTGACAGAACTGGTCGGCCGGACCATTGCTCTACCATTGCTCTACCAGTCAGTTTGAAAATGAAATAGGCTTTTTCCAAGAGTTTTTGCTGAAGGACCATCTCCTTCGTGCATACTATTCAGGATTTGACTGATCTGGCCGGAGAGTTTTGATTAAAAGGGAAATTATCACTGCGACGGGAATGGTCTGGCCGGTCAGTTCTGACAAATGGAAAGCGCCCTAGTTGTAAGTGCTGAAATTTTTTCAAGTTCTGGTGTGTTTGTTCATGGCAGACGCAAACGTAATACGCTTTTTTAAGCTCGCTTTGCTCTTGTTCATCCTTTTTTTCTCTTAAGCTGCTTTAACTTACTCTCTTACTAATGAACGCCCCACTTTACCCTAAAATCAAAGTTGGAATTTTCAGTTGTTGCTCTTATTGCTACAGAAGTAGTGGCGAGAAGTTAAAGAGCAAGGTTAAGCAAATTCGAATTCCTCTCCCGAGATCTTGTCGTTAATTCTCGTGGGTCTCTCTGCCTTGCGTAGCATTGATATTACAAGGCGAAAGTAGATGGAGATCATTCGTAGGGCTTAAAGAGTAAAACAGACACTGAATTACGCTCTGGCAATTTCACTACCCCTCATTTTTAACCTTCTCGAAGGGCCTGTTGATATGAAGGGGGTTAGATCTGTTTGGCAGGCTGGTCCGGCTAATGCCTGTGTCCAGTTTATTCCAAAATGTTCACATGACCAATTCCAGCCCGGTTTCGGGCTGATTCCTTCACATAAAAATACTGATGCAAAAATCATCGCGCCTACCGAGCTGGGCCGTTTAGGATGCACTAAATAAATATGGCGAAGTAGCTTAAGTATGACTATGTAGTAAAAAGCTTCTGGACAGAACCTATGCGGTGTAGTGTTTCTACTTGACTTGTTTTCCAACAATCAGTAGCAAGTTGTAAATGACAGACAAACCAGAGAGCACATGACAATCTCTCTCGGTGGTTTTCTCTCTTTCAGATGTGTGCCAGACAATCAACGGACCTATGCTTTAGGGCTGCAGTGGTTGTTTCTGTGTATGTTTGGGTCCATGCCGGGTCCCGTGGTGTTTGGTGCATTCATTGACAAGACCTGTATTTTATGGGAGGAGACATGCAGTGGAAGAGGCAGTTGTCTTGAATACAACAACGAACTGCTCAGTTACCTGTTAGTTGCAGCTGGACTCTTCTTTCAAAGTAAGACGTTTTCTTGTGTGACTGTGCTCATTTTTATGTTCAGTGATGTAACGGCTATTAGTAAACTTACGCAAAAGGTCGCCTGATGAAGGAAGCCAACAAACCTTGTGTTACAAGCGTGACAATAACTTTGTGTGAAAGAAATGTTCCGTCAAACTTCACCTTCCTTTAAGCAGATCGTTTTGTAAAAGACCAAAATACGGTAGTAGTTAGTGAAGAGACGCAAATGATAGCCCTGTCACGTTTGTCACACATACACACGTTTTGTCCTCCCCTTTTTTCTGCTGTCCTGTTGCGCTTGATCTTGTGTTTGGAGAACAAATTTTGTCCGAGTTTCCTTAGACTTTCAAAAAAGTCCTTCGTCGGATTTCATATGGCGCGTCGCTCGCGGTCGGCCGCTTCGCGGCCAAACAAGGCTCACTCCGCTCGCCAGGAGGTAGACTTGTAGCAAGTCTACAGTTTCCTTTGCAACTTTCTAACGGACATCTTTAGCGCCCCCATTACCGTTCAGGGTTGACTGTATTTATTATTTCTATCTTCACAGTTCTTTCAGCGGCTCTTTACTTCGGTTCTTGGTTCTTCTGTAAGTCAATCGACTCAACCCCAGCGGTCCCGGATGTTGACCATCCCTCCACCCCACAGTTACAACATCGCCTAAGCCCTCCCCAGACGCCAGTACCAGGCTTTGTGTTCCGCCAAGAAAAACAGACGGCTGATCAGCAGGCTGATCCAGAACAGGAAGCTCTTGCGCAGGCTGGTCCTGACAGCAGAAGTTCTTCCCCAGTCCCTGGCATTGCGCGGTATTCCATTGATGATGACAGTGTTTGTCTGTCTTTCAAAACTGCTGGTGATGAGAGTGAGAGGAGATTTTTACCGCAAAGCGAGTCGTCGATTTAAAGGTGACTTAAAGGTACAAAAAACGTGTGCCGTTTGTCGACTTCTTCCTTCCCTTTGAGAGATTCTTCAAGCACCTTAGAGTGTTCTGCAAGGAATTTTTAGATAACCCAGGTGGAGATAATGCAGATATAGTCATCTATTTGTTGGTGAATTTTAGATATAGCAAACTTGTATCTTTCGTGCTTCACATACGTGAGGAATTATTTGGGTATCTAATAGCATTTTACGTTAAGACGGGTCAATAGTCGATTTAAGGTTCGTAAGGAATAGAGGAGGTAATATGACAGCTTTTATATGATAACTAGAAGCCAGGTAAACTACTCCATCTTTCCATGCACTCAGGAGATGGTTATCCTGCGCAGGAACGTTTTGTTGTAACTGTAGCTGTTGTTATCTTGATTCTCAAAGGAAGAATAGGAAAGTTACATGTAAACGATTGATATTAGAAAAAAAATGTCGAGGTTAAGCAACGAGAATGCTGACATCCCGGAAGTCATGATTAGCAACCGGAGGTTCCATGTCCGATGGAACGCTTCTGTCTCACACAACGAATCTGAATGCCTTCGTTTTAACTCCCGCTGCACGAATGTGTTGAGTCAGAGCACTGACAGAGAGAAAATGTCAACTTCCAGTTGCCATTTTTGACGTCAACGTTCTCGCTGCTTAAGGTCCCTATTTAGAAAAAAGCCCATTCCATTTCAGCATTGCAGCGTTAACATATCCTGGCCGCATCTTAAATCTTAATTATTGGTATCTCGCAGTATAAAACTTTGGAATACTATCCACATTATGAGTAGTATAGGGCGCATAACGTAACCTACACCACTTGAGAAGCTATACTTAGAAGTAAAAAAGGTCGGCACGAAACCTAATACGATCCTAATATACATAATGATATGAAATATCAAATTATTTTTATTATTATTATTGTTATCATGGTTATTGTTGTTTTTGTTTTCTTGTTTGACCCCCTCACCGATGCAGTACAAAAAAGGCATCAAATGTAAGAATAATTTTGACAGAGGAATTTTTGCACACTCTCCTTTCACGTTTGAAATGAAGAAAAACTGAAACAAGTCATTATTATAAAACATGTAGTTTGAGGGATACACTATTCACTTAGGAAGCACAGATTATGAACGATAAACTTAAGGAATGTTGAATCAGCTGGAAGTAGGAATGACCGATACTTAGTTAAAAAATTGCTTGGGACAGATAAAAAACTCAGTAAGTGCATAGCCGTTTCATTATAATACAATTTTAGGACCAATAATGGAGCAGTACTATTTGGATTTAACTTTGTTCCATTTACCATGTAATTAATATTATATATTTTTGATATTGCTTTTCTCCTATTTATTTTAATTGGTGGTCGTTTTATAGAATTTTTTTTGTTTTTGGGGAATTATATATAAATATTTTCGTTATTTTTCATATATTTAAACACCACAGGTGTAATTCAGCTCAAAAAAGGCCTTTCACCCAGCAGCTTTTCTCAGTAAGAGCTATTTTAGATACACATTAAGGTATAAAAACAAATCACTTATTTTCACTGCATGGGATTGTAAATCACTATGTCAATAATCCATGATAAGCAGTCATGAGGTAGCTTTAAAAAAGATAGCGTGGAATGTAGAGAAGATTGACAAGTATCTGGGATTGTTTTGAGAGAGTTTATCTAGTGAAAGTTTGTCAACGCTAATAATAACCAAGGGAAATATTTTAAAGATAGTGCTTAAGCTGAGATTAAGGATTAGCATATATCTTAGCGATATCTTTGTGTTTCTGGTTTCTCAAAATCAGCGAAAAGTCAGTAAACTAGAAGTCAGAATAGATCGTTTTCACATGACGTCACGGGGACTAATTTGTGTACAAAATTAAACAATGAGACGGCGGCCATGTTTGTCTACCGGAATAATCCTCTGAGAATGTAACTCTGTTCTCATGTAGAATCTTCCTTTTGTTTCAAGAACTTTACCTAGCTCCTAATCACGTGAGTTAATTCGACCTATAAATAGCAACTCTCTCGTTATTTCCGCCTTTAGAAGAGGCATTACATACCGTTGTTAGTTAGCTGATCTTGGCTCTTTTCCCTCAAGTGCTTGCTCGGCCACTTTCGATCCAGGCCACCTCTCTTTTTCTATTTGAGCGAAATATTGCTTTATAACGCAATATTTGACCTTCTTAATAAGCTCGTTCCTAGGGTCTCTCTTGTTTTAATTGTCTCCTTCGTTGTACGTTTTCGAGAGCTTCTGTTTCTTGTGAGTGCTCAGTTAAGTGAAATTCTTAAAGAGTTAATAGTACAGAGCTGAGAACAGAAAATTCAGAACTAAAGAGAGTCAAGTTCATCCTTAAAAGTGTCGGATTTGTTTAAAAGACTTTTCCCCAATATTCCAACCTTTCGTAACAAATGCATCTTTCCTATTTCCCCGTGTATGTTTTTTAAACAATTTGAATTCAAAATCCTTTCCCTAGTTACACTTTATCTGCCTAATTCTTTTCAACAATTAATTCTTTCAGTAATTACGTTCAAATTTATTCGAGTGCATTTATATTAAGTTCGTACTGTACGCTTGTATATAGGATAAAAGAGAATGTTTTTAGCAATGACACGAGGAAGCAGACCTTTTTTGACAAACCTGTACTGCTTTGCTACTTCTCGAAAGATGTTCGTTCTGTTGATCCAAGAAATTCCATGCTCGCCCTCTCCCAACACAAGTCCTTTTTAACACTATAGCGTAAATTTTACACCCGGTGTTTTAGAGTGAATGTTTCTAGAAGTAAGCAGTAAAGGTGCACCACAAGAGACGTCTGTTTTCCTCAGTGCTCGAGTTACTTGAAGATAGTTGAACTCACACTCTTGTCGAAGCCAATCAGTGGTTGAAGCAGTTAATTCTAAAATTCGATCAATGTTATATAAGATTGTTCCGCGGATTCGCGTTTTAGATGAAATCAGTCCATAAAAACTCGACTGGTTATTTAATTAAAATTTTTTCGATGGTTAATGAAAACTCAGTTTCACAGATTAATCGTGTTTTCTCCCGTCAGGGGGCTCTTGTTTACCGATAATCTAAAAGTCAAAAGTGAGTTTTGAATTACGTTCATTTGATCACAGACTTTTAAAGAACACAGTGAAGGCTTAGTGAAAACTATCAACCTTTGTTTATTAGTAAGTAAAAGTAGCGGCAATTAATTTAAAACAAAGTTGTTTTCGTAACTATCCTGATTGATTGGTGGTGCAAGTTAGCGGTCTTAAGTTAAGGGACATGCGCGCCGGCGTGCTTTGACCCTTGAGATCAATCTTGCCAACCCTTAAATCAGGAGATACTTAGTTAAGTTACCATTTGTATTCGTTCTTTTTAAGATACTTTCTGTATTTATCGTAATCCAATTGTTAAGATTAAAAGCATTTCTATTGCAATTTTCTTAAGTCTGTGAGTGTTCCTTTCGTCACATTCCCAGAGCGAAACTGGGACGAGTAAACTTGCGCAAAGACTTCTGGGACTGTCACTAGGGAATGACCAATAGCTGACCGGCGCGAACAGGCGCGTCCCCAGTAACCATCCCAGAAACAATTGCGGGACGCATTTTGGCTCCAGTTCCCTTCTCGTTTGTAAAGTGGCGAATTGCCTAAGTGGTTTCCCAATATTCTCTGCGTGCCTCAATGCAATCTTGTATCAGTTCTTCTCTCGCGCCGAAAACAAATAATAGCGACTAGGCACTGGTTTCAAAAGTATAATGGTAGGCCCGTGATTACCGTCTCCAAACTGCTGAAGCCTGTGAATTTATTTTCCTACTGTTTGACTTGGGCATAGTTTCAGTTTAGTGTAATCCCGAGTTTTTGGAGCACGCGATCTTAAGGTGAACTGGCTGATATCTTTAAATTTTTATTTGCAGCAAATATAAAAACTTTGCTAAAGCATTATATACCGTATTTATTCGATTAACCGCCCTGGCCGCTTGTTAAATTTTGGGACCTTGAGAGTGGGCGCTTATTCGAGGTGGGCGCTTGTTCGAGGCTAGGCACTTATTAAATTTTCACCGTTTACAGCAAGTGAAGTATGTTTATTTTGCAACGAAACAATAAATGCTAATAACAAAACGCGAAGAAGTAACAAAGCAAGGTTTTTGTAAAACATTCTGAAGAAACCTCCGTCCTCGGGGAAGTCTCCTATTAGAATTTATTCACTCAAGTGGGTGGGGTGGGGGTGAGCGCTTATTTGAGTTTGATTGGGAGGAGGAGGAGGGGCTGGGCGTTTATTTGGGAGGAGGGGTTTGGCGCTTATTCGAGGCTGGGCGCTTATTCGAATAAATACGATATTTGCCTACTTGCCTGTCCGATTGGAAGGTTCGAAAAAATTGGGATTGAACTGCTGATCTCACCCCCCAGAAACAAGGGATTCTGAATACGAGTTTGGGTGTCAGAAGCGAGAAACCTTGGCAGGTTATATTTCCTTTTCAAATTTGCCTATTAACGCGAGCAAGTTCTGCTTATGGAAGAAAATTCCCCCGTAAAAATGTCGAAAAAAAAAAAATGCAACGCAAGACTAGGTGTCTGTCAAGCGGTGGAGTCCTTATATTTTTTAATTCCTTTATGTCCTTCATCACAGTTGGTCAACTTAGTTGATATTTCAAGTGTTAAAAAACAATTTAAAATTAAAACTACGGAATAATATTGAATTAAAACAAATACACCAGGCCCCAGTTGTCCAAACGTTGGATAGCGCTATGCAACGGATAAATCCCTATCCGGTGGATAAGTATTAGGGAAACCAACTGCATTATCCTCTGGAGAGAGATTTATCCACTGGATAGCACTATCAACCTTTCGAGCAACTGGACCATGATCTTAACCGCTATTGAATTCAAATAACTGATAAAAATTAAACTGGCAAATTATACCATCTGATTACAATTCCGAACAAAGGCAGTAGTTTTTAACTGTAGAAGACAACGTGTTCGAAACAGTTCGAGAAAAACACTCATTAAAAATACATTTTAAAAAAATAAAAGCGTAAAGACATTAAATAATTATTTGATATAGTTACGACGAGGGTATTCAGTGAGGTGTATTATTGACTGTGATATATGTCTGTAGCTGTTTTTGCGGCCATCAAATAAATATAAATCCACTTTTAGAAGGAACCTTTTTCGACCAGACTGACGTCCGCAACTTCAATAAAATCCACCACTATTTGGGCTACTGATGATACTTTCATCCTTAAATACACTGAAACCCAGTTGTTTTACAACCCCATGAGCTGTTACACACAGTTTCGCCCAATGACCTACCGTAAAATGCCGCTAAAAATGAATTTGATTTATTAAATAAAAAATAAAAAACAGTAAATGCAAAACATATTTTGATCAGCACTGCTATGGCTTGTTTCGACGCGCTTTCTTCTATTTTTCTGATTATAATAAGAATAAAATGCAAATATAATTTTTTTAGTCAATGTTGCAATAATCGAGGGTCTCAATAGTATGGTAACCTTCTGGGGGCAGACCATTTGATTTCTGAAGGGGGTGGGGGTGGCTTGTATGGGTGATTTGGTTTGGGTAAGAATTTCTTTCTTCCAAAACCTCTGGAGTTTGAATTTTTTCCTGACACACAACAGTGTAAAATTTTTTTCCCAGCATTATAGGCCACGAAAGATATTTTTTCAGTGCAAGACTTTTTTCCCTAGGTATTACCTTGCACGATTTTTTTTCCCTCGAAATCAGTCTGCAGGATATTTATTTCTGAAATCACCCATACTCTCCGCCCCCCTCAAAAGTCAAATGGTCGGACCCTTATTATAAGTTGAAATGCTGATTGAGACTGACCTGCAGAAACGCGTCATTGGTGTTCGTATTTGGAACTGATGTCAATTGTTTACATAAAAGGGACTTTGTCATTATTAATAACTAGTAATAACCAAAGGTTACGGAATGCAGGCGACAACGCTCGAAGGTTAAAACGCTTTTGCTCGAACGCTTTTCACGTGAGACAGATGGTCAAAACACGCGTGATCAGATTACGAGTGATCGAAGGTTCAAACACGCGTAATCAAATAGCGTTATGTGCATTCCATTCATTCTTAGTGGAAGTCCAAACGAATGCTGGCTACATACATGCGACGCATGCGTAATAACAACCTGGAGATTAGTATTGCGCGCTCCTCTTGTCGCCCGCAATTATTATATAATTACGCATGATCACTATCATTATTGTTATCACCACTTATCTTTAGATCTAAATGATCATTACACACTATTATTTCAAGTTCAAGAGACATTTGCTTCCTCTTCCCTCCAGAAATGGAAATGTTAAAAATGAACCCCGCTCATAATCCAATCTTTGTAAAAATCAGTTGTATGTCGTTCTTGGGGCGTGAAACAGGAAGCCATTTGTACGTCAGATCTTGGTTCGGCACCAATTCCCACTCGAACGACTGAAGAAGATGTTTAGCGAGAAGCTGCAAATACATAATAAAAAGCAAGCTCGATTCATTCTATGGCTATGTATAGACAGTGTTGTGAATTTGGTTAAGCCGTTAGATCTTTTCGATGAATTTGATGAATTTAGTCATATACTGCCCGATTTACAACCTCTATTTCTTTAACCCACAAGGGAAGAAGCCTTTCGACTTTCCATCCCCTCCCACCCGCCGAAATATAGGACCATCTACCTGTAAACAACAACAACAAAACGTACACCCGATTGTTAGCCTTCGTCCAGCTTTTATTTTCTTGAATTTGACGTATTATGACGTTGTGACGCTTAATTAAAAACCAGTAAATGCAAAACGTATTTTGATCAGCACTTCTATAGCTTGTTTTGAAGCGCTTTTTCTATTCTCGTTATAAGCCCCCTCGGATAAAGGACCCTACGTTTATAAGCCCTCCTAAAACCCCCTACAAAAATGTATAAGCGGTCTTTTACAGTACTGTAAGCTTCAGACTGGTTTCCGGTAGAGAGGGAGTGGCAGCCGGAGAGCGTTACCAGCGATCCCGTTCCGATTCCGATTTAGCGTTCCGATTTCGCTTACGAACTAGTGAAAACCAGGTTGTCGGAGTCAGAAGGAGCAGCGAACGGCTACAACAATCACACTGTTCGTTCCCGTGCCATGTGATTTGTTTAGTTTTTCCACTTCCGCTTCGGCTTACAAGAATTTCACTGGATCGTAAGCGTCGAAGCCTGAAAACACAGCCGACATTGCGCAATGCCACGCGAAATGACGCCTGAGGAACGAGCAGAGAAATTCCATACTGATGACGTGCCATTACCCAGATGTGGGATAGTGCTTCTGATTGGCTGAAGTAAATTTCTCTCGCCGCAAGGCCAATCAGAAGAACCACCCTGACCCAGATGGGGGGAGTTCACGTCATCTGTTTGGATGGGGTCGCTGTTCACGTCATTCCACGTACCAGTGATGGCCTGGCTGTTTTCGCTGCTCATGGCCCAGGCACCAAAGTCAGAGACACGGGGAAAACGTTGATTCCTCCCCTGCACCATTTTCTTGCTAGCAAGGAATTGTTAGGAATCATACAATAAGCAACTTTTGCAAAAGGTACTCACGAGTAAAAACTGACCTTGATAATCTTATGTATGAATTTATGTCCAACGCACATCCGGGGACCAGAGCCAAACGTCCATACGCGGTCCTTGTCAAGCTGGTTACTACGAAAACAAAAGCAGACAATCAGTTAGTATGTTGTATACTGTTTGTGCAGTTAGTGTTAATGAAATAAATTCAATAGTTTGTGACTATTTTTTAGGATATTGTATATTTGCACGATGTTTTACCGTGTATAAATAAGTGATGATGATGATGATGAAGCGGGGGAGGGGGACGGAACAGGCTGTGGGAAGGGGGAGGGGTTCAAGTTTCCCACCTCCCCTACAATGCAGTCCGGGCTCCCGCCCCTTTTTTCTTGGCTTCTTCATTGCGAAATAGTTAGCATTGCTGCGTAATTTCCCCTTATTTGTCCCGCTTCCCACCCTTTTAGGACTTGCACTTCCACCTTTTCCTCTCCCGCCTACCGTACCCCTCCCGCCCACTAATCTCCAGGCCCCCACCCCACTGCTCTCCCCTACTAAAAAACGCAACTGTATATGAACCTAAAAGGTCGGAAGGTAAACAGACTTGAAGATTAACAGCGATACAAATTGACCATTTCGCTGTCACTTTTCAAACCAGCGGGTAGATATTGTGCTGCTATTTTCTAGATATACTAAGGATTAACTATAACGACCCAAGCAAAGTGCTATCAGACCTTTTTGATATTTAATACAGGAATTAAGCGAAAAACGTGGCCAGGGCGTCGTGGACCTTTTTACAAAAGCACATGAAACTTTCTTTAATAACACTAGAGCAGTGTTCAAGAGGAACTAGCTAAATTCAATATTGTCAAAAATTTCCAGGGGCTTTGAAAATCACCCCATGCGTGAGAAACAAGTTCTTTCTTCATAGAATGGCCCATGAATTAAACGTCCTCAAACTGGCGCAGTAAGTAGTAAAGAGCGCGCGTGACGTTAGACGTGTGAAGTTATTTTGAACTGTCTGTCCAATCACGGAGTGCTGTTTGTTCGAACAGTTCACAAATATATACTAGAAATACGTATCTCGCAATAACCCTCGCGAAACTTGGTTTCACAGCGATTCTGCCTCCATTATTTGCCAACAGAAATAAGAAAAAATAGCTCACCAAGTATCCCATCGTTCGGGTAGAAACTTTTCTGCCTCGGGGAATATCTTAGGATCACAGTTAGCTGCTCTTGTAAGAAATCCAACATAGTGGCCAGCGGGAACTTTATAACCATCTATAATAACTTCCTACAAACAAAAAATGAACACAAAATTTTAACACCCAAAGGCCAGCTCCACAACCTCCCATACAGACGTTCTTAAGACTTCGTCACGCGTTCACTCGGTATTCACAGGTATTGACTTTTTCAGGCTTCTTCTAAAATTATAATAGAGAGTATAAGCAAAGACGAAGGCGACGCCAACGAGAATGGCATAAAAACAATAGGTTTAGATTGGCAAAACAGCAACTCTGCACGTGCATCACGCTTTTTAACTTTTGTACATTTCTTAGCCGTGGTTGCACGACTACAACGTGAAACTTCCTAATTTCACGTTTTGTCGAGGACGGGAACACAAGACAACAACTTTTCTTTTCTTTTTCTGAACTGTAGTACGGTCCTTTAGTATTCAACTCCAAAACGAAAATTTCCAACATATGACGAATAAAACGAGTTGAACAAGCGCGATAAAGTTTGAAGCAGCGCGAATTTACTTTTTAAGTGACGTTCTTGTAGCCGTCGCCGTCGTAGTTGCTTAAGCTCCCTAATATTTGGCCGGGGCAGGAGCTCATTACCCGGAGCGAGTAATTTCATGTACTCATATCACAGCGTTTTCACCGACTGTTTTACAATAATTTTGGCAAGAAAGTGGAATATCTTCTAAGCCGCACAAACCGTGTATCTAAAACTAAACCAGTCCGTGAAAACGCCGTGATATAGGCCCAGTAGGGGAGTTGCTAGTAACTCAGGGTTATGGGCCCTTCATTAGGGGATCATATTCACATCCCTACGTCTTCACACAGGCAACCAAATCTCGATCCGATCGTGTAGGGATACGATCGCATTAATAAAAAACGGACCACCTTCATGGACCGTGGTCCATGAAGGGTCGCTGCTCAGAAGCGAAACGCATTGAGAGGAAAACTCAACAATGTATCCTTAAAGTATCAGAAATCAAAACTTAAAGGAATAAAGCTCAGTCCTTACCTGTTTTGCAAGTCTTCGCCCCCCTAAAAACGGCGGCCAGAGTCGTTTCACTTCCAACAGCACATTTTCTAAATATCTGTCATCTTGAGCTGCCCGAAGGCGTTTTTCAACCTAGAAAATCATAATGCAAATGTATAAAAATGCTGTTAGCCTACACGTAAATGTACATTTTTTCACGCAGATTAGACAAAAATTACAGGAAATAAAATACAGATAGTAGTAGTACGTACTCGAAAGAGAAGGCATGGATGCTCGTCGTCTCGTCTAGGGGTATAAAGTGCAGATTTTGGTTTTACTTTGGGTGTTTAGGTTACTCCATGTAAGGGAATACGGAGTCCGGATCTCGGGAAATTGTTGTTGTGGTATCCCGATATCCTGCAAATTATTGCTGGGGAATCCTGAATCCTTGGCTTTGGAATCCGGAATACAGCTCAAGGAATCCACAATTCCATTATCGATAGGAATCCGGAATCCAAGTTCTACTGTTCCCGGCGTGGAATCCAAATCCAAGACTATCTTGGATTCCCTTACTTGGGGCGATTCAGGACAAACACTTGCGTAGCCAGCGAACGCCAACATGTTAACTCAAGTCGGTATCGGCGTGTTACCGAGGGTTGTACATAAAGAAATGAAAAACTTAAAAGAAGGGGAAAGATGGATAAAAAGCATCCGATGACAATATCTTCATTGTATAGACGATTATTTTACTTACATTTTCCGGTTTTGCAAGTTCGATGCAGAATGACGTCATCAAGGACGCTAAGGCTTTTGGGACCAACGCGGATACAAATAACAAAAGGTGATTTGCCATTTCAGCCTTGGATTTAAATTCTGCTTCCCTGATGGCGTTTAGAAAGCTAAAACAAAACGAAAAAAAGCTATCATTGTTTACAAATTCACAGTTAAAGTGACAATACAGCCCCGTGCAAACGCACGCTACATTATTGGATGTTGCATGTTGGGTCCGTTTGCACACCCTGTTGCAAGTATGTTGTAGCATATTCTTGGGAGTAGTTGCATCCGTTTGCACACCACTGCCAACACTTATCAATCAACTCCCACTCGACCCAAAATCGTTGGGAGTTGTTGCGTCCGTTTGCACGTAGCTCAAGTGTACAGGGAAGCCGATAATCTCAGAACGCGTTCTCAATAGCGACAGCGAATTTCCTTCCTTCCTTCGTAACGCTTCATGTAACTAAAACATGACTGATTTAGCACACCCAGCCTTTGTCAACCCTTTGGTCACATTTGTAAACGACCAACTGGCTTGCCTTTTGCTAGTTGTTGCTATTAATTCCCTGGAGAACATCACGTGGTTTAAATTGGAAAAACAAAACATACAAGCTAAAAAGGGCTATTGGGCCCTTTGCAGCTACACTGTAGTCATTCACGTGGTACAAAACCGCAATACTGGAGAGGATGGGGCAAACTGGGACAAGACAAGGAAGGAAATTACCAGTATAAAATAATGAGCTCTTTGTTTTTTCTGTCCTTGCTCTCCAACATGGCGATTTTGTACCACGTGAATGACTAGCTTCAAAAGACTTTTGCTACTTTTTGGCAAATGTTGGGGGCGAACACATGGTGTTCATGTGTAGTACATGTGTCAGCAGTCACGACGTCAGCTTTGATTACTTCATCCACTTCACTGACTTACCAGTGTTTCTCCTCTGCTAGACGTTTATTGATGATGGTCAAAAGACGATTCTGACAATGAGAAATTTAAGGACAGCTCGTTAGAAATCGTTAAAACTGGACCGAGACCCACCAAAATACCATAGTTTGCTTTCCATCAAGTGGCCATACATGTGTTTACACTGCCGGAAGTTATCTGTAACCAGCCTGCAGTTGAGGCTTAAGTTAATGTTGTACCCAGATCTCAACCTGTCTGTTTCTATCTGACCATATGAGACCTGGGTATGAGATTTGTCCAATACGTGAAATTCTACCATAAAGGCCATGAAAGGATGCCAGTTGCACTTCACCAAAATGGTCCTCTACCATCTCGTATTGTCATCTGGACATTACGAAACAATTATGAAACTGCCATTTCCCCATTTTCCATTAATTTATAAGATGTTGCAGCTGGGCATCTTATCTTAGGCCCCCGGCCAGGGTGCTCCAGAAAGCAAACTTCCACTTGCTCAGTTTTGATGTACTTGAGAAAGACTCTGCACATGAATGGAGTACGATCATTGTTGAAAATGCACTGCATGTTGCTAGGATACATTTTTGAAACCAGACCTAGTAGCTTTGCCCTTGGTATAGCGAATTGAGTTTATCACTAAACAGATGCTCACAAGATTATCTGGTCCAGCAGTTCGTGCTGTGGTGACCTCAAAGTTTTGACAGAATTCCGGCAGAAACTTCCTTTTTCCCTCCTCGATTAAGAAGAAGCCAAAAGGAGGCACTGTTCACAGGGTGCAGCCTGAGATACCCCGGCCTTTAACAGTTAGCTGTGATTGGGCACCACATGTTACACCCTGTGAGCAGAGTCTCCCTTTGATTTCTTGAGTGAGGAGGAGCAGCTGATGCTCTGCCCGCAATCCAAACTTCTGGACTAGTCAATCTTGTTTCCTCTCATCATAGTTAATTGAGTGGAATGGTTATGAAACCCGTCAGACTCCTTTGTCATATGTTTTTGTGGACCTGAAAGTGCACAACATTCAAAAGAATTCCTATCATTTTGATTGTATTGACCAATAAAAACGTTGCAAATTTTTCCGTTCTTGTGCTCATCAAACTGCAGCACTGTTGTTTTTATCATTGATGTTTGCCGCTTTTCATAACCAGTCTCCTCTAATAACTATGCTCTCATCAAACTGTTTTTTTTTTAGTGCCAAGCAGCCTCTTACTGATAAACCAATGATCACAACTGAGCCTACTGCAGAGCTGTCAACTCTCCCGGATAATCAGGGAGACTCCAGATTTTGGACCGTATCTCCTGATAAAAACGGCATTTGCCATTTCTTCAGTAGACTTGACTTTCCAACAATAAAATGCCCACTACTTTGCGTTGTTTGAGCTATTTTATTGTTAACATCGAACGTTTCCTCATAAACTCCGGTATGCCATTGTAATATTAAACAATGTGACTGGTGGAAAGTAAACCAATCAGGTCAAATGTTGCAATGCTAACAATGTCTTTTTCACAAGTTTTGTGTCATCGCAAATTCGTGACGACCTGAGTTATTGAGTATTTTTTGCACAAATGATGTCATGTGCCATCCACTATGACATCATCTATCATCCCTTTCCCATCAATTCTCAATATTTGGAGGTGTGGGGGTTTACAGCACTGCCACTATACCAAGTGCACTGCCATTGGACCTGTGTTCAAAGTTGTGTCCCAGCAACATGCAGTGTATGCTCAACAAAGATCTTCCTCGATTCCTTCTAGAGTACACCAAATTTGAGCAAGCAAAAGGAAGGTTGCAGGGTGAACATGTTTCTGAAACATATAAAACCTATAGTAACACCCTATTTCAAAACCATCACAAAATGTATCACAGTTGTCATAAGTTTGCCTTTATGTAAATTGCACCTCAACAACTTGTTTTTAAGTTAAAATTCCTTAGAATAATGCAGATGTAATCACTTTGCACATAGTTTTTGCACTGAAATAAGGTAAGTATTGGTACAACAACAAGAGCAAAAATTGAATGAACTGACTATTTTACATGTTTTATACCTTTGCTGTCATTGCTTTGGTGTATCCTGATTTATAGCCGTACACATTAAAATTCACAGGAACAGATATAAGTCCTTTAAATGAGAGAAGAAAGAAACACATTGTAATATACCAGTAATCATTATTAAGGCCAAGGTCAAGCTCATCAGTTCAGTTTTGAACTCTAATAGACTCTTATAAGTAATTATTTTACCTGTCCAATTAGCACACACAATAAAACCAGGATGTGAGTTGAGTGACTTGTATTTTGTCAACCTAAGCCTTAAGTTGGTACCTTTGTTCACTGGAATGCAGGAAAGGTCATTCTATATTGCAGGTTTGGTGAAATTTAGTAGAACAATGATTTTCTCTTGAATCGTTCGTCTTTTGATACAAAAATGACAAAAACCAAAATTACAAAATTAGATACCACTTTTATTTTTTTCTTAATACATGAATTGTATGTAGTGTTGGCTTGAGAAAGCTACATCAGATGTATTGCTCACTACTTGCCTTTAATAAAATTTTACCAATTATTTATAGGGCTGTCACTGTACTAAGAGCTGGGGGCTGGAGATTTTTCCCAGCTACCATGAGCATGACCTCTAGCTACTGTCATTAATATGAAACTACAAACAACAACAACAATAAAATAGAACCAAAAGACCTTCCTAGTCGCTCAATTCCCTGCCTACTAACTACATCTCCCTGGCAACTTAAAATCTTAGGGCACTTTCCAAAAGTCAGAACTGGCCGGCTGGACCATGGTCAGACCAGACATTTTGGCAATGAAATAGGCTTTTTCCACGAGGTTTTGCTGAAAAACCATCCCCTTTGTGCATAATATTAGAATTTGACAGATCTGGATGGTTAGTTTTGATTAAAAATGAAATTCTCATAATTTTCGATGGGAATTCGCTGGCCGGTCAGTTCTGACAAATGGAAAGCTCTGTTAGTGACAGCCCTGCAATCACATTCTCAGCTATGTGATTCTCTAATTTAAGTAACAGGCTAGGCCAAAAGTTACAATCAGCGATAAAACTGTTAAGACTTTGTCCTCAAATGGGGCAACTAAGGAGAGCAAAACAATCCACAACCCTTCCACCTCCCCTCCACTCAAAGTTGGGGTGTTTTTTGTTTTCTACGGATAGCTTGAACAGCAGCACAACATTGCATGGAGAGAATGGGAGACGGAAAGCTTTATTTTCCCTTTTCTGAGTTAGCAAAATGTTAGAGAGGCCCTTTTGGGTGAACTCTAGTCTTAACTAATTTTATTACCAATAGTACATCCACATGAAATGTGTGCCAAATTTTGGCAATACTCACCATGCCAATGAGCTATAGTGAGCTCAGCAATAGATGCTGCTTCTCCTTTTGCAGCTTCAACATCCAAACCCAGGAATAATCGTAAACAAACCTCAGTTGTAAGAAGCTTGAACAGTTTATAAGGAAAAACAATATCCTTGTCTTCAATGCTGTTTAGTAATCTAGAAGAAACTAACTCAACTTCTCCCATAAAATGGGCCACTTCTTCAGGTCTAAACAGATGGTGGAGGGCATTTCTCATCCGTAATGCCTCATCATCACTGTTGAATATTACCAAGTCTCCATACAAACTGTACATGTATCCAAAGTCTTTATAGCCCATGTCTAGCTGGTCTGCCTTATCTGTGAATGAAAATAAGAAATTTGGAAGAAGGAGAAATCTAACACCAGAAAGCTTAGAAAAAATTTCGAGCTCCAGGTAAGAATCAAACTCATGACCCGCTGCTCTAACTACTGAGCCACTGGAAGCTCTACAGTGAGCAGGGTCAAATAGACCTTTCCATGTTTTTTTTTTTTCAACTTTTGACATGGACAAGTTGGGAAAATCTGTCTACTTTGACACAACGTGTGAAAGAGTGCCTTTAAATTAGTAACATTGCCAAGCTTGAGGGTGCATTGTAGAAAACTAACAAAGGTATAACTCATCAAAGTCACGAAGTTTTACAGATGTTTGTACCATACAAACATCTGTAAATTTTTGCAACTTTGCGGAGCTGTATCTTTGCTCACTTAAGATGTATCGCCTTCAAACTTGGCAAGTTTACTGAGGTGCTTTTCCAGTGGTTTTGATGGATTTTCCCTAAATGGTGCATGTCACAATTTGTAAAACCATGGAAGTACACTCCTGTCAGTCATAGTGGACTTTATTGGGGACATTATCTGAGCTGTCCACCAGCGTACAAGACCAAGACTGTTCAATATAATTTGGAAAGGGAGGAATCCAACATCAGAAAGGTCAGAAAAAAGTTTCAAACTCACAACCCTCCAAGTTCTAGTTTGGATGCTCTAACCACTGAGCGACTATAGGCAGGCAAATTTTTTATTATAATTGCCACTTTGGCAGGCAGATCCATGCTAGCACATGGTCTTTGAAAATGAACATGAACCTTCCAAAGCATTTCACTTTAAAACAATAATCAGGTAAATTTTAATTAACAAATCAACTTATCAACCATTGATCTGAAATGATGTCAAAATGTCCAAAACTTAATTTGAACCAATAGCAAGTTGCAGGCGAGTGGTTTCACTGCAAAGTTTTGAATAATTTGAAGTGATTTCTATGGTCAATAAGAGTATAAACCATGGAAAATTGTTGTCACTTTGTCCTTTACAATAACATTGACAGTTTTCGATGTCCATTTCAGTCAGCTTCTCAGAAAATTGTGAAATCAAAGAAACAGAAAACAAATTGCCAAAACATCACATCAATATAGACCTGAAATTATTTCAGGTCTATAATCTCATCAAATATGGCTCTCAACCAGTCAGTGTGTGGGAAATTGCTCAGTAATTGAAAAAATATTATTTAAATATTTTAACTTCAATACCTTCTAAAATCTCCTTGACTCCCTGGTTTGAAGCTACAAGAGCATGTGGCCTGTTTAGAGCCCGTACTTGAAACACTCTTGACTTGCATGTCTTGATGTTCTTTTGAATAAATTCAGCTGGGTTTCTGGCAAAATCAAGGGTCTTGTCACCTGTTATTGACCAGCCAATGCTGCCAGGCAGGGACGTCATCAATGCACCTGTTTACAGCTGTAACTTGCAAATGAAAGATTGAAAACACAGTGATTGTTAAAGAACAGGCTGTGGTTGTTCAAACATTGAATAGCACTATCCACTGGATAAATCACTATCCAGCAGGCCCCAGTTTTTCAAAAGTTGGATAGCGCTATCCATCGGATAAATCACTATCCAACGGATAAGTATTAGGGAAACCGATTGCACTATCCACTGAACAACCAGGGCCTGATAAATATTAGGGAAACCAATTGCACTATCCACTGGATAGTGATTTATCCGGTGGATAGCAAAATCCACCTTTTGAACAACTGGGGCCTGTAAGACATACTGACCAAGCACAAGGTCAAGGTAGATAGATACTGGCCAAGTTTTCTTTTTACATCTTCAGGGATAAAGATCAAGCAGAGGTCTAGGTCAATGGTTAAGAATGAAAGTAAATCAGACAGGTTGTGTAGGCTGTTATAATAAAAATTCTCATGTGACATTTATAATTATTATAAATCTCAATTTTTTTAGTTAAGATTTTGAACGATATATAACTTTACTATGTACAAAGGTTTTCTTTTATAGACATGAGAATTACACGTCAACTTTATGATGGCCAGCTTGTCTTCAAAGAATAAGCATGTTTCTTCTTTCAAGTTTTTGCTTCCAATGCACTCACTAGAGTCCTCTAAGTTAACTCAGGTTAACTTTCACTTGTCGACACAAAAATTCGCTGATCAGTAGAGGCTTTTGTAAAAGATATCGTGAGAATAACTACACGTATAAGTCTAATTAGGGATTCGCACTAAACGAATTAATTGGCTAAAACTAGCTCTTTGCCTTGTCATGCTCGCCCATCGAGAGCATTACGGCGACTAAATATCGTTGAAGTGAACAAATGGACGGAAAAACTCACAAACCGAAGGCAATTTTCAGCTTCATAAACTCATTATCTTTATGTCATTTAGGCTTAATTTAAAGAAAAAGAGAAGCGATTGATGCCTAATGTAGTGTGGAACAAACCACATTAAAAAGACGAAAAGTTACCGGCCAATCGGTTCCACTGCTTGTCTTCTTCTGTTGATGTCAAAATCCGCAAGAAGGCGTCAACTCCATCAAATAACATTCAACAAAACAAGCAGAATCGACGGATACACGACAAGATGGAAAGAGTGGGTGAGATCACCGGATGACCGCACATAACATTTGGCCGCAAGCGGAAAATACGCAGCGATGTATTATTCATCGAACGAGAGAGCAACAAAATTATTACCGTTCTGCTCTATTGCCCCATTGGCAAATGTTCTGCAATCATTTACATATTAAAACTTTTGTACGCAAAGAAAACACCTGACGACAGCAACGGGCGCCATGTTTGGATAGGGAATAAAGCCATGTTTTTATCGGATAAATGTAACCTTGACATTTTATCCCGCAGTTTGAAAAGAAACGGGGAGATCGTTTGATTTTTCAACAAAGGTTTGTATTGTCAGGGGACCAAAACTACTTTTTTGTTTTACCTTGGGGTTAGATAGTCACGCTCAGATGTGCTGTAAACGTTACCACTTCATCGTTTCAACATTTCCCTTGAAGTTTAAGTGCAAAATTTGTTTTCAGAAAGAGGTAATTCATAATTTTAAAAATCACATTTTGGTCAGGTGACCAGCTACGAATTTACTCATTTTACGAAAATGGTGTGCGACAACCTGCGACAAATTTTTTTAATCGATTTTCGCCTGCGATGTCACATGACCTCTTAGATTGCTGGGATATTTTTTTCGATCGATGTTTGCCTGCCGTAGCGACTGGGATATTTGATATTTCGAGGTTTTGAGCTTTCATATTCTTGTTCCCCTGGGCCAAAGGTCATGGCGAAGGTTGTTAAAAGAAAAGGCGTGGACCACCGGCTTTGGAAGGGTGAGGAGCCGGGTGTGGTAATGGCTGGGAAAAGAGGAGACCGCGCCTTTTCCTATCTGAAGGAGCTACTTACGTTATCCTGAAAATGTCAATATTTGATTGTCTGTTGTTCTTGAAATGTTTTTTAAAAAATAATTTACAGGAAACGCCATAAATCTTCAATGATCTGAATAATAGGTGTGGTGACAGAGATATTCAGATAGTGGATCGTTTTCGGAAGTGGTTATATTACTTGGTCTTTGCAAATGCAATAGAAAGGACGACTTCCATGTTGCAAAACTTTTATTATATATATCATTGCCGAAACAATGGATAAAACTACTCTTAAAACGGTCATGGTCTACAATCGACGAATTGATCGATAGAACTGAGTGTAAAATAGAAAAATCGAAAGGTAAATTCTAATCGAATATTACTTAATTCTTTTTAGTGTAGTAGTATTGTAATAGGCTATTTCAAAAATTCCGAGTTGCCTCAAGTGTCTGTTTCAAAGTGAGGCTAAGCGCGAAGCTGCTGATATGGAAACGACTTTATATTGCGTGATACAAATAAAACTCATTTTCACAACAAAGGTCTTGCACTTAGCCTGAAAGTATAGTTTTTGGAACTGGGAAATGGCCTATCCCTATTCATTTATTTATTTCTCTTTATCTTTTCATCTATTTATTTTAATAGCTATGTTTTATGCATGTATTCAGTTGGGAGGAACATTCTTTGAAAATGTTTATACGTGTATTGAAACCGAAATCATTAAATCTAAAATGAGGGTTAACCGCTTTGACTGGCAGGTGTAAATGAATCGCCCTATGTAAGGGAATCAGTGTATTCCAGATTCCAGGTACTGGACTCCCGACAGTCTTGGTCAGTGGAACTTGGATTCTAGACTGCAATCGTCGGTGGGATTCGGTATTCCTTAAGTTGTATTCCGAATTCCACAAGCACAATTTTCCTGTTTTATCCTCAATGAAAAATTTCTTACATTCCCTTGCATGAGGCCAGCTAAAAAAATATTAAGAATAAGCTTAAATAGACCTGTTTAGACTTGGAAGAATCATTGTGCTATATTTGTTAGCGAAGCAAGCGCACGCCCTTCAATGGAATAAACCTCGTGTTCTCTGCGTGCTTGACGCGCCCTGGTTCAGGCAAAGGACAACAACAACAACAACAACAACAACAACAACAAATTTTATTGAAATTAAATGTATAACTAAGTACATTACTTTCCCACCCGCAAATAGCTGAATTAAGAACTAATCGAAGCGGGGGGAGCTAAGGACATGTTACAAATGGAAGGTTTATCTATAGATGGGTTAAACAACAATAAAGACACTACAATACAATAAATAGAAAGAACTAACATAAAATAAAGAAAGTAAATAACAATTACGAAGAGAGAATAACATAATGTGTTAAACAACTCAGGCATTATATAGTAAACGATAACACGAGACATATGTTAAACGAAACATATAAACGAAAGCCGAAAGGACAATTAAACATTCGATTTCATAAGAAGGAAGGAAAACTTAACGGAGCACTTAACACACGTCCGTCCATCTTGGTTAACTCACGTGACCCACAAAACCCTTAGTCACACACGGAATTTTTTATGAGGAGGTGAGGACCTGGAAACCCTACTGACCTCCGAAGGCTGATGACCCGGGGGGGGGGGGTACTGCCATATATGGGCTATATAGGTATGTGCCGCTGTGAAGGGTATGGTTTTCAAGCAGCTTACTCTAGGATAGGGTATATACATCGGAGCGTTTGGGTCTAGAATAGGGTATCATTTTTCAGGAAACTGATCAGTTGGTTGAAGATTTTATCTAGACTAGGGAAACAGCTACTCTAGGATAGGGGGATTTGGGGGGGTTACTCTAGTTTAGGGTAGCAAAATTCAGCTGAACTTGCTCTGGTATAGGTTAAGGGTTCCAGGGTTCCAGCGGCACATCCCCACCCAGAAATTCCTAAAGTACCCCCCCCCCCCCGGGGGGCTGATTAGCGCTAACCCGGGGTTGATGTTTAATACGGGTTTCTTTTTGCTTGATGCAAATGCATTTTTTCGAATCGTTCTCTCTATTCTTTGTAGAACATCTATCAAAATGTAGAGAAAAATATAATTCAACTGAATTTTCTTTTTAAGCTTTCATATCTGGGAATTTAAGGGCCTGTTTGCATGAAGGTGGGGGACCCCAGGTAGGTTTGGTAACATGTGGCGGGTTACCCCACCTAACGAGTAAACGTGATCCCATCAAAATGAGACATAATATGGACAGGCGGGTTACCCCACCCAAGCGGATTATCTCACCTTCCCGGGTTCCCGCACCTCCATGTAAACAGGCCCTTAATCTCGTACTAACCCTGCGTTATCTTAACCCTGCTTTGAACAACTAGGCCCAGGGGATCCTCTATTCTGTGCTAGGAAAGGAGACAAAGAAAAGGCAAGTGACAAAATTCTTTCTGCACCAACAAGGGCGGGTGGGTACGGGAGGGGTGGGTAGAGCCGATGTGCAAGCCAGAAGCTCCTAGTTTAAGCCCCGCCCTGACCGCTAACTCAACTTGTTCTCGTAAGAGAACATAAAAGCCACATTCTCAGTAGTTCCGAACTCAAATCCTCGTGTAAACAGCTAACTGGTTTGCCTCCAGCCGGTTCGGATTCTTAATCTTGTTATGTTTCTTGTCAAAATATTTGTTTCAGTCATTTTCTCAACCCACTTTGTACTATGCTTTGCACTGCCGACTGAAAATAAATCGAGGAAATTCATTCATTTTATTTCATTTTTTTATTTTGAGCAAGAACCAAGTGTGCTTTGAGATGTTGATTGGTATGATCCTCCTTTCAAAAAGGGGAAGTCACCGATGGTGCGTTTCCCTGGCCCCAAACAATACTAAAACAATTGGAAGAATGACATGTCATTGTTTCCTGTGACCAATCAGGAGAGACCTTACGAGCAGCTCCTACACTACTCACTCTTCAAAAATCCTCGATCCTGTCAAACCAAGATACTATTCAAAATTAAAACCTTGAACTGTGAAAATTGATAGTTTTAGCTTGGAAGAAATTATTACTTCTTATTTTTTCTCGCTTGATCACTGCCAGAACAAAATTTAATAAAATGGTTAAGCCGGGTATTTAACCTATCTTCAATCTATATTTATTTATTTCACACTATATAAGGCATTGACACAAGTTTACGTAAGTAGGAGAACAAAGTAGCTGATAAATAATCATTAAACTAAAAGACATTAAGTTCATTTGTGTACAGTGTCTAAAGTAGCAAGATACTTCTTCTTGGACACCGTCATGTTAAGATAATCGGTAGTGGCAGCAAAGAGAGGAAAAAGAGTCTCAAATAATATCAGTTATAGAACATATAAGAAAGGTTAAGATCTGATTTGATTGAGTGATTGATTAGAAGATAGGGCTTTCATTCTTTCTTAAACTTATGATATGGCAGACACTTGAAGCCAAGCGGTACAGTCTCCCAGATTTTTGGAGCGGAGAATTTAAAGGACATCTTACCTAAGTTGGTGGATCCTCTTAGCCTAAAATAATTCAGTCTACTGACAAATCTTGTATTATAATTGCGTATACGCGACGATGGAGTCAGAACATCAAGGAAGATATCTGGAATGCTATCAGTTTCATTTCTCATTCTATGTATAAGCCAACATATTTTTAATGTATATATTATTATCTAATTTAAGGATTGTTAGGAGTTTGAAATAGGGAACAGCACTCTCTCTAGGATGTGCAAAGAAGATGGTGCGGAAACATTTGTTCTGCTTAATACGAAGACAATCTAATTTGGTTTTGCTGGCACATCCCCAAGCCAGAATACCATATAACTCAAATAGGGATATATTAAAGCATAATAAATTTGTTTCAGTATATTCAGATCTATGTAATATCTTAGTTTTGAAAGGATTCCTAAATTTTTAGCTAATTTATGCGCGGATTAATAGGACAGCTCCAACAAAGGAAAGAGGTACTGTTATCTTCAAATCTGGACAAAAAAAAATTTCCCGAAGCTTTTACTGCGTAAATTACCATTGTTTTTAGCATTATCATGATAAGGATTGTTTCGTTACCGTTATATTTTTAAATTGGTGAAAGAAGTTCCTATCGTCCATTTTTAAATATAATCACACTTGTGTTTAAACACTTGGGGCCGCAAATTACTCTTAGTTTAACGGCAACGCCACGTTTCTCTCAGGGATAGTCGATCCAGCGAAAATCTTTCGTAAGATGTCTTTGTTTTTACTTGTCCTTTCCTCATTTATACCGGTATAGGAGGCATATAAATTCCTATGATTGATTCACAGCTTTGATTTGGTGGGTTGACTGTGGTATGGAAGAACCAGAGGAAACAAGGGAAGGCTGCTTTTGAAGGCTGCGATGTCTTCAATAATTGTAGGCTGGACCTGTGCAAAGGAAAAACATAACAGGCCCATGAGGTTATTATACAGTTAACTTCGGCTTTTAAGCTTTCCCACTCATTTTTAACTGCTGAGACAGTTCTATGTATTTTCTACCTTATGGGCCATACTACCATCTCCTCTAAACAGAAAATGTAAAATACCTCCCCATCCCCTATTCAAAGTTGTTTTGGTCTAAAAACCAACTTTTTAATTCTCCTGTTATCCTTGGATAAGGAAAGGGGCAAAACGGGCATTCATTTGGCAAAGGTTTCTATTTCTGGCAGGATGACAGGAAAAAATAGGCATTTTTGTGAAGTGTCTCAACTCCTTTTGCCCGGGGTCACAAAGAAAAATATTGACAATCGAAAGTCGTTACCGTTGACTGAGGATTCATGTGTTGGATTTTATCATTCTCCATAAAGTTGTTGATAGCTTTGTTTTGTCCGGTCTTTGTCACTGCAAAAAAACAGAACACAATTAGCTAAAAACCAAATCAGATAGACTTATAATCATCTCTTTTTCTTCCTTTTCATAATTTCACAGTTAAAACTCTCTTTTCGGACACCAAATTTTCTCCAGTCCCTTACTCGTTTTCTTCGGTTCCCTTGATATGGCGTGTACAGATTATTCAACAGTGGCCAGTTATCTTATCAACTCAATCAAAAAACCAAATATATTTTGCATTATTCTCACCTCTGACACAACATTAGATTGAGAGGTATTAGATTGAATCACAAACAAGACTGCTATAACGGAAAAACGGACTGCTCTGCATCGCAAAAGCAACGATTTCTAAAACACCAACAACGGCAGCACCTTAGATAAAACATATCCTTATGTCACAAAAGCGAAATAAAAAAATATATTACTCTGCAAAACTATTCATAAATTGACCGCTAAAGGGGAGTAAGTCACCAGTATACTAGCTTGCGAACACTAGTGAACAAGTTGCAGGTCATTAAAACACTCCCAGAAGCCAGTGAGTTGCAAGACTTTTGCAATGTGCTAGATGTTTAACACAGCATCTCCTTGCTTTTTAAAACAATACTTTGTACTTACTTGTTTTGGAGAGAATGTGAACGGCCAATTTGTGACGTCTGGGGGCTTCAACAGCAATGAGATCCTAAGGGGTGGTAATGCAGACAAGTTAAAGCTATTCGTAACCCTAACCTAACCCGTTAACAGTTTTAAAAATATCGCACGCAAATAATCACTTGGTTTTTCTAATTTTTAAATTTGTATCAGTAGAAATGGCAGCATTACAAAGTAAGTAGAATAGGTGCAGTAAGTGCTAAAAGCAATTAGTTTTCTAAACAGAATATCCAGCCATAACTATGAAATATTTGAAGATTAAAAGATTTCATCGCCATTGACATTGCCTGACGTGATTATCTTACTGTCTTTTTAGTGCGAAAAATACTTTCAATATTTTGTATGCCCTTTTTGGGTACATCCATTCCGTCTCTCCGCACCCAGTAATGAAGACAATCCTGGTCATTGATTTCGGCCCAGTTAAGCGAATTTTGATTCCCAAACATGGTAATTATTTCCTTGTGGAATCCTCAACCCTTAAGGCTTTTGAATCAGGATTACAGCTCAAGGAATCCGGAATCCTTCTAAAAATTATAATGCAGAATCCAAGTTCCACTGACAAAGACCTGAATTCCGTACCTAGAATCCAGAATCCACGGCTTGGAATCCAGAATTCAAGACTGTCTTCCAATCGGACGCCCTTACAAAATGTACTCGGAGGAATCAATTTAAGTACATAAGAAAACTCTTGATACTCTACCGTTAGCCCTAGTAAGTTTATGCGCAGTTAACTTTATTCCCCTTCACCAAATGTTACCGTTTTTCCGAGTTTGATTGAGCATAAAGTCCTTCGCAATCAATTCTTTATTGAAAGGGGATCGTCGTTTTAAAGACATTGGCCGAGAAATAAAGAACCAAAAAAAATCAAACTGTCGGTACTGGCAAAATATAGCCTGTCGTAAAGCAGGCATTTTGGTAGCCTGAGAAAACAGCCAACATTTCACGGGGAGAAATGACGACTGAGAAACGAGCGCAGAAATTCCATACTGTTGACGCGTTCCTACCCAGATCTGGGTAGTGCTTCTGATTAGTTTCTCCCGAAGCGCGACGACCACGCGCGGGATCTAAAGCATAAATCTCGTCTGCACATGCCCTCATTATAAATGCACCGCTAGAATTGACAACTACGGGAAATGTTGTATCTTTTGATGTATAATTTGCTAATATTGGAGAGGAGTTTTTCTCGATAAATGGCATTTTAAAGTAGCTTCTTATAGTTCTTAGCCATTGTCGAGTGTCTGCTTGGCAAAATAATAAAAATAAAAAAATTCAAGTCCATAAATTAGAGTTCATTTTGTTTTTGAGTTGTGTTTTGGACACGCATTACAGTTTTAATTTAACTGTAAATTTTTCCCATTTTTTTTAATTATTTGAAGAATCTATAGAGCAGATCACATTTCATATTTTAAAATTGAAAGGAGCCTGAGGCACCCTATTCTCTCCTCTTAAAATGCCTTTTGCTTATATCAGTCACTTTGAGTCAAAAATTCTAAAGCGGATACCAAAAGCAAAAAATTACACGGATTCCGAAATCCAGACTACCATATTTGGAGCGATTCAGTTTCTATCTTCTTTTTTGTGGTGGGGTTTGTGATTCTATTTTGAATTTTGGTTTCTTTTTTGGAGTGTTTTGGGATATGCGTCTCTTAGGCCTGATTGTGTGATTCTTAATTGGGTTTGTTTGTGTTTCCTTTTGGGAATAGCGTATTTCTGTTTGGGATCTTTGTTTCTCACTACAGATTAACGTTGGGTTACCATTTTCCGCTTTGGTTATGTGTATTTCTGTGCGGGGTTAGCGGGTTACATTTTCGAGCCATGAGTTTTTATTTTTGTTCCTTTCTGTCACACTATATGTATGTTGAAAACATGCCATTGAACTTTCGTAGCATGACATGCTCAGCCAATCATATCGATACCTGAAATCACACCCTCTCTTCTTTATCTCGATATTTTTTTTGTGATAAGAGGACATGATGCAATGATGCACCTATTTGTCAGATCTCCTGCCATATACGGTATTCTTTCTAATTAGCTAAAAAACAATACGTCGATACGCGATACTTAACGCTTATTGGATGAAAATAAGGGAGGGGAAGACGACAGATGAGAGACCCTGGGGACGAGTTGATGTAAATTTCACTAAATTCTGAAACTGACATAATTTTGTTTCCAGTGACTCGAAGGAGTTTTACTTAAGTATCAGGAATTAATCACACTCTTCAGAAACAGACATTTCTCCCGCAAGGTAGGATTACTAAAAACCGTGCTTGAAACATCTTGCTAAGAGGGAGACCGGAAAGTTTTAGCATACACAACCAAAACGATTAATAGCGATAATAAAATAATAGAAATTTTTGGGTTAAAGGCTGGTGTGAATGTTGTAGCATCAAACACGCAAATGAATTCACAGGCTTTAATGTGTAAGAGAAAAATTGAAGGCTCACCTAGCTGAATCTGAGTTATTTTAGAAGTCTTTTGAATAGAAAAAAAAAAATAAACAAACAACAAAACAAACAGACAGATTAATATTAGAGCACTCACTCGAGGTAATGGCTTAGAGTATCTAAGAAAGCAAAATGAAGATAATTGGATTCAAAATTCTGAACAAGGAAGAAGTCGATCTACCTAAGCGATCAGATGGTTTGAACTCCATTTTAGTATATTTTAATTGAGATTACTCTCGTCACCCAAACCGTGTCGTCATGCATTTTAAAAAGGTCTTTCAGTGGTTTCCGTCTTCAGTGAATGCATGTAATATCAAATTCACCTTGGAAACTGTAAATATTTTAACCACCGATATGATCTAACTCCGAGTTTTGTAAATGTCAAACCAAAATTTTTAATACCATTTCCTTAAACTGATTTATGATGATGATATTGTTGAGGACCACAGAACCAGAAAAATTTAACAGTGCATAGGAACATGGTTTTCAGTTTTCCTTTCACCTGACTGCCATATCTTTATTTTTAGAGGACTGAACACCCAAACACAAGCTTGGAGTATTATGGCGGTGAGTCAAATTCACTAGGCTCTCAGGTCTTGCATCCGTGTTATAGCCGGCTTACAAACTATTGAATTGATTGCACCTTATTCTTTAGTTTAACTTTCTTTTCGGTCATGAATCTATCAAAACGAGGTGTAAGTGGATTTTTTTGGTTAATTTTTGAACAAATTAGCACCAAAAAGATTAAACTTCGTGACTAACTGATCAACTTTAAAATAATCTGGCGGCATGTGCTTAACATCATTTCAGCCATAGTGGTGGGCGATATGACCAAAGGGGGATGTTCTTAAAACGTGATCTGAACGGTGTTTTAAAAACACTGCGAAGTCCTGGAGTTACCCCCAACCGATATCACTAATCTGTTGTTAACTTTGACCTGCCGCATCCCAGAGCCAGGTGGCTCGACTGGATATTTTAAGGGGTATACTTCCCCACTTAAAGCGTTTACTAATTCGGCATTAATAAAGATATCGGAAAAAAAGGGTGTCCACAGTTGTACTATATTAAGATGAAAGGTTGTTATGATCCATGCTTTATTGACATCGGAGTTGCAATAGCAAGTTATGACGCCATTCCGTTTTTTACTTGCCCTTGAATTTCACGGTATCAGGAGTGTCTTTGTTTTGTTTTGTTTTGTTTTTTAAAAAATCGCTTAAGGGAGCTTGCACCCGTCCTTTTGTAGCCTCGGTTATGGCATTATGAAGATTGAGAAAATTCTATGAGAGCGTTTATGAAATATTTTGAAACAAGGATAAAAAAGCACTGAGTAAAAATGCTTTCGCCAGCCTTTTTCGCTCGTCTACACTGACCGAAAACCTGGCACAGGCTAGCGCATCAGGTGGATCATAGACTAGGTTAACACGTAGGTGTTAGTCTGTATAAATTGTTTGGCTTCTGCTTTGAATTGTTGGATTCAGTTCTCACCTCGCCTTGCTTTTCATACGTTATGTACTAAAGAGCCTCCAGTTTTCGCAGCTTTAACTTTGTCTTTTCCACGTAATTAACCAACTCAATGGAAGAGATCTTACTACATTTTTAGCATTATCATCATCATCATCATCATCAATAAATAATTGTTGTATCACATTTTAGTTAATTGACAAGTTGTTACGTGAATTCGCGAAGGAAAATTTTGGAGATCGAGAGGGACATTATTTCCCTGTTGCCCATGGTCAAGATATTAAGTTATTTACGCTGCTGGTAAGGACATCTAGGTACGTTCTGGAACGGCCGTTTAAACGATATACATATACAGTTGTGGGAAGACTAGAACATTACGTAGCTGATGGAAAAAGGGACGAATATGAAGCCTTGAAGAACAAACTGGTTGTCAAAGAAAATGAGATGGCGTCAGTGGGGGGAAGTGAAGATGGCAGCGGTGCTGCAAGGTAAACTTACATTACTGAAAAAAATTACCCTGCATGATACTGATACAGAAAGCTAACATTTACTAGTTTTTGCCTAATTACAGTAATTTATATTCATAGCTTACTTAAACCTGCCCCAGTGGCTTTAGAAAGCTCAATTTGTTGTCTTGTTAGAAACTGAATAATAGAGGGAAGGTATTGGACCCTTTGAGGAGCTATTTAGTTTTTTCTGCGAACAAATTTGCCGCCTAGTTTCTTACAATGTTTGATTGTTATATTTGTACACAATTTGCATCAATAACTATAGATTCATTTCTGGTGTGATACGCTTTTGGTAGCTATTGTCACAGCATTTGGCTATCATTTATTCTTTTATGCTCACTAAATCCGTATTCCGCGATGCAGAGAAATGCAAGCCACTTTATACAAAAGGATAAATTGAAGTGGATGTGACAGCCATACCAGTAATCCTTTTAGAGGAATAAACCATCTCACTTCCTTTCACGGATTACTTCCGGCATGTGACCCCTGTCACACTGAATAATTTCTCAGCCAATCAGATGAAAGCTGTCACATAAACAGTGCTCAATTCAGCAAAACAACAGTCCAGCCTCTCTCGCCGAGGTTCTTATGAAAGTTTCTGTCTCTTTCTTTGGGAGAATCCAGGTTTCCGCCTAAGATAGAGACAGGACTGTTTTTTTCCTGATGGTTAGAAGACACCCAATCACCACTAAGATTAGTGATCACACCTGCGTATATTGGTGGAACATTTGCTTGGAATGAAGTGCTCCCCTACTTGTGACCCTTTGCCTCATAGACTCTTGTTACTCCTTAATCCAGGGAAATGGTAATCAACACAACCACCCCTCTGTAGACAAGGGGGTTCTCCGACAGAGGATTATCACCTCTCACAACCCTGGAGGATTATCACTCCGAGAGAGAACTATAACCATTCACAACCCTGGAGGATTATCAACCCCTAGAGAGAATTATTACCCGTCACGACCCTGCGGGATTATCACCCCCTGGAGAGGACAATCACCTGTCACGAACCTGAGGGAATATCACCCTGAGGGAGGATTTACAGCTCTCGCTACCATGTGGGATTATCACTCAGAGAGAGGATTATCACCTGTCACGACCCTGATAGTCTGCTACACAACCATTCTTATGCCGTGTTTAGACTTAAGCGTGCTACCGAGGTATTGGAGTTAACTTACCTAGGTAAATATTTTGCGTGTGTAAACGTCAACTGA